ATTATAGGTAGATGACAAATATGAATACTCATGTGAAAGCCGGGACATCAGAGTTCACGGTTGGATTTCCACAGACTCGGCCGTTGGCTTTTGGCTAATCACTCCTAGTATCGAATTCAAGTCCGGTGGACCCCTTAAGCAGTATAATACAGCCCATGTGGGCCCAACAATCCTTTCGGTAAGCAATCACGTCACTTAAAAATAATTATCACAATCCTTTCTCTCTCACTAAGCGAATTGTTATAGAATCGGATACGTCAACCCGTTTTGACGCCTCACTTAACAGGTATTTCACAGTACTCATTATGCGGGATTAGACATGACAACAACTTTTGGGCCGCATGAGCCCTGGAAGAAAGTATTCGGCCCTGTTTTCGCCTATTTCAATTCGGTGCAGGACAAAAGCGATTCGCTTCCACTTTGGGAGGATGCTAAAAAACAGGTTAACTTGTTATTATACATTTTTCATTTTAGACATGGAAATAAAATTGGAGCACTAATATGAATTAAACTTTGAATTTAGATGATAAATGAAGTTCAAAAGTGGCCTTATGACTTTCCTGGTTCTGAAGATTTTCCACCGTCGGATCAACGGGGTCAAGTCCATGGCAGATTACTAGTCTTAGATAGGTATTTATATAACTTTTTTATTTAACTTTATTTCAAAAAAAAAAAAAAAAAAAAAAAAAAAAGATGCGCCATACATATTTTTTCATATAATCATCAATTTTTTCAAAAAAAAAAAAAAAAAAAAGATCGCCATAATATTTTTTTCATATATCATAATTTTTTTCAAAATAAATACAATATTTAAATTTATCGATTAATTCACTAACTCACTCTTGTATTATAGGGATGTGAGGAAAGGAAACATACCTGCAAATGGAGCTTTTGTTGGGCTGGCATCCCCAGGAGATACTGGTTCCTGGCAAATACAATCCAAGGTGACCATAATTTTGCCTGGCACTTATATATAGTTAGGAAAAATTGCTACTTTATTTTTGTATTCTATTAAAATACTCAACTTTGCCTTTGATATAACAGTATAATAGAAACAAAAGATATGAATAAAATTATGTATTTTAAATATGCGGGGCAATATTGTCTATTATGAAAAAATATGGGGATAAAATCATATTTTTTTTACATAACAAATCAATTTTTTTTAGTATTGAGAAAGAGAGATTAGAACATGAATTTATTGTCAGGTCATACGTATACTTACCAGTTACTACGACTAAGTTATGACTTGGTGTTCTATAAGAAATTAATTTCCTTTTCTTGATATTAGGGTTACCAATTCTGGAGTAAAACAGATAAAGATGGACAATTTACAATCAATAATATAAGGACCGGTGATTACAATATCTATGCATGGGTTCCTGGATTTATTGGAGATTATAAGTATGACAAAGTCATTACGATAAGCACAGGTCTTATATTTTTCTTACACTTTTAAATAAGGACCCTTTTTTGGTTTCTTATAAATTATTTTTGCATATTTTTTTGGAAATGCAAAAGCAGGAAGTAATATTGATGTTGATGATCTTTTATACGAGCCTCCAAGGAATGGCTCTACAATATGGGAAATAGGAATTCCTGATCGGTCTGCCAATGAATTCTATATTCCAGATTCCAATCCTAAATATGTCAACAAGCTTTACCTCAATCATGATAGGTAAAGCCTGATTATATCAAATTGAAAGTAGTGGGGCTTTTTGTTTTTTTAATTAATGTGATTATCGTGTACTAATTGCAGGTTTCGACAATATGGATTATGGGAAAGATACACAGAGTTGTATCCTGATAACGATTTGGTGTTCAATATTGGCGCTAGTAATTATTCAACAGATTGGTTTTTTGCACAAGTAACAAGGTTTTTCCGACAACCCTATTTGGTAATTTCTGGAATTTATATGTAGCATTTGTTTGATAATGTTTTAAATTGATATTAGAAAGCCAATCAGGTAGTGTTCTGGTTGGTTTCCTCATTTATGTGAGGAGTGGGAGGTCTCGAGATCGAGAGAAATCCTCTCGATCACAGTTGTTTTCACCAATTTGGTGAGGAGCAAAAGGGAGGATTACCATGGCTATATATAGTCTGTAGTATTATTTCGGCCTATAAAATCTTCCAATGAATTAAAAAAAATTCCTGTAAGAATCACTAAAAATTGATTTTAATTATCAAAATTTTAAATAATTAAAAGTACAATGCTATTTAAATTTATTTTTTCAACAGCTTTTAAAATCATAATCCAAGTCAAAAATAATTATAAATTCTAATGTTAAACATACTCGTACTCCATCTTTGCTTGCTTCCTATTATAAAATTAAATTGCCTGTTTGAGAAAATATATTTAATTTTAATTAATAATTTTCTTCCCCTCTAATAAATTATAGAAAGAAGGAGAATAACACATATGAAGGAACTACATGGCAAATAAAGTTCAAGCAAGAAACAGTTGATCGAACAGCGACATATAAACTACGTTTGGCACTTGCAACAGCACATAATGTTGATTTACAGGTTATTTAATTAATTGGTTAATTTGCAAAATTTGACTTTTATTTCAAATTAATTAATCTATTTATATTAAAAATGAAATTAAATTTGTGTTGAAGGTTCGGATTAATGATGTAAATGCAAGTTCTCCTTTATTTTCAACTGGAAATATTGGGAAGGACAATACAATAGCGAGACATGGAATTCATGGGCTGTACAGGCTATTCAATGTAGATGTACCAGGAGCTCACCTTGTTGAAGGGATTAACACAATCTTTTTGACACAAACAGCCGATCAAAGCCCTTTCCAAGGGATTATGTACGATTACATTCGCTTTGAAGGCCCTCCATCTTCCAACACCATCAAATAGATTTCATTTAATTTTCTTTTTCAAAGGAAATTTAGTGAAAATTTTACACATGATATGGAAAGGATTACTTCGGTTAATAATTTCAAATTTGCTTTTATTTTATGCCAAAATTAAATAATTAAGTTTTACCTCAATCTCTAATTGTTTGGTCTTTGTTTTAGTATTGTCCAGTTTTGTTCCTTGCTTTCTGTTATCAGTGCATTATAATATGTGATAAGAATTATATTTCAAATGTAAATAATTGCCTTGTCGTGAATGATTTGTACTATAGTTGATTACTTGGCACACGTGTCATCTAGGTGGATTAAATAATATATGTATATGGGATTGTAACAGCTAGGGATACAAGTTAATGAATATACAATTCCCTCTTTTTATTCTCTTTCTCTCTCAATTCTTCTATTTTCTCTTCCTTTCTCTTCTTTTCTTATCTCTCAAACGCTACTCTACTCTTCTCACGTATCCTAACACTTTCTACCTAACATACAACTCTTTAATAAAATTTGCTGGCTTACAAAAAAAAGAAAAAAAGAAAAAAGAAAATCATTACCTTTACGTGATATTTTGAGTTTTGAGTTGTCTGTAAAATTATTTTCCATAAACAAATAAATTGATTCAATTCTTCAATAAAAATTGTTAGCTTATATTTATAAGCAGTTGGATCAACAGTAATAACATGCATCTTCGTACGAAATTTACATGCAAAATCAGAGATTTAAAACTTGGAGTCACAGATTTTATCTGAATATCATTCAATTCAAGCATGGAAACACAATAAAATTTGCTGATTTATCAAAATAATAATAAAAAAAAAGTTATTAGGTTATTTGAATGCACATGATTGCCTGGCTGATGCCTGATTAATTTATAAATAGGAATAATTTGTTCGCGTACGTAGGTTTTATTGCTTGGAGTAAATCTTTCTTCGTCATTCATTGACTATGGAAATTTTTTTCCATTGGAAAAAAAAGATTCCTTACCGTCCAAATCACATTAAAAAATTTTCCTGTACGAAAGACGTTTTCTTTCGTCGCGAATGACAGAGAAGAACTTCCTCATATTTTCTATATTTTCCTATGAAAATGTGTTCTTTATCTATTTTTCCGTTAGCCTGCTGCGTTTTAAAACGATGATGTGGCAAATATGAGGATTGACGGATTGTTTTGAATGAAGATAATGAAGCCCATCTAGCAAGTAATTAATACTCATGCCACGACATCGTTTTTATTTTGGATAATTATATATATATTTTTATTTTTACATGGCAAGACAGTAGAGGAATTATATATAGTCACGAACAAGAACAAATTGCAAGACTTGGAATCAATGTCTTGCTTGGAAATTAATGGAAGAAAGGTCATTACTTGATTGATTTGAAATTAGTCCATAACTGGTAGCTAGTAAGTAACTTGGGTTCTGAGCGAAGCAAAATCCTGCACTGTTATTTTTCCTGACGACTGAGTAAAGATTTTGCAAATTCCAGCAAAATTATTGTAAAAGGAAAACTTGGCCTCTAGTTTAAGTGAACTCAGCCAATACCAAATTCTTCCTTTCACTTCCTATATAAACTTATAATGGTTAGCTATTGGAAAATAAAATTAATAATTTTTATTATATTGCTTTGGATCCATCTCCATGTCAAGCCAAAGAGTGAAATTGCATATTCAAGAACGCCATGTAATTAATTTTTTTATTATTATTTTTTTATCATTATTAGATTGATTGGAAAATAATATCAATGGCATATCTCATTTGAAAAACTTTGATGCAATGGAAGCAGGTGGTGATGGAGAATGGCATACTACAGGTTACAATATCAAAACCAGAAGGAATTGTGACTGGAATTAGATATAATGGCATCAGTAATTTGCTTGAATTAAAAAATGATGAATCTAATAGAGGGTATTAATTAATTTATGGCATTTCATACTTTTTTATATGCATTTTGTTCCTGAAATATAAAATTTCTTTCTTTATAGAAATTGATATATATATATTTTTAATGGAACTTGTAGGTATTGGGATCTTGTCTGGAGCAAGGAAGGAAGTACAGGAACAACTGGAATTTCCTATGTGTATGAAAATTATTTTATTTTTAAGATTTCTTCTTTAAACTCTATTATGGATTTTTTTGGGCGATTTAATTTAATTTAATGGTAAAGCGATATCATATTCTAATTTTCATTTATCGTATTAAGTTTCATTCATTTGATCTACTAATATCCTCTAACTCATTTTAATTACCTCTTAAAATTTCTATTATGTCAAATTATGTATATATTAGTATTAATTAACCTCAAAATTTTCTTTTTATATATAATTTTAAAGCTTTTTTTTTTTTCATGTCCATACAGGATCAAAGGAACAAATTTTAGAGTCATAGTGGAAAATGAGGAACAAGTGGAACTCTCCTTCACAAGAATGTGGGATCCTTCTGTTGATGAGGGCAACCTTGCTCCTTTGAACCTAGACAAGAGGTAATTAACTAGTTAATTACTGATTAAGCTTTCATCATCACTGACAATTTTTTCTGTTTAAACTGGCATACCATCTAATTAGTATCAATTAGCAGTGCAAATTATATTGTTAATTTGGACAATAAAATATTATTTTTTTCTCCTTCAGATTTATTATGCTGCGCAACTCCTCAGGGTTTTACTCCTATGCTATCTTTGAGCACCTGAAGGAATGGCCAGCTTTTAACCTCCCTCAAACCAGAATTGTATTCAAGCTCAGGAAAGACAAGTAAGCAAATGGGGATAAAGGAGTAATAGAAATACTACCTAAAAAAATTTAAAAACTGGTTTTGCCAATTACTTATAGTTAAAAACTTAATACTACCAATTACTTATCCATAGAAATCTCATAGTGGTTGAAAAAAATTGAATTCAACATTGATTAATTAATAATTAGCTAAAGAATTATAATTGAATGAGGATTGTTTTTCGTAATTTGGTTCCGAATATGCTTCCTGCAATACCAAAGCTAACAGAGATAATTCATATAAATTAATTGGAAAAGACTTATCTACATCCGGTTTATGACCAACCTATACACTAAACCAATCATAAATAGTATTTTTGTTCAAATAAGAGCTTTTTTGACCATATACTAGAAAAAAATAAAATAGTAATATTTTTTTAAAAGACTCTTTAATTGGCTTGGTATATGGAACCGCCTGGATGTAGGCAGGCAAGTGTTATCGTAATTAATAATATAATTATTCATTCAATGAGATTTTTTTTTTATTTGTAAACAAGATTCAAGGAGTAGGAAATTATCAATTCATTTTTACTTTACATTGACCAAATAGGTTTCACTACATGGTAGTAGCAGATAATAGGCAAAGATATATGCCACTGCCTGATGACCGGTCACCTCCTAGAGGCGAGCCACTGGATTTTCCAGAAGCTGTACTGCTTGTAAATCCTGTAGAGCCAGAATTCAAAGGAGAGGTACGTACTCTTCCCAATTCCTCTATTTTACGTGAATTACTATTCTGTACAGACTATTGCTCTATTTTTTTAATCAATTCAATTAATCCTTAATTTTAATTAATTGAGACCAATTTCACTTGATTTACTACTATTTATTTAAAAGTCAAATATTTATTGACTTTTCTCAACTCATCTATAAATATAACTTTATACGAAACTAATCTCCTTTAAGACTTCGTGAATGTCTTGACATAAGTACTTTTTTTATCGTGGCTGTGTCTTGCTGGAAGTTTTTTTTTTTTAACAAATCGAACACTTCTAGTGAAATATTTGCAGGTGGATGACAAGTATCAATACTCATGCGACAACAGAAACCTTAACGTCCATGGATGGATATGCTTTGAACCACCTGTAGGGTTTTGGCAAATCACACCCAGCAATGAATTCCGATCAGGTGGACCTCTCAAACAAAACCTTACATCTCATGTCGGTCCGGTTAATCTTGCTGTAAGTGATAATTAATGTTTTTTTCCATTACTTTAACTTTTGTTATTTTATTTCATTTCAACTTTTTTAATATTTCTAAACTTGGTGACTGATTAAAATCACACAATCAGATGTTTCTTAGTGCTCATTATGCAGGAGAAGACATGGTGTTGAAACTCAAACCAGACGAGCCATGGAAGAAAGTTTTTGGCCCTGTTTTTATTTATTTGAATTCTTTGTTGGATGAAAGCGACCCACGTTTGCTATGGGAAGATGCTAAAGAACAGGTCCAAGGAAAAAAAGCAAAATTGCATTTAGTATATAGTTAGTATAATTAAATGCATTTTAGTCAGTTTAATTAAAAAGATGTGTTAAAATTGTATTTGTTTATGTTACATTTTATAAATATGCCTAACAAAACCTAATTTTGGTAACAGACAATTACCAAATTCTAATTATAAACAATGGACATCAAATTTTCAGATGCTAATTGAAGTTCAGAGCTGGCCTTACAGTTTTCCAACTTCAGAGGATTTTCCATCATCCGATCAACGCGGTAGTCTCAGTGGAAGATTGTTAGTTCGAGACAGGTAGGTAACTGAGAGCTCGGTTTGTTTCTCTAAATTAGACTAGAAGGTCATTTCGATTAATGGATTCGAATAATAAAATTTAAATATTTCATAAACTTACTGGGTAGCTTTGTTTATTCTTTTTTTAAAAAAGATCATAATCCATAAAATTGATAAATTTCATCAATTCAAACGACTTTTTTTTATTATAGTTGAAATTATTTGAAGAAAAAAAAAAATCTGACGACTAATATTTCTTTTATAGGTATGCTAGTGATTATGACATGCCAGCAAATGGTGCTTATGTGGGATTGGCACCACCAGGAGATGTTGGATCATGGCAAACAGAAAACAAGGTGAAAAAAAAAAATTCATCCAATCATATGAAAAAAAAAAAAAAAAAAAAAAATTATAGGTATAGCTAGTGATAATGACACTGCCCAGCAATGGTGCTTATGTGGGAATTGGACCACCAGGAGATGTTGGATCATGGCAAACAGAAAACAAGGTGAAAAAAAAATTCATCAATCATATGAAAAAAAACAAAAAAAAAAAAATTTAAAAAAAAAAAAAAAAAAAAAAAATTTACTCCTCTTTTAACCTCAATATGGTAAATCTTTATTAATTACATACTAACAGGACAATTACTTAACTAATTTCTTGATTAATTTTTAAACTAACGTCTTATGTTGCCTCACTCAGGGTTATCAATTCTGGACACAAGCAGATGCTGATGGTTATTTTTCCATTAACGACATTCGCACTGGCGACTATAATCTTTACTCTTGGGTTACTGGTTTTATTGGAGATTACCGTTATGATTCTGTTATTACTATCACTGAAGGTGCAAGTTTCATGAGTTACAGTTTTATTCTTATTTATTTTTTAATTTTCAATTCCTGATATTGCAGGATTTCCATTTGTTTAAAGCAGGTTGTGATATTGACTTGGGAAATATTGTCTATGAACCTCCAAGAGATGGGCCAACATTGTGGGAAATAGGCATTCCTGATCGCTCTGCTGCTGAATTCTATATTCCAGATCCTAATCCTAATTTTATTAACAGCCTTTACGTCAATCATCCGGATAGGTTAGTTGTCCTTCCACTTGCTAATAAATTCCGACGTAAAAAAAATTATTATTATTAAGTTTCTATCAGTTTCTGTATCTATGATCAGGTTCAGGCAATATGGGTTATGGGAAAGATACACAGATCTATACCCTGATGAAGATTTGATTTATACTGTAGGAACAAGTGACTTTAGCAAAGATTGGTTCTTTGCTCATGTTACCAGGTTTTGGTTCAATCCTTCAACATTCAATATTTGAACTTTTTACCAAAATAGTGTTTAAAAAAAAAAGTAATTACCAGAACAAAAATATTTACGAATAAGGTGTTTTCTTGACATTTTAAAATCATTAGTTGCACTTGCACTTTAAATGTATATTGTTACGCTATAGCTGTAACAAAAACAATAAATTTAAACAAATAAAAGAATATTTGTCAAATTACAGGAAGATTGATGATAATAAGTATCAAGCAACTACATGGCAAATTAAGTTCAAACTTGATAATACAAATGAGAATGGAATATACAAACTACGATTGGCACTTGCAACTGCTAATGTTGCTGAATTACAGGTAATTAAAATTCAAAACCATTTTTTCCCTTTTTTTTTTAATTCTTTTCAGGATATATTGATTAATTATTATTATTATTATTTGCGTTGAAGGTTCGGATTAACGATCCAGGAACAAATCCTCCTTTATTTACAACTGGAGAAATTGGACATGACAACACAATAGCAAGACATGGAATTCATGGACTCTACAGGCTTTATAGCATAGAAGTACCAGGTGCTCTGCTCGTTGAAGGAGATAATACCATTTTTTTGACTCAAGCATTGGCCACAGGCCCTTTACAGGGAATAATGTATGACTATATTCGTCTGGAAGGCCCTACTATTTCTGATTCTTAAAATTATTAATCAACCTTTGACTCGTTTACATTGAATATGTAAAAATCCTATTCTGATTGCAATAATTACTTGATTTATATTTTTGTTTAGCTCACAAGAAATTAATTAAGCCATGCAAGAAGAATATCAATTATTATTATTATTATTATTGCATAATATAAGAATATTTAGCTCACAGTAATTACTTAAGTTTAATTAACATAACCAATTATATATATCTATAACTCTAAAATCAGTCATAAACTACATAAAAAAAAAAAAATCCTAAATCACATGCAAAACATATATCTTCAAAATGCACGGGAACTCTTAACCAGGGTTTGGAAATATTTCCACATACCCATTCCCTCTACTGTCTTGACATGTAAAATTATATTTTAAATGTGGTATTCCTCTTATCATTTTCGTGTTTCTCCATTTCGGTTCCTGTGCAACATAAGGTTATTTCTCGTACATAAAAACTCTTTAATTTTCTAAATCACTGATATGTTTTGAGTCATTACTACATATTTATTACCTACAGAGATTTTTCGAGGCTTTTCTTGATTTTTTCAGCTTCATCTGCTGCTTCAACCTGCATCTTATTAGCCTGTAAATCAGCTGCAGTTGCTTCTTTCTCGTTTTTTGCTGTTATTTTCTTTGCCTGTTTCATATACTCAAGACATGCAATTAATCATCTTCTCTAAAGTAGATATTCTAATTTATATATATAAAAATTTATTATAAGCACACATTAAGCAACCAGTCCTAAACTTCACACACCTGACCAACAAACAAGGCTTTCATGTAGCGAAAGCCTTCTTGCAATGAAACTGCGAAAGCTAAGCATTCCTTCTTCATGCGTGACATCGCAGGTTTACTTTTGGTGGCACTAGTTGGTGTTGGCGGCGGCGGCGGCGGCGGTGAGGGTGATGCCCTTATCTCTTCCATGATTTTTTTCTTCCGCTTCTTTCTTTGACACCGAATTAATGCCTTTCTGCGACATCTAAGTGGCGCAGCTTTCTATTTCTATATCTATTCAGAAGAGGTTTACACGTAAGTACGTAAATCATTTTCTTCTTTACGTGGTGGCTCTAAAAGCGACCCACGTTTCCAATTTTGAAGTTGGCTAACGTATATACTAACTGGGATAATGCTTGCCTAATGTATTCATAGGCAAGACAAACTCCATGGTAAGATTAATGGAAATTAACTATATCTCAAATCTAATTTTAACTTAATTGTTTAAAATCTTAAATCACTATTATTTTTTTATACATAAGAGGCCAACAGACCAAGAGAATATGTAGATCATACAATAGGTATGACACTCTAGGCGAATCACACATCAACTAAGTAAAGGATAAAAATAATATATACAAAAAAGGGCAAACCATAGATTAATAAGACATGTTTTGAGCTATGGGTGATTCTAGCACAGAAATAAATTCGTTCAGGTCCAAGTGGATTCGACTTAAAGCAAAAAATATGTTGCTGATCTAAAATGTTATAGTAGGGCTATGTAACCACTTGAACAAAACTTAGAAACAATATTAAGAGATTTTATATAATCAAACTAAGCTATTTATATAAGTAGAGAGACAAATTTAAGAACAGGAAAGAAAATTTTGTATAATATGTGAGATTTCACTTGTCATTATCTAACTTATAAAATATAAATGGTGCTAACACCTCCCTTCAAACTCAACTATAAATGTAATTATAAACTTAAAATTAAGACAAGTATAACTGTGGAATCAAAACTGAGATAGCATGATTAATATATGTTTGTGTATATACATATGTGTATGTATATTTACCTATTCTCTTTTGATACCTTTATTCTTTATGAATCCAAAAAAAAAAAAAAAAAAAAAAAAAATTAAGGACAAGTCATAAACTGTGGAATCAAAAAACTGATATAGCGAATTGATTAATATTGTTTAGTTGCTGTATATACATATGTCGTATGTATATACCTATTCTCTTTTGATACCTTTATTCTTTATGAATCCACAAAAAAAAAAAAACAAAAAAAAAATACTTACTATTAAAAAATAATTAAATTAAAATAAATCAAATTAAATTAAAAATAAAATCAAATATGGAATCAACTAAATTGTAAGAATCCGCTTGTTATGAATTTTGCGCATTTTTCGTTGCATGTTCTACAAAATATATATTTTCAGTAATTAAATTAAGCTAAGAGATTAAAAAAAAAAAAAAAAAAAAATACTACTATTAAAAAATAATTAAATTAAAATAAATCAAATTAAATTAAAAAATAAATCAAATATGAAATCAATAAATTGTAGAATCCGCTTGTTATGAATTTTGGCATTTTCGTTGCATGTTTACAAATATATATTTTCAGTAATTAATTAAGCTAAGAGATTGGAGAGCGCAATTTTAGGTGTGAAAAGGAGATTATGATTGAGTGGAAATTTTATTAAAATATGCTTATTTTATTCAATTAATTTAAAATAAAAAGGGCAAAGCTCAGTGGGCCTTGCCGTATAGCATTTGGGTTAAGCAATTGACAAATAACGGCAGCAGCCCACAAAAGACTAAAAATGGGCTTAGAACAGTTAAACAGACAAATAAAAGCAGCAAGGGCAAAAATGTCAATTCAAACTCCCCAAATCCATCGCAGTTATATATACCCCCATCCTCAAAAGCTAGGGTATAAAAAGCCCCAAATTCTCTCCGCCAAAAATTGTTCCCTCGGACGAACGTTAAATCAAAACAACAAACCACAGCCAAGAATCCCAACTACGTCGCCACCGATCGGTAACATCAATTTTTCTCTCTTAATCCATACCTTGCTTAATCATTCTTGCCCTAATCTTTGCAGGTTCATTCGCATTTTGCATAATTTAACACCTCCAGTGCAAATTTTCTCTCAATTTATTGCTGTTTTCTTATATATATGGAAGGTTTTGATTCGTAGTTTTTGGGTTTATTTGTTGACAGATATCAAGAAATGGCGACGTTTGAGCTGTATAGAAGATCGACAATCGGTATGTGCTTGACGGAGACTCTGGACGAGATGGTTCAAAGCGGTACTCTTAGCCCGGAGCTTGCGATCCAGGTTCTGGTTCAGTTTGATAAGGTATTAACTTGTATCTGAGGCAATTTAACTGCCATTTCTAGCTTTTTTATGTGTTTCTGTTTTTGCTGATTTTTGTTTTTAATTTTGTTTTTGTTTAGTCTATGACTGAAGCTTTGGAATCACAAGTTAAGAGCAAAGTTTCTATTAAGGTAGTTTCTTTAACTGTTGGAGTTTTTTGTTATTTATGGTTTATAAAGATTAGTTGATATATGAAATGGAATGTTATTTTATTAATTTGTTGCTAGTGGTTTTGTTCGCACTATATGGATTTATAAAAATAGGTATTTGGATGAAAGTGTGAAATTTTACTGTTTTGAAATGCTATTCATCAATGAATTAACAGTGTTTGTATAATTCTATATTACCTTATGTTTATGGATAACTAAATTGGGTGTCAAATTGCGGTTATATGTGTGGCGTGCTTAAGGAGTGTTAGAACTTAAGCATGCTAAGTTTGAAACGTTGATCAGGCCATTGTTTAGTTGCATCAGTTTAGATTTCAAAACGTGTTGTATTTGTGTGAAGGGGCACAAACAGTTGGAAAGAGAACCTGATTTTCCATATGTAAACTTGATCCAAGTCTTTCACTCTATAATCTTGAATGAATGTGATGTGCAGCTAGTTAGTCAACAGCTAAAATGCAATTTATGATTCTGCTCAATTGATTATGGGTTGATTCTGGTGGAAAGTGTTCGATTTTGTATGAATGTTGTCTATTACAATTGATTCTGGCTAAAAACAATAGTTAAATGCATGTGGTCTTTACTTTTTTCTTTCTCAAAGATGTGAAAGGGATTTCTGTACCTTTATACTTGATATTCAAAGCAGTTTTAACTGCTCACAGCCTGCCTACTGCACCTCTGGAGTTAAAGTGTCATCATTAGACTTATTATGACATTTCGTGAATATCTTGAATTGCAGAAGTACACGGTTTCTTTTGCGGATTTGGATGTATCAAAACCACAGGTTGTTTTATGAAGAATAATCAGGGCTTTTTTTGGAGAAGTATATGTAGGGTTGTACTAATTAGGATTCATTAGACAAAAAGCGCCATTTCTATTCTACCCCATAGGGTAATACTAACAGGTGCAGTTGATTTAAGATGCATAAGCATATGCTCCCAATTCATCCTGAAGAAATCTTGTGTACTCACGGCACTTTTGGATCTTTCAAATTTCTAATATAGTTATCTAATCTATAACTAATCAAATCAATTATTAGGATGTGCTTAATGATATCTGCAAATGGTGGTGCATTTATGGAGCACCTGCTTTTTGTATGCTACTTACTGATGGACCAGCAGTCAGAATTGGAATATCTAATCCATCATTAGCTTAGGTTTATTAAACTTGCGTAGTCTTTGATAGTTTTTGCATGAGTTTGAATAACAATGTGTTTTTCCAATTAATTGTGGAAATGCAGTTGAATATCGAAAATCTGTAGCATAAGGTGGGTTTTTTACCTAGCATTTATTAGATCTGGTATCTTCTGCTTCGTATTTTAGTTTCTTTCCTTTTATTACTCTTAACTGCTTGGTGTCGATGTATGTTTAGTATTGGATAACTTTTGTATCATTGCTTTCATAAATGTATGAAGTGGTCTTATGCTGTTAACTCTGTTAAGTTTCACTAGGAAATGCACTGTGCTTATGCTAATAAGGAAGAAGGCTTGTTCCCTTTGCATTGGCCTTGAAAAGCAGCGAAATTAAGTCGTTAGATTAAGAGAGATTTACACAAAGTGAAGTGAGAGAATAGTGAGGTGAAGATGTGCAACTGGAGAAAAATGAGTTATGTCACAGGGATCATCTTATGTGATTGTTCCTTTGATATCAAATTGCACTTGTAATCTCTAAATGTCATATAAATCAATTTTCTATTTATTGTTAGTTTGTATGAGCTTGGCATTCAGAAAGGTTGAAACATCTCTCGTTGCATGTTCTGCAGGGACATTTGCATACCTACAGATTCTGCGACAACGTTTGGACTTTCATTCTCCAGGATGCATTGTTTAAAAATGAAGATTCCCAAGAGCAAGTCAGTCGGGTTAAAATAGTGGCATGCGACTCAAAGCTGCTCACACAATAATGGTTTTAGAAATCCATTTGTCTTCTGGTGGCTTGCAGCTAGGAAGAAACTGAGTTTTAGCTACCCTGAAGATTCAAGAACGCTAGTTGTATAGCTATCAACCTCATTTACTGTTATTTGAGGATACATTTGATGATGGTGCATGCTGTATCTATTGATGTATCTTTTCCTATGTTTAATTCTTCTCGAGCAAATGAAAAAAAAAAATTAGAGACGGGCGACAATTTAGCCATGAAATCATGGAAACGTCGAATCATATGAATATGGGAAGCTTGCACATTCTAACGCAATGTCCAGTCATTATCGCTTGCACAAGCTTGTATTTGGCATATTGATGTAACTCGGTCGAAGGCAATCACTTTTTTCTTCTGGAGATTTTTGTTCCTTTCTTTTTTTTCTTTTTTCTTTTTTATGAGTGTGTCTGATTTTATCACTTTCTTTTCTGCAATTTGGCCTTTTTTGGTTCAAGAGAAAGGCACTGAGAAAATTTTCGGGCTCTCGGGTTTTGATCTTTCTAGTAAAATTCATTTGGATAAGCAATTGAATCTGCTTAGCTTATTGATATAAAATTTATAATTTCATGAAATAATTATTTCTCATTTAAATTTAAATTAACATTGCCAATGATAGCTTGTCTTGGCAGCAAAGTCTGAGGCCCTTGAAAAAGGTTCTATCCCTCCTCAAAGGTTCTATTATTGTAATTTTTGGAATCCTCCCTAAATAATTAGATTTAAGATTATATAATAACTTCTGTTTAAAAAAAAATTAAAATTAAAAATTAAACTAATATGATTGAACTACCATTCCACGAGACGATCATTATTTTTTATGATATTTTGTGGCCCAAAAAAAAAAAAGTAGACTGCTTAGATCAAACGCAGCGTTTAAGGGATCACCATTTTTACCAGGTAATGCGCGAGCGTGAACGAAACGCATCAACCCGCTCCGCTCTTCTTGAATAAAATCGCACCGTTAATTCTATCGGATGCTTTAAAAAAAAAACATTAAAAAAACATGCTGGATACGCGCGAAAGCGCGCGCGCGGAGTTAAGCCGTTGTTAGGTTGATCGGGTAGTAGCAAGTAGCTGCTGGATTTTTGCACTGCTCTCACAGTCTCTCTAATTCTCCATCGTCAATGTCGACTTCAGAATCCATATTTTTCTCAGTGGTGAATATTATCATTACTTTCAAATGTGGGGGCCTTTTTTTCTGAGGATTGGAAAGCGTGGGCTTTGCCTTTTATTTCTCAAAATATAGAATTAGAATCCGATCCTAAAATCCTGACACCTTTGCTGCTGTAATTCAGAAATCGAATTCAACATCTCTTAAGAAAGCGTAATCCCGTTCCTCCTTTTTTCTCTGTAGCTTTTTGGTTCAAATAAATTATAAATTGACATCAATGGAGCAAATAGTTTGTATTTCATGCTCCATGTTCTAAAACCTGGTAATAAAAGAAAGAGAGCAAATAAGGTTAAAAATTATAATATGAAAGGACCTAAAGCTTATGTTCGTCTACTAAATGCAAAACTAAGGCACAACGATATCAACTGCTTAAAAATTTGATTGGATGTATTTCTTTTTAAAAATTTTCCTATCTTCTAGCTATTTGTTGTCTTTTGTATCCGTATTTTTTATTAATCGTGTATGCATAAACAGTTGCTGTTATGGCATCGGCTTCTTCCAAGGCTCCCCGAGTTCAACATTTCCAGCTCGTAGATGGCATGCAACTTCAGGTAATAGCTTCTATTTGTGACAAGAAAAGCTACAATTGATTGTTCTTATGTGGAAACTGAGGCTTTTTTTTTCAGATAAATGCGTCAGGCTCTTTGAATGGACATAATGTGAGAATTGAACTTCAGCTTAAGAACTGTACAAGGACTTGGATTCTTCACTGGGGTTGTGTTTATCGTGGAAACCCGTAAAGCCAAAACTCCAAAATCTTTTTTTTTTTTTTTTTTTTTTTTATAATGTGAGAATTGAACTTCAGCTTAAGAACGCTAACGAAGGACTTGGGATTCTTCACTGCGGGTTGGTTTATCGTTGGAAACCCGTTTAAGCCCCAAAACTCCAAAATCTTTATTTTTTTTTTTTTTTTTTTTCTGTGGCTCTTTTTTCTCCCCTCTTTTTTTTAAACACTGAAATTTCATTTTTTTTTTTTTTTTTTTTTTTTCTGTGGCTTCTTTTTTCTCCCCTCTTTTTTTAACAACTGAAATTTCATTTCCTCTACAGGAATTGGTATATCCCTACTGAGCAATCCTCAGGAACAAAATCTTATAAGCAAGGTGCATTACAGACGCCATTTACAAAGGTGTAACTTGATTATGAATTTGGCTATTTGTATTTTCATTTTGGATACTTGTGATACAGCTGATGTAAGAAGTAAAAACCTGTACTTAACCTCTGGTTGGTGAAATTCTTTGTTTAATTGGCAGAATGGAGAATTATATGTCGTTAATATTGAGATACAGGACTCTAAGTTTCATGCTATAGAATTCGTCATCAAAGATGGCAGCTCCAATAGATGGTTAGTTGTTTCCTTTAACTTGTAGTTGTTTCTAAATTCTAATGAATTCTTTTTCACTTACTTTTTCTAGGTTGAAATTGAACAATGGGAATTTCCGAATTGATATACCAGAATATGATGAAAGTATTGATCATCCACCTATTTCAAAAGATATGATAGAGCGGAAGGCATATCAAATCTGGGAAAGTAAGGGCAGGCCAAATAGCACTCCAGAACAACAAAAGGTTCTTTTTATTTGCTATTCCTCTGGATATCCTATTCTTTCAATTTGGCCAATGGTTTGGTTCAGTATCAAACTTTGTGGTTGCTGAATTAATCTCATGATATTTGTTGCAATTATCTTTCTTTTCTGCGAATCATCATTATTTCTTTTTTTGCAGCAGGATGATGAAGATGCTGCGAGAGAGCTCCGAAGTCATTTGACTAAAGGAATGCCATTGAACGAGTCACAAGGTAGTTACATGTTAGCAAGTGCCAAAACAATTACTGATACTAGAGGGAAATCTAGAAGTGGAGTACCTTCTCAATGGAGAAGACATGATGTTGATCAGTGGTTGCATGAACATTCTGTTGGCCACGCCAAAAGCACAAACTTGCCTTCTTCAACTTTAATGGATCTTGTAGATAGAAGTTCTAGAGGAGAAAAAGTAGTATCGAGGCAGAGTTATCGTGTCAGTGACCATGATATAGTGGTTAGTATTCTTTGAATTAAAAATTTTACATTATTTTGACAGAGAAGGATTCTTGTGATGACGTTCTTTTGTCAATTTGTGGTTCGTGTTATGACATTGTAATACTTTGGAATTTGACGTTTGTTATGAGTTTCGGATTTTAAACACTGTTTTTATTTTATGAAAAGAGTTGTTCATTAGTACTGATGTGTAAAGTATTCTCAACCATCACAACTTGTTGAAAATGGTGTACGTTATTGTGCAGGCTTTATTAATAGATGGATTTCAGCGTCATTTGATAATTGAATGAAATTGGCTAATTTCTTATGGAATGAATTCCAATATTACCTTATATAGATGAGTCCAATTGATCAATTCTGATGCCTTCAAAAAGGATAATAACTCACTGTTTGAATGTCTCTTAAATTCTTGATGCTCGCAGGTCCTTACTAAAACTATTAAGAGTGACCTTCACATCTTAGTAGCTGTGAAAGCAAAAGGTACTATGGTTCTGCATTGGGGTGTATCAAAGCTGTCTCCAGGGGAATGGCTGGTGAATTTCTTTGCTTGCTTCCTTATTTTTATATCTAAAGCATGCAAACTTAATGACCATGATATCTTATTTTCCAAAAGCTATCCTGTTGTGTGAATGTCATTACGTCATTGTCAATTCCTTGCTGCTTTTAGGCCCCTCCATCAGAAATATTACCTGAAAGATCAAAACTTGTTGCTCGCGCATGTCAGACTTATTTCACAGAAATATCAACAGGGAAAGAATCCTTTCAGGTCTGTTATTGAATCATGCTTCTGTTCATGTAACATATGCAAACATAGTGCTTTGAACTAATGCCTATAAACACACACACAAAAAAGCTTGTAGATATCAATTTGCAGCAAAGAAATTTCTTGGGTATTCAATTTGTGATCTGGGCCGGTGGATCTTGGATAAAAAACAATGGGGCAAATTTCTCCGTTGTCTTGAAGCCAATAAGTGGAAAGGTACTGTTCATTCTCTGATCTCGAATTAACAGCTTTGCTTTCTCAATATACTTTACTTGCTATTGAAACCTTGCGGCCACACTTTTTTTTTTGGGGTGGGATGGGGTGGGGTGGGGGGTGAAGGAGAAGAGAGAGAAGGGAAGGATAAAACAAAAGGTATGCAGCCTCAAGCTAGAACTTGAGGATCAATTTGGTATGGCAGTGCGTGTTAATTTTAATGAGCGACTAGTAAAATTTTCTGTTACACACCAGGAAATGAAATTGAGAAATAGTAACGAATGAGAAGATTTTCATTTAGGCTGATTGCAATAACATTTGATCTCAAAAATTTACCAAAATATTGAAGCCATAATAGTGCCACAAAAAAAAAAAAAAACATTTCTATATATTTCCTTTTTAAATATTATTTTAGCTACGACAAATGGTTGCGCCAGTTCCCATTAATAGCTCCGTTTTATTGTCAATAATCTTGATAATATAAAGAAATTTTTATCCCTGAAGTATATTGAAGCTCTCTATTCTGTTATTCTGGAAGGTGACTTACTTTTGATTCCATCAAAAGAGCACTTTACCTTCTATGTACCCTGTTGCAGACTGTCATTTTCTGAGCACTTGTTTCTGCAGATAGTGAGATTGTTCATGTAAAATTTATGCATATTATTTGCAGGCTGATGGGACTGTGAAAGATATTCTTAAATGGTTACTTGATGAAATATATCAAAGAGAAAATGAGGCTGAAAGATCATTGATGCATAGGTCTGGTTAAGATATTTTAGCATATTCTATTTTATTTTATATATATGTCACTAAGACAGAATAATCAAGAAATGTAATTTTGGTAGGTAAAGACGAATAAACTATTTGCAGCGCCTCTTTTTATATGGTTTGTTCACCAAGTATATGCTTGCTGATTTACTGATGTACGCAGGTTCAACATTGCAGCAGAATTGACAGAACGTTGTAAATCTGAAGGGGAGCTGGGCCTTATTGGAATATTGGTCTGGTTGAGGTTCATGGCCTGCAGGCATCTTATATGGAACAAAAACTACAACGTAAAACCTCGGTACAATTTTGATCTTAGCTCTAATAAAAACTTCCACGGCTTATCTTGCCTCCTGGTATTAGGTCTCTTATCTGGAAACTTATGCGCGTCCAATTTTTCAAGTGCATAGAGCAATAATAAATCAAAGTTTCAGGAACTTGCTATAATCTGCTTTTTCATCTTTTCATTTTCTTTATTACTTAAAGATATATTTGCATAGAAGTTAGGATTTTGAATTCTACTATTTTGTAGACCTTGTTCATTATGTTGTGCATTTTCTAATGGTTCATTAGAGTCAGTGATCCTTCTCTAGGAGTCTTTTATTGGGCAGAAAGCATACTCTGGGGCAAGGGTGTTGTTTAGCTGCGCAACCAAACAAAATTAAGTATCTATGCCATATTCTTCAGATATGTCAAATAATTTTTTCTAATGTCTAGTTAACAATTTTCTTTAATTTCTATTACAGTAGGATCAAAAAATGAATGCACAAGTTTAGCAGGGTCTTTATAGAGTTTCACTTAGCTTCCTTCTCTTCATTAACCAAAATAGTTAGTAAGAAAACAGGGAGATGTTTGCCAAGTAAAGTCAATGGCGTTCATGAATAATAACTAACTGGTTTTTTGGGTTTTTTTTTTTCCTGTCTTGTACAAAAAGCTTGTCTGTCACTTTTTTTTTTTCCCCTTTTATTGTATGCACTCTAGTTTTGCATATGTGATAAGGAAAGGTAGAACAGTAACATGAAAGAAATGTCTTATGGTGTAGTTTGTGTTGGTTCTGCAGTGAAATTAGTGAAGCTCAAGATAAGTTCACCAATTTACTGCAAAAGATATACTTGACCCAGCCAAATGATAGAGAAATTGTGAGACTGATTATGTTATGTGTTGGACGCGGAGGGCAAGGGGATGTTGGTCAGAGAATCCGTGATGAAATTCTTGTGATTCAGGTATATTTTTAAATCTAATGTGCAAATTGTATGTCTTGTATCAAACTTGCAAAATCATGATCTCCCTGCTTTTCCACCATCAGAGAAATAATGGTTGCAAGACTGGCATGATGGAGGAGTGGCACCAAAAGTTGCATAATAACAGCAGTCCAGATGATGTAATAATTTGCGAGGTATGCTGGTTTATTAATTTCTGTTCTGCAAGTGCAGCCATCAATTGTCATTGCCAGTCTACCAGACTGCATAATTCAGTCATGAGATTGGGCGATCCCCCATTAATATTTATGTGTTTAAGATTTATATGCATGATATCCAAGACAAAACTCTATCAGTTTATTTATACAAACTAATATGAAAATGCAATTGTCATATTTAGTACAAAATATATTATGCTTCATGTCTTCATGCATACTAGTACATTGGTTAACTCTGAAAAATAGATGATAGCTATTATAGTTGCAAAGCTATTTTTTGTGTTTTGTATTCTATGGAGTTAGGTCTAGTATTTGGCATCAAGTGTAGGTTCCCCTTACGATGTAAACAGTAAACTACTCCTTCCCAGCATGGAAGAGGTACCAATAATCTAATGTAAGATTTAGACTAGCTGAAAGCTTGTTCTTTGGGTTAATCTTATGATCAACACTTCTTTTCTTTTTTGACAGGCTCTCTTAAATTATATAAGATGTGGCTTCAGAATTGATGCTTATTGGAAAACATTAAATGCAAATGGTCTGATGAGGGAAAAACTAGCTAGTTATGACCGTCCAATTGTTTCAGAACCTCGTTTCAGTACTGATGCTAAGGAAGGTCTCATACGTGACCTTACAATGTACTTGAAATCATTAAAGGTAAACTGCATAGTGCTTGTTTGCCCTTTTATTATGTTTTCCCTGCCATCTATCGACAAGACTGATTTTGTCATGATTGTTTCTTTATATGTGATTATTATTTTCCTCCCTTCTCCTTAGGAAAAGTTTTTCCATGTATTAATAGCATGCAGAAAATCTAAAGATTTGGAGGGAGGATGACCCTTTTTTTCTTTTTCACAGAATTCATATCCTTTATAAAATATTTATGCATTTATGCTTGCCATTAATGATGACCGCTATTTAGTGCACTCCATAAACACGGAAGCTTACCTATCAGGATAGAATATTTGCAATGACTTAACTACAACATGAGTATTATTTATATTTAGCTTAATGATATCATGTCCTTGCACAACTATGTCATCTAGACAAAATTCTAGTGAAGTGATGGTCCAATTCTGTATATGTCCTTCGTCTCAGAATTGAGGTACAGGCATGATGTACTTATCATTCACTAGTCTTCTCTTATTTATTTGATCTGATCCAATCATACATTAATGTCTCTTCATTTCTCATTACTTGTATAAAAATGCCTCAGGCTGTTCACTCAGGTGCTGACTTTGAATCTGCCATTGAAACTTGTATGGGTGGCAATTTGTCCCTGAAATTGCAGGTGAGCATCTATTCTTTCATTTAATGACTTTTGGTTTGTGTAATTGCATTTTGGTGATATATATGATTATAATATAGAGATGTGTGTCTGTTCATAGCACATGTGAATGCATGAATCTATACTGTCGATGAAATCTGAATTGCAGATGATATTTAACTTAGCTTGTCTTGTTTATTTTGACAAATGGCAGGACTATTTGAACTTTGTCAGAGCACATGCAGCTGATGGAAATATTGGTTCACTTATGGAGGTTATTAGTTTGCAAACAAATTTTGCAATTTATTTGTTTATTTTTTTTTTTTTAAAAAAGAGAAGTATTCTTAAATGATTTGAATTTATTTTCAGAAGTTATTGGAATCTCGCATTGAACTGCATCCTGCTTTGCTCACATCTAATGGAAGAGCAAAAGATTTACTCTTCCTTGATCTTGCATTGGATTCTGCAGTTAGAACAACAATGGAAAGGGGACTGAAAGATCTCAGCTTGGACCTGCTGCCAGTAAATTTTCCACTCATATTGCCACATATTTCATTGGACTAACTTTTAACTTTCATATTCATGCAATAAAAAAAGCATCTGTGCAAGATGATAAAAATGATTTGTCATTTCGTTCTCATTGAAGGATATTTTGTTCTACCTGACCTTGATGCTTGAAAATTTATGCCTGTCAACTGTCAACAATGAAGACCTCATTTATTGCACAAAGGTATGTCCTTCCTTTGGCTTCAATGCTTTTGCCTTTTTTTTTATCTATACTTCTAATTTCTTAATGTGTGTGTGTGCGTGTGAAATTTTTCTTGTAATCAACTTGATAGTTGGTTAGTTTCATGAGTTTCAAATCTTACTGGAGCTGTGTTCTCCAAATGTTGATGTTCTGCTGCTCTTTAAGGACTGGTACTGTGTCCGTGAATCATATAAACCAAATGATGGTCAATGGGCATTACAAGCAAAGGCTGTTCTTGATCGATTGCAGCTGATACTTGCGGATAGGTCTCTGAACTACCAGAAAAAAGTACAGCCCAGTGCACAGTATCTTGGTAATTTGCTTAGTATTCAGAAATCGGTGGTGAGTTAAACTCATTTTGAACTTTTTATGGGATGTCTTTCTACGAATCTATCTCTCTCTCTTTTTCTTTAAGTTGTATTTTTGTACTGGTGTCAGATTGATACTTTCACAGAAGAGTTAATCAGGGCAGGGTCAGCAGCTACTCTGTCAATGCTCATCAATCGTTTTGATCCCATTCTCAGAAAACTTGCAAACCTAGGCTGGTAAGAATTCTATACAACCCACTAATTGTACATTGGATTAATTTGAGATTTTATCTGAGCTTGTTTTTGAATTGTCCATTCTCAAATTTAAGTTTGTTTGGCATGTCCCAAGCATTTTTAATTGCAAAATTTCCTCAAGATGGCTTACATATCTTTTTCTGACAGTTTATGGGGTTTGGACTTGATGCAATAAAGTTTGTGCAGGACAGTTGGCAGGTTATTAGCCCAGTGGAAGTGTGTGGTTTTGTAACTTCTGTTAATGAATTGATATCCATTCAGAGTAAAGTTTACAGAAGACCAACTGTTATTATTGCAAATAGAGTAACTGGGGAGGAAGAGATTCCCGATGGAGTTGTGGCCGTATTAACACCTGATATGCCAGACATTCTATCACATGTCTCTATTAGAGCAAGGAATAATAAGGTATGTAACCTTTCATCATTTATTATGCATCTATTTTGAAATTTCATCTATGATGTTGTAAGCAATTTTTGCTGTATTTGGAATGCCATCTAATCCGTATTTCTCAGTTAAAGAAAACCAACATGTGATGTAACTAAAGCAGTATGCAACAGGTATGCTTTGCCACATGTTTTGATCAGAATGTTCTTAGGAATCTCAAGCTGAAGGAAGGAAAAGCCATATCTATAAGCATGAAGTCCATGGATTTGGTTATCAGGTAGCCTCTTGGGTATATGCTTAACTATTATATTCTCCCATTAACTTAAAAAACATGTGTTTCTTGCTCATTTGCAGTGATGTCAGTGGCTCAAATTCATTGCTTAATCCTTCTGTTTCTACCACCATTCCACGAGCAGTAACTTTTAAAAGGAAGAATTTCTGTGGGAAATATGCTATTGCGGTCGAGGAGTTCACTGCTGAGATGGTATGAACATGGTGATTATGCAACTCTGTATTTAGGTAGTTATTTCCTTATTTATCACCTCAGTGCGTGTAATTATGTGAAGTTGTAGATGAGAACAAGCTAATTAATTATTCTTTAAAGCAAGCATGATCCATTGAATGCTTACTGATACAGGCTCCTCCTGCTTAATATTTATTAATTATTACAGATGCACTATCAAAATATGCTGTTGTTCTTGGTTTTTTTTTTATGCTTCCATCGCTATGTCAATGTCTTTCTTCTGAAGATTAGTTAACTGTTATTATCTTGCTATTGCCACTCTTTTGGGACGAAGTACAAGGCAGAGGTGTTCTCTCGTACTAGAAATTTTGAAAAATCAGTACTTGCACATCCATCAAGTGACGAATTATTTACATTGCTCCATAAGTTCTCAGTGAAAGCCTCAATTTGATGTGATTCTGGTGACCTTATTTCAAATATAGGTTGGTGCGAAATCTTGCAATATCAAATTTTTAAGAGAAAGGGTACCATCATGGATTAGAATTCCACTTTCAGTTGCTCTCCCATTTGGAACCTTTGAGGCTGTTCTGTCAGAAGACATTAACAAGGTAGATCACTTTTCCAAGGAGACATTTTGCTATTCCTCATGGCCCTTTAATCTTTATACACAATTATGATTTTGCATGTCTTATAGTTGAATGAATTGTCATGATAATGTTTAATTTCAATACATATTCATCTTCCTCTGCTTTGAAATGCATGTATAGAAATAGAACTCAGATATCAGTCTTCAACCTCCTTCCTTTTAAATACTTGGGAGAACATGAATATTCATAATTCTGTATAGCCTGATAGAAATGTTAACAATTGGAAGGTTGATGGCCTGAAGTTAAACCACTACAATGACAAATATCCGTGTTTTCTTCAGTAGAACTGAATTTTTGTAGCTTTAATAGTTACTGCTCTCTTATAATTAAGCCCTGTAAATGAGTTGGCTGTTTTATATATACTAATGGATATCTGATAACCTATTTTCAGGATATAGCAAGCAGAATTTCTGGCTTTTACAGATCTGTACTGGGTGGTGACCTTACAAAACTTCAAGTGATACAAGATGCCATTCAAAATATGAGGGCACCTTTGTCTTTGGTAATTTTTTATGGTTGAGATTGAGAACTTACTGTATAAACTTATCTCCTGTATATATTCACTTCTTGTTTATAGTTATCCTTGCTGGTGTCAACCATATCAATTTAAGAGGAAAATTATTCTATATTTTAAATTCAATTATTACATTTGGCAAAAGTAAAACAAAATATTTCCCACACAATTTAAGTGAAGAAAATGTCTTTGTCCATTTTTCTTTCATCTGGTTTCCCAAACAACCTTTGTTGGTTATTCTTTTGCTTCTTAGTGTCTTCTAGAGACAATTATCATTTTTTTATATACTGATCCTAGTTCTACCCAAATTAAGTGCTTCCTTGTTTGTTTGTTCTTTAATTTGGGTAGACCTATGAACTTAAGAGCAAAATGAGAAGCTTGAGAATACCTTGGCCTGGTGATGAGGGTGAAAAAAGATGGGAGCAAGCTTGGCAAGCGATAAAGAAGGTGTTGCTTTTAAAATCTCTTTTATGTGAATTATAATGCATAAAACTTTTTGCATCATTTCAGTGTCATGAGGTTTAATATATTATTCCAGGTTTGGGCTTCAAAGTGGAATGAAAGAGCTTATGTTAGTTGTAGGAAAGCTAACTTGAATCATGATAATATACGCATGGCTGTACTGGTTCAAGAAGTCATTTGTGGTGACTATGCTTTTGTCATGCACACAAAGAATCCCATATCGGGGGATTCTTCAGAGATATATACTGAGGTATGCCTTCCCTTTCTGCTCTCATTTCAAGTAGACTGCCATAGCCACACGCTTCATCTCTTAATTTATGTTCATGCAAACATACAGATTGTGAAGGGCCTGGGAGAGACTTTGGTGGGTGCATATCCAGGGCGAGCTATGAGCTTCATTACCAAAAAAAGCAATCTTAAGTTTCCCATTGTAAGTCCAAGTATTTCTCATGTCTTATCAGATGCCCTCTGTACCTGGATGAATGACATTAATTTGAACTGGCTTTTACTTTAGTGAGCTATAGCAATTCATTTACAGAGTGTACCCTTTGAACTTGAATATTAATCTCTCCATCTATTGAAAACGTAACCGGTGAATATGAATTTCAGGTTACTGGTTATCCAAGCAAGAATGTAGGACTATACAGTAAGCAGTCTGTTATATTCAGATCAGACTCAAATGCCGAAGATCTGGAAGGATATGCAGGAGCTGGGCTATATGACAGGTATGTTTCTGGAGTTCCATTTGAATGTTATGTGTTAACAATTTAATTTACTTTTCATGCCCTTCATTTCTGGACGGTTGCAGCCCCTGTGCAGTCTTTTCTTGCATATTAGTCCCCTTCTTAACGGAAATTTTTTTATCTTTCTTCGTGATAATAAATTTGTACATACAACAATATCATGCTGGGTTCTCCTTCATCAATTGAAAAATTCAAAATCTTGCTTCACATGTTCTAATATTGCAATGAATGCAGCGTGATCATGGATGAAGCGAAGAAAATTGTATTAAACTACTCCAGGGATCGAATGATAGTGGATAAGACTTTTCAAATATCAATCTTCTCAAAAATTGCAGAGGCAGGAAAAATCATAGAACGCCTTTATGGTTGCTCTCAGAATATTGAAGGGGTAGTAAAAGATGGAGTCGTATATGTAGTTCAGGCAAGACCACAAATCTAGTACTATTGCAGACAGTCTATGATCTTCTGTTCTCAATTTATGTATCTTCTAAATTTATGTAATATTTTTAATGTTTAATAAATACACATTGTGTTTGTGTTTCCTGTGAGATGATTATCATGATTGCATTTCTTTAATTATATTTGGAGGAAATAGATTCCATGTTGACAGCTGAGAAACAACAAGGAAAAAAAAAAAAAAAAAAAAATGAGATGAATTATCATGTGCATTTCCTTTAATTATATTTGGGAAGAAATAGATTCCAATGTTGAACAGCTGAGAAAACAACAAGGAAAAAAAAAAAAAAAAAAAGAGAGAGGATTTCATTTCCCCATACTGGAATCCTGTCATGAAGAAAATTTGTGCTGTAAATCTTTTTTGTTCCTCCTTTGAAAAAAAAAAAAAAAAAAAAGAGAGAGGAATTCATTTCCCATCTGGAATCCTGTCATGAGAAATTTGTAGCTGTAAATCTTTTTTGTTCCTCCTTTGATTAAACAAAAATAGATACAAGAAAAAAACATAATTAATACTAACAAACGGTTGGATTAGCTGTAAATCCAACCGGTTGTTATGAGAAATTTGTAGCTGTAAATTTTTTTGTTCCTCCTTTGATTAAACAAAAATAGATACAAGAAAAGAACATAATTAATACTAACAAACGGTTGGATCAGCGAAAGCGGACTGAAATTTTATCTGTAAAGTCAGAGTTGGATCGTAAAATCGCGGTCACTATAGAAGGATTTTACTTAAATATCACGTGCAAATCAGAAGAAAAACATTAATTAATTAATAAAAGATGAAAATTCAGAATATCTTGAAGATAATTTGCCTTAGCTTTTTGAGGTATAAAGTGACGATGAAATGATGAATTTTTAAAGTCATAATCCCCTTTTTTTTCTCTGCTAATTGCTCATTTGATAAAATAAAATTTTAATTCTATGTTTATGACTTTGACAATCCATATCTCGATGTCTAATTCTCCTATTTTGGAAGACTTTTTCTTTCCTTTCTTTTTCTTGTCGACTGTATGTAGGGAACTTTTTCTTTCACACAAATGGTCATGTGGGGTCCCGCAATTTTTTTTTTTTTTCCCTTAAAGAAAAAATTAAATGTAATTAGTAAGCAAAAGGGTCTAAAAATGGATGGATAAAGAGAAGCTTCCTTGTAGCCATGGATTCAAATTCGAAGGGCTAATGCATTGAAGAATATTCGTTCTTTTATGTTCCCTTCTTTTTACTTGTCCCACACAACATTCCCTCTTTACGTTGATTTGTCCGTCAGCTAATACCATACACCGTCAGCCTGGGAATGTGAAGAGCTATTATAAAATATATATTTCTTCCACCCTATTTTTTTACATAGTTTTACAAAACCCACGTATTAAGAATTTAGTTAATAAAATTATTTTGTATTTATTTATCCTTAATAACTCATTAAAATATTAATAAAAGTATTTAATTTAATGAACAATTATAAAGATTATTATGAGAAAAATAATTATTTATATATATAAATTTAGAAACCTTACAAACATTTTGAGACATTCATAAAAAAAATAACAAATAAATAAAATAGGACGGAGGGATTATTAATTTTTATATATGTAAGATGCATTCAATAATTTTGAGTTTTTGACTAAAGAAGATTTGTTTAAAGAAGATTTGTTTAAAATGTAGAATGTAGAGGGAAAAAAAAAGGAATAAAAGAGAAAAGTTACTTTTATATTTAGATTCTATTGGTTGTTATAAAATTATTTACCAAAAGAATATATTTCAAATTGTTTGATATTTAGGCTCCATGTTTCTGAAAATTAATTTATTTTTGAAAAATATATATTTTAAGAAAATATGTTCAAAACAACTCATTTTCTCATTTGATTTGATTGCAATATTAAAAATTAATTAAAAATATTAAAAAATTATAATTTATAAGGATATAAAAATATTTGAAATTATAGAAATTTCTTTTTTTAAAATATTGTTAACTATGAAAAATACATAAAAACGATAAATTATAGTAGGCATAGATGACGGTGGTTGGTGACTGATAATAATTATTAAAAATTAATAATCGTGTATTTATAAGGTTATAATAAAAATATTTTCCTTTTTTAAAAAAGAAAATTTATTTTCTTTTAAAATGATTTGATTTTTCCTTTAATTAGAAAAATATTTTTCACTAACAAATTTTCTTCAACAATCCAAACATCAAAAAAAGGAAAATTAAAAATATTTCTCACGTAAATTGTTTGTCCAAAAGCAAATAAATCTTTGCGATTTCTAATCTGATTAGATAAAAAATATCATCCAAATGGACTAATACTTTCGTAGTTCTCTACGACTCTACCTACGCGCTGTCATAATAGTGATCCTTAAGGATGAAGTATGCCTCTAGTTGTGTTGACCAAAAGAAATCATATTTTGCTATAGACACACCAAACCAAAGTGGCTAAATCCAGGACATTCCATCTTCAATTCATGCGTCCTTTCGCTCCTGTAGAAGACTTGCAAAGACTGAAAATCAGTTCCCTTTTATCATGTTTTGATGTGTAACTTTGATTTGAAGCTAGTTTTAGACACCCATTTAACCGATAGAGTTACACATGAAATGGATTGAAGCTGGGGTAGGTCCATTGAAATTTGGAAATGTACTTTGGACAAACACAAACACATCGTTTTGCCAATCAAAGAAAGTTTGACCACTACATATTACGCAAGTTGGGCAATGATCGTATAGAGGTTGGCCATGGCTCCAACGTTTACTACTTGGATTGGCAAGGCAACATCATGGTTTTGATTTTGTGATACTAAGTGGCAAGTATCAAAGATTTAATAATATTAATGTTAGTTAGTTAAAGATAAATCGGTCCGGATTCATTTCCTCTTAGTTAAAAGACGTATTTGGTGTAAACTACCGGTATCCGAATTCATTGCGTTTAGTGGGGATTAAACCAGATAACTCTTCCCATATATTCAGTATGCGTTATCAACCGAATCACAGCCCGTAAATAAAAAATGTCTTTTATTTGAGTATTGGGTATAAAAATTATTGCGTTGGATAAATTGCTTTTGCATGGAACATACAGTACTTAACTAAACATAATCAAAGTGCAATAGGTTTTCGAATGTTGGTAGGTATCAGAAAAAAATTGATAATATTTTTATATTGAAACTAAAATAAGGTATATAATATACAAGTGGTTCTCATATTTTTATTTGCTTTGTTTAGAATTCAAATTTGAGAAATTTTGATAAAAATTAAAAATATGAACCTCTAAAATGTTCTTTTCACAATATTTTAATGGAACTTATAAAAAGTCAATTATATTGAGTTTACAACAATTTTTTCATGCTTTAATTTTTTTTTTCTATATATATGTTTTTAAAATTTTTATTGCTTTTGATAAAACATAAATTTTCTCCAATCATGAATATCATTTTTTTAGGGGTAAAGTAGTCATATTGTAAACATCATAACAAATCAGAGACAATAAACAAAGAGGATCTTCAAGAACCTAAACTCGTAGATAATACTCTTTTTGTCTCGTAATAATCAATTCAATTTCCTCTTTTTACTTGTTTCATATTATGGTTTTATTTTCCTTTTTTAGAAAAGTATAATATTTATAATTTTTTATCTATTCCTATTTAACATACATCTCTATCAAAAAAATATTTTGCTAATACCCTTAATCAATATTAAAACAGAAATGTAATTATTATTGAAATGCATATTAGTCAATTTCATAATTAACTTTAAAATAAAATAAGAATTATTAAAATTTTTTTACTAGAAATAGAGACTATTAATATTTAAATAAAATTATAATTTAATCACATTTATTATATTTATTTAATTTATGTCAAAATTGAAAATTAAATTAGTACGAGACAGATAAATTATATAAACTATTAAGGAATGAGGACCGCAACACGTGATCCTGCAGAAAGGGGATAGGGTCTCCCATCAATGTTAGGAAGGTCGGTATGTCCTATGGAGATGTTTTAAATCGAGACATCAACACCTAACCGGTGACCTGAGCCGACGGGGTCAATGACTAACACACTTGATAGTATTTTTTTTCTTTGAAAAAAAAAGAAAAACCGTAAGGTTCCTTAAGGTTTATATATACTATATATTGGACTCAAGGGTCCCATTTCTTGTAAGTTGAATGGGCCAATCCATTGACCGACTGGAGGTTGGGAATAACAAGACATTGAGATCGTGACGACTTTAAATAAAAACAATAGGGTTGTTCATAATTTAATTTGATTTGATTTAAAAGTTTTATCATTTTCAAATTGCATGTTATTGAACTGGAATATAATTGATTTTAAAAGTTTTTATCATTTTCAAAATTGCATGTTAATTGAACTGGAATATATATAATATAGTATATATATATAGTAATTTATATATATAATAATATATATAATATATGAATTTAAGTTTTTTTTTTCAGCATTTTATTTATGAATTTAAAGTTTTTTTTTTCAGCATTTTATTTTTCTTTTTTTAAAAGAATTAAAATTTTTTTCCCTATTTTTCTGTATTTTGATTAGTTTTCAATTTAATATTATTATATAATACCGATAATTCATAACTTTTGAAACCTATAATTTAATCGGATCATCTCATCTAATTCAATCCAACTAAAACTCTAAAATCTAGCTAACTATATTTGAATCTATATAATCTAATCTCTACACATATAAGCGTGAGAAAGTCATCTCCATCACATAAACACCTTGTACCTTTTCCTATCTTCCTCTAATTTATTTTAGTGTTTCTATGAAACTAGTATTTATTTAAAGTGTTTTGTCTTTATTCAGTTTCTTGGAGGGCTAGAGGCATTTCTTATTCTTTTCCATCGGAGGGCTAGAGGCAATCCGCTATCATCCACTGAAAATATCGACTGTCGTAGATCAATTATCACTGGTTAACGAAGAGATTTTTTTTTATTCTTTTTCTATTTCTTCAATATTGTAGGATTTATTATTATTTTTTCCATAAATATAAATGGACATATGTATTCAATATTGTAGGTTTATTACTATTTTTTCATAAATATTAATGGACATGTGTATATATCTTTATGCAATTGTAATGTTTAGAGTAATTAAATTATTTTCGACCTATATTTTCTGGCAAAAAAAAAGTTACGATTAAATGAAAAAACTTATGCTTATAAGCATTTTTTAAAATGTAATTTATCAATTTATAAAATTTTAAAATTTCAGTAAATATATCAATAATCAATTTAGGTTCTCAAAATTTGATATCATGCTTTATTTTTATAGTTTTATATTTAAAATTAAAATTCGAGTTTTAGTTTGAGTTTTGAAATCATTCTTACTATATATAAAACATTAAATCAATAACTATGTTAATTTTAATTGAATTATTGTTATTAATAAAAGAATTTTCAACATAAATTACAAATTAAAGACACTTCAAACTAATTTAATAATAATAATTATCAAGTAATGTATAGACATTCGCGCGCGAAGCGAACTAACGACTAGTTTTCTAATTAATATTGAGTCATGAGTATTGATGTGTTTTAAATTTTGAAGATATAATAATAATGTTACTATTTTTTATTGTTTAAAATAATAAATGATATTATTAATCCCGTTAATTATAAAAAAAACTGTAATACTGTTATCAACCATATAAATGTATACTAATTGAAATTGTGTCATCTAAAGTGATATTTGTTTGTAAATCATTTATTCTCTTTGTCCCAAAATATAAGTCGTTTTGAGTATTTTGAGAGTAATAAGTGATATTTTTTAATGTTACCTTTATTTATACTAGATACAATAAATATTTTTATAAATAAGTACTGGTTTTGAGATAAATGATAAATTGGTCAAATTACTGTTGATTTTTGTTATAATATAGGAGGATTAATTACTTTCTTAATCCTCGTGAAAAAAACTTAAATAAGTTATATTTTGGGACGGCATGAGCATTAATTAGTCTTTGTAGGATTTTTTTTTTTTTGGAAAAAAACTTGTTTGAAAAATGCTAAGGAAAATATGTACTATTTTTCTTCTAGGTCCATGAAATTAGAGTTTCTAAAAAAAAAAAAAAAAAGAAATGATGAATAAATTGAAAATTGTAGTATTTAATGTGAAATAAGTCAGAGTACATCATTTATTCAGAAAAATCCTAGTCATCTCTCTCTGACTCTTTTGTTTCTAAACCACCACCGACCGTAGACGGTCGGTGGTGGTTTCTTTCTGTCTCTTACTATCATTTTTCTAGTTTTTTTTCCATCTCTCACTATCGTTTTTCTTTGTTTTATTTAATTTTCTTTCTAGTCATTTTTCTAGTTTTTTTTTCATCTCTTACTATCGTTTTTCTTTGTTTTATTTTGTTTTCTTTCTAATAATTTCAAAATCTATGATCGTTTGTAATAAAATTTGGATTTAATTTTTCAAATCTATAATAGTTGATAGATCTTGAGTGTTTTTGACACCCTCTTATCGAGTTATTAATATATCTCATTTCATGGAGTTATTCCTCGTTATTGAGAAATTTTTACATCGATCTTTTTTTTTTTTTCTGACAATTCGAAATGCAGGATGCATTGTTGGTTACTTGTAGTTAGAGATTTCAGATCATGGTTGGATTTTAGATCTTCAAGTTCGGGTAAATTTCCTTTACCAATAGAGTCCGGTGGTTTGTTCTTCTATTAAAATTTATTATATTAAATTATTTTTCGAGTGTCAGTTGTAACAAGTTTCTGAAAAAATAATATTGGAGACAATATTATGGAAGATTTTTTTTGTTGTCTTATTTGAAAACAAATCAATTTTTACCTGAAAATTCAATTTTTATCTGGAAGATTAACCTCTTATGCCAATATCAATTTATATTACAAATTCTTAAGTTTTTTTTTTTTTTTAAAAAAAAAAGTGAAATCAAGTTTATTATTTTCCTTCATTCATGGTTTTATGTACTCTCATTTCCAATCAAAGTTTTGGTCATAATTATTCATATATAGAAGGCTTTATAAAATAAAGTGTACAAAACAAATTACCAAAAGTGTAAAATATTAAATTTTATGCTAAAAATAAATATAGAAACAATATATTATATTGTTGGCATTTTTAATGAATTAACTTTTTTTTTCCCCCATAATTTGACGGTTATAGAAGGTAGATACACAAATTGCTGTGCTTCCTTATTGGTCCCGGTAGTTTATATCAAAAAAATTTACCAATAATAGGTTACAACTACAAGAATTCTTACTAGTTTAGCGAATTAATAAAATATTATTCTATTATATAATCTATGAAAAACCATTTCAGTTTATTATACCTCTTAATAAATAAAAAATATTGTTAATATATATTCAATAAAAAAATCAATAACTAAAATTAAAAATTTAATTAATAAAACACTTACCCATATGGTACATATCAATTTTAAATTATGGCCATAACTAATAAAAAAATTCTCAAAAAGTAAAAAGAAATTATTGAAGTGGAATTAAATTTTAATATAAGTTAATATTTTATAATTAATAAATATTTTCATCAATAATTAACGAACATTTACCCATAAGAAAGAACACCATAAGCGACATTGAACATTCTAGTTCACATTTTACTTTTATTATTTGATTAACTTAAATAAATAAATTTTATCATATAAAATAAAAGAAAAAGCATCAACAAATGGCAAAACGGTCTTTGCATTCCACCTAAACAAGGACGGTGACTGGAAGACTCTTCTCTGCGGTGGCAACTCAAACTGTTACATTACATTACATAATAATATAAACTCATTACATTACATAATAATATAAACTCTTACATTTTCCTTTCCTTATAATTAATTTTCATTATTTATATATAAAAAAAAAAACCAAAATCACAATAACACGAACAACACAACACAAGCCCACCCCTTCTCTTTCTCTTCTTTGCTTTGGGGTTTCGCCTCTCTCTCTCTCTCTCTCTCTCTCTCTCTCTCCCCTCCTCTGTCACAATCTCTCGCCTTCTTTTTTTTTTCCTTTTCCTCCCTCTCTCCAGTGTTCACTCGGATGTGTATGTATCCATCGTTTCTCTATCTATCCTCTTTCAGGTTTCCTCTCTCTCGAGTCTCATATATATGTGTATGCATATGTTTATATCGTATCTGATCTATTTTTGTTCTTATTTTCTACGTTTCATTTTCAAAATTGCTTGTGGATTTTTAGGGATTTTGATTATGTCTTAGTCTCCGATTCTGATTGTATTTCCCACTGTTGCGTATATGTCTGTGTGTTTTAACTTTTTTTTTTTCTTTCTCTCTGTTTGCTTTATTGCAGTAGTAGTTGAAAGTAGAGAAGTCGAGGCGTGATGGCAACGATAAGATCGAGCTTGCCTTCAAGGCTTCGGCAACTTCTGTCTGGTGAAAGCGTTATTGGCCCTTCTATAAAACTCGACTCTGAACCAGTGAGTTTACTTATTTTTTATGCCTCTTCTGGTTATTTTTTTATTGGTTTATCCATCTTTTTTATTGCTTTTTATGATCAGGGTTTTGTGATTAAGTACTGTTTGGTGAATCATTTGGATTTTGTGTTACTATTTCTATGATATAACGAGTGATTACTTAGTTAGGCGTCCCCATATTTTTATACTTTTTGTATGGATGGTTCCACAATTATGTCAATTGATTTTATGCTAAGAAGTAATAGAAAGATACGAGATTTTATGTCAACTGGGTGCTTCTTGATTTTTTGTTTCTGGTTGGAATATTGAAATCAATAATGCTTGGAGTATTAATGATGGATGTATAGTAAGCACTGTCCATTATGTTGTTTGACTTGCAACTTTAACTTAATGGAGGTAACCATGGCCTGAAAGGTTTGGTTGTTTTGAATTCCATTTGCTCTGTGTCCTGTTCATAGTGTATTTTTGGGTCAGAAACTGAATGTCACTGTAAGTAATTCATTTTCAATCAACTCTGCTGCCAGCCAGGACTAGTATGACAAATGGGCTAGTTCTCAAAGCTTTAAAGTCCAAACACACCTCTATAGATTATTCAATCGTTTCTGTTGCCTTCTTTCAAAGGTAGCACCTTTTTTTCTTGAAGATTGTGCACAAATGAATCAACTTTTGTTTGAGTGGAAGTCTTTTAAGATTGATGGGGAAGCCAATCCTTTGAAATATATATCCACAAAAGCCATTGGCCAATGATGATTGCTGACAAGGGATTGTAATCCCTTCTTTCCAATTTCTGTGTTAGTTTTCTTAATTTTCCATATCACCAGATTAAATTTGAACACCTTTCTCCTGCTGATTGGGTTTATGGATTTTCTTATAGTCCCTCATCACCAGTTTTCCTGTTGCCATGCTTTCAGTTTATTTATTATTTATTTGCAGTGATACTAATGTCATTTAGCCTGCTTGATGTCATTACCATATCCAACTTATGTTTTATATACCTTATTACAAGGGAAAAAAAAAGGATAAGAAAGGGTAATTTGTTCTGTAGAATACTCATAACAAAAAGAAAAAAACAAATAAAGGTGACTTATCTTTTCAATTTGGCAGATCCTTGTTCTTGTGAATATCTTCCTGCTTGCTACTTGATATTTTTGGCCGGTACTTGAATATACTGATTGTATATATCATCTTGTCAAAATTGTCTAATGGTACTCTTCATCGTGTCTCTGTCATGTAGAGACATATTTCTTACTTCAAAATTTGTTTACTTGAAATCCTAGAAGATGGCTTCTATAGCAAGTATTATAAAATCTATTTATAATTTCTCCTTTTTGATATTATTTCGTTTGTGCAAAATTGTCTGACATGTGTTGCTAAATGCAGCCTCCTAAAATTAAAGCATTCATTGACAAGGTGATCCAGAGTCCATTGCAAGATATAGCAATACCCCTTTCTGGCTTTCGCTGGGAGTACAGCAAGGTAAAGTCATGTGTTTTCCTTGTCTTTTACAGTTATTTTCCCACAGAAATATCTTCCTGAATTTTTTCATGTGCTTTGCTTATTCAATTCTTTAACTTGTAGGGGAATTTTCACCACTGGAGGCCATTATTTCTGCATTTTGATACTTACTTCAAGACATACTTGTCTACTAGGAGTGACCTTGTTTTGTCAGATGAAATTTCAGAAACTGATAGTCCATTCCCAAAGCATGCAGTTCTACAAATATTACGGGTGATGCAAACAATTTTAGAGAATTGCCATAACAAAAATTCATTCGATGGCTTAGAGGTACACTTTTGGATAAGACGTGTGTTCTTAACATTTGATGTATGTTTATGCGAAGTCCTTGTTGACATTATGTGCTAAATCTACATACATGATATAAGCATACATGGATCGTTGTACTTCTATTATGTTTTTAATGGTTATGTTCCTTTTCAGCATTTCAAGCTCCTACTTGCATCAACAGATCCTGAGGTGCTTATAGCTGCATTGGAGACACTTTCAGCCCTTGTGAAAATCAATCCTTCTAAACTGCATGGGAGTGGGAAGTTGGTTGGATGTGGCTCAGTAAACAGCTATCTTCTGTCCCTTGCACAGGGCTGGGGAAGTAAGGAGGAAGGATTGGGCTTGTATTCTTGTGTTATGGCAAATGAGAGAAGTCAGGAGGAAGGGTTATGTTTGTTCCCATCTGAGGTGGAAAATGATAATGACAAGTCTCAGTCCCGTATTGGTTCTACTCTGTATTTTGAATTGCATGGTCTCAATGCTGAAAGTAGTAGGGATAGTAGTGGCAGTATGAGTTCTTCTAGTTTGAGAGTTATACACATGCCAGATCTGCATTTGCGGAAGGAAGATGATCTGTTGCTGATGAAAAAGTGCATTGAGGAGTACAATGTTCCTCCTGACCTTCGATTTTCATTGCTAACCAGAATTAGATATGCTCGGGCTTTTCGTTCTCCCAGAATATGCAGGCTATACAGCAGGATTTGCCTTCTCGCGTTCATTGTGCTTGTTCAGTCTAGTGATGCTAATGATGAACTTACATCCTTTTTTGCTAATGAGCCTGAGTATACAAATGAACTAATTAGGATTGTGCGATCAGAGGAAAGTGTTCCTGGAACCATTAGAACTCTTTCAATGCTTGCCCTAGGAGCTCAGTTAGCTGCATATTCTGCATCTCATGAGCGGGCACGGATTTTGAGTGGATCTAGTATCAGTTTTGCTGTGGGAAATCGCATGATTCTCCTGAATGTGCTTCAGAGGGCTGTTTTATCTTTGAAGAACTCCAATGATCCATCTTCTCTAGCCTTTGTTGAAGCACTTCTTCAGTTTTATTTGCTTCATATTGTTTCATCATCGGCTTCAGGGAGTAATGTTAGGGGGTCAGGAATGGTTCCTACATTTTTACCTCTGTTGGAAGATTCAGATCCCAATCATATGCACCTTGTCTATTTGGCTGTCAAAGCCCTACAAAAGCTCATGGATTACAGTAGTTCGGCTGTGTCACTGCTTAGGGAATTAGGGGGAGTAGAGCTTTTGGCACAAAGGTTACTGATAGAAGTACATAGAATTACTGGTTTGGTGGGGGAAAATGATAATTCAATGATCCGTGGTGAATGCTCCAAATATAATGATGATCATATCTACTCTCAGAAGAGGCTAATCAAGGTTCTTTTGAAGGCACTTGGATCTGCTACATATGCTCCCTCAAACAATACGAGATCCCTAAATTCCCATGATAGTTCTTTACCTTCTACTTTGTCACTGATATATGGGAATGCTGATAAATTTGGGGGTGATATTTATTACTCAGCTGTGACTGTTATGAGTGAAATTATCCACAAGGACCCAACTTGTTTCCCTGCTTTGCATGAAATGGGTCTTCCGGATGCATTTTTATCTTCAGTGGTTGCTGGACCACTTCCTTCTTCTAAGGCTCTTACGAGTGTTCCAAATGGTCTTGGTGCTATATGTCTTAATGCCAAAGGCTTAGAAGCAGTAAAAGAAACTTCAGCTTTACGGTTTCTTGTTGACATCTTCACCAGCAAGAAGTATGTTTTAGCAATGAATGAAGCCATTGTTCCTTTGGCAAATGCTGTTGAAGAGCTTTTGCGGCATGTATCTTCACTGAGAGGCACTGGTGTAGATATAATTATTGAGATTGTTGATAGAATTGCTTCCTTTGGGGATAATAGTTCTGCAGGGCCATCAGGGAAGGTTGGTGGGAATACTGAAATGGAAATGGATTCCGAAGTGAAGGAAAATGATGAGCATTGTTTGGTTGGTGCAGTTGATTTATCTGCAGAAGGCATCAGTAATGAGCAGTTCGTTCAACTGTGCATCTTTCATTTGATGGTTCTGCTTCACAGGACAATGGAAAATTCAGAAACATGTCGTTTATTCGTGGAGAAGTCTGGAATTGAAGCTTTACTGAAGCTTCTGTTGCAACCGAGTATTGTCCAGTCATCTGAAGGGATGTCTATTGCTTTGCATAGCACAATGGTTTTCAAGGGTTTTACTCAACACCATTCTGCACCTCTAGCACGTGCATTCTGTCTTTCTCTTAGGGAACATCTAAAGCAAGCTTTGACTGGGTTTGGTGTGAGTTCAGGTTCCTTTTTGCTGGACCCTAGGGCAACACCAGATAGTGGGATCTTTTCTTCACTTTTCCTTGTTGAGTTCCTTCTGCTTCTTGCTGCATCAAAGGACAATCGCTGGGTAACTGCACTTCTTACAGAATTTGGAAATGGTAGCAAAGATGTTCTGGAGGATATAGGTCGTGTACATCGTGAAGTGCTTTGGCAGATTGCTTTGCTTGAAGATGCAAAACTGGAAGATGATGGTACTGGTTCTGCGGCTGAGGTGCAGCAGTCTGAGCTGAGTACAAATGAAACCGAAGAACAACGATTTAATTCTTTCAGGCAGTTCCTTGATCCATTATTGAGGAGGAGGACATCAGGCTGGAGTATTGAATCCCAGGTTTTTGACCTCATAAACCTTTACCGTGACCTTGGACGTGCGACTGGGTTTCCGCAACGGTTGAGCATTGATGGTCTTTCAAATCGCTTTGGATCGAATAGTCAACAACATCATTCTGAATCTTCAGATGCTTCTGGGGCTTTAAGTAAAAAGGAATATGACAAGCAGAGATCCTATTATACTTCTTGCTGTGACACAGTGAGATCACTTTCTTTTCACATTATGCATTTGTTTCAAGAGTTGGGGAAGGCAATGTTACTTCCTTCTCGTCGACGGGACGATACTGTGAATGTTTCCCCTTCTTCTAAAGTTGTGGCTAGTACTTTTGCTTCTATTGCTCTGGATCACATGAATTTTGGTGGTCATGCAAGTCCTTCTGGTTCAGAGGCATCAATATCAACCAAATGTCGCTACTTTGGCAAGGTTATTGATTTTATTGATGGCATTCTACTGGACAGGCCTGATTCTTGTAATCCAATATTGTTAAACTGCTTATATGGACATGGAGTTGTTCAATCAGTTTTGACGACATTTGAAGCTACCAGTCAATTGCTCTTTGCAGTTAATAGGGCCCCTGCATCTCCCATGGAGACTGATGATGGGAATGTAAAACAGGATATTAAGGAAGATGCTGATCATTCATGGATTTATGGTCCCTTAGCTAGTTATGGTAAACTTATGGACCACTTGGCGACGTCATCATTTATTTTATCTCCATTTACAAAGCACCTGCTTGCACAGCCTTTGGCAAATGGGGTTTCACCTTTTCCGCGAGATGCTGAGATGTTTGTTAAAGTCCTCCAGTCTATGTTGCTGAAGGCTGTACTTCCTGTTTGGACTCACTCTCAGTTGTCTGATTGCAGTAATGATTTCATCAGTACAGTCATTTCTATTATTAGGCATGTTTACTCAGGGGTGGAAGTGAAGAATCTCAATAGCAACACCAGCACTCGCATTACTGGTCCTCCTCCAAATGAAACAGCTATTTCAACCATTGTTGAGATGGGGTTTTCCAGGTCTAGAGCAGAGGAGGCTCTAAGGCAAGTTGGATCAAATAGTGTGGAACTGGCAATGGAGTGGTTGTTCTCCCACCCCGAGGAGACCCAAGAAGATGATGAACTTGCCCGTGCACTTGCCATGTCTTTGGGGAACTCAGAATCAGACACAAAGGAGAATGATGCAAATGCCAATCCTCAGCAGCTTGAAGAAGAGATGATCCAACTTCCTCCGGTTGACGAGTTGTTATCAACATGTATAAAACTTTTGCAAGTGAAGGAGCCTCTTGCCTTCCCTGTTCGTGACCTTCTTGTGTTGATTTGCTCACAAAGTGATGGCCAGTACAGGTCTAGTGTCATCTCATTTATTCTTGACCAAGTGAAAGATCAAAATCTTACTTCTGATGGCAAGAATTTTACCATGTTATCTGCTCTTTTTCATGTACTGGCCTTGATTCTCCATGAAGATGCAATGGCACGAGAAATTGCCCTAAAGAATGGTCTGGTTAAAATTGTTTCTGATTTACTTTCACAATGGGATTCTGGTCTGGTGGACAAAGAGAAGAATCAGGTTCCCAAGTGGGTGACAACAGCATTTCTTGCAGTTGATCGCTTACTACAGGTGGATCAAAAACTGAATTCTGAGATTGTTGAGAGGTTAAAAAGGGATGATGAGAACAACAGTCAGCAAACCTCAATCACAATAGATGAGGAAAAGCAAAACAGATTCCAATCTGCACTAGGACCTGAGCTAGTCCAGCCTGAAGAGCAGAAGAGACTTATTCAGATTGCTTGCCATTGTATCAAGAACCAGCTTCCATCTGAGACTATGCATGCTGTTCTGCAGTTGTCCACTACTCTCACTAGAACTCATTATATTGCTGTTTGTTTTCTTGAATCTGAGGGTGTAAGCTCACTGTTGAATTTGCCAACTAGTAGCCTTTTCCCTGGTTTTGACAATATTGCTGCTACTATCATCCGTCATGTCCTTGAAGATCCCCAAACCCTTCAGCAAGCAATGGAATCTGAGATAAAGCACAGCCTCGTGGCTGCTGCTAACAGACATTCCAATGGAAGAGTCACTCCACGTAATTTCCTTTTAAATTTAAGTTCTGTCATTTCTCGAGATCCAGTGATATTTATGCAGGCTGCTCAATCTGTTTGCCAAGTTGAGATGGTAGGTGAAAGGCCTTATGTTGTGTTGCTGAAGGATCGTGAGAAAGAGAAAAGCAAAGAGAAAGAAAAAGCATTTGAAAAAGATAAATTGCAAATTGCTGATGGGAAGGCTAATTTGGGCAATGTGAATGCGGGCAGTGTGCATGGCAAACTTCATGATTCAAATTGCAAGACTGCCAAAGCACACCGAAAATCTCCCCAGAGCTTTATAACTGTGATTGAGCTTCTTTTGGATGTAGTAAGTAGTTTTATACCTCCCTCAAGAGATGATGCAGTGGAAGATGTGCCACATGATAAGCCATCTTCAAGTGACATGGATGTTGATGTTGCTGCAATTAAGGGAAAAGGAAAAGCCATAGCCACTGTTTCTGAAGAGAATGAAGCTGGTAGCCAGGAAGCTTCGGCAGTTCTTGCAAAGGTTGTATTTATCCTGAAGCTTTCGACAGAAATTGTGCTACTGTATTCTTCATCTGTTCATGTGCTGCTGAGAAGAGATGCTGAATTTAGTAGCTGTAGAGGGCCTCATCAAAAGGGTTCTACTGGTTTGTGCACCGGAGGAATATTTCATCACATTCTCCACAAGTTTATTCCTTGTTCTCGAAATTTCAAGAAGGAAAAGAAATTGGATGGTGACTGGAGGCATAAACTGGCGACCAGGGCTAGCCAACTTTTGGTTGCTTGCTGTGTTCGCTCAACCGAGGCAAGGAAGAGGATTTTCGCAGAGATAAGCTATATTTTCAGTGATTTTGATTCTTGCAATGGTCCTAGGGCACCAACAAATGATATACAAACATATGTTGATCTTCTCAATGATGTACTGGCTGCCCGAACGCCTACCGGTTCATACATCTCACCGGAAGCTGCCGCCAGTTTTGTAGATGTTGGTCTTGTTAGGTCCTTGACCCGAACTCTTGAAGTGTTGGATCTGGATCATGCAGACTCGCCTAAACTTGTAACTGGCCTCATTAAAGCTCTAGAGTTGGTGACTAAAGAACATGTCAACACAGCAGATTCTAATACTGGGAAGAGTGATAATTCGACAAAACATACTCAGAGCCAATCAGGAAGAGCTGAGAATATGGTTGACATATCCCAGGCCACAGAAATTGTGCCCCAATCCAACCATGATTCTGCAGCTGCTGGCCATGTTGAATCATTTAATGCTGTCCAAAACTTTGGTCGATCTGAAGCTGTTGCAGATGAAATGGAACATGACCAAGATATTGATGGTGGTTTTGCCCCTGCAACTGAGGATGATTATATGCAGGAAACATCTGAGGATATGAGGGGTCTTGAAAATGGCATGGACACTGTTGGGATACGATTTGAGATCCAGCCTCATGGGCAAGAAACTCTTGATGAAGATGAAGATGAGGAGATGTCTGGAGATGATGGAGATGAGGTAGATGAGGATGAGGATGATGATGATGACGACGATGAAGATGATGAGGAGCATAATGATCTGGAAGAGGATGAAGTCCATCACTTGCCACATCCTGATACTGACCAAGATGATCATGATATTGATGATGATGAGTTTGATGAGGAATTGTTGGAGGAAGATGATGAAGATGAGGAGGAAGATGAGGATGGGGTTATACTTAGGCTGGAGGAGGGTATAAACGGGATAAATGTTTTTGATCATATTGAAGTTTTTGGTAGAGACCATAGTTTCCCCAATGAAACTCTCCATGTGATGCCTGTTGAAGTTTTTGGTTCTAGACGTCAGGGGCGAACTACATCCATTTATAGTCTTCTGGGTAGAAGCAGTGACAATGCTGCACCCTCACGTCATCCCCTTTTAGTTGGACCAGCTTCATCACATTCAGCCTCTGCCAGGCAATCTGGTGATTTCCTTTGTCATTTTTTTTTTTTATTTTTCTTTCTTTAGGTGCATTTACTGCACATTGACATGACAATCTCTGACTATTGGTTCTTCATTTTAATTTTATGATAATTTTTGTGTTCTCATGAGTTTCCCCTTCTCTATTTATGTCTTTACAGAGAATGCTCGTGATATGGTCTTTTCAGATAGAAACTTGGAGAACACCTCATCTCAGTTGGATACTATTTTTCGTTCATTGAGAAATGGGCGTCATGGACACCACCGCTTAAACTTATGGAGTGATGATAACCAGCAAAATGGGGGATCTACTGCATCAGTACCCCAAGGCCTTGAGGAATTGCTTGTTTCTCAGTTGAGGCGACCAGCTCCTGAGAAGTCTTTGGATCAGAGTGCTTCAATGACAGAACCGAAAAGTAATGGTGAGGTTGGTCAGTTACCTGGACAAGATGCAGCACAGCCCGGTACTATTGTTGAAAATAATGTGAATAATGAGAGCAGCAATGTGCCTCCTCCCTCTTCTGTTGCAGAGGCAAGATCCAGCAATACTGAGATGAGACCAGTCACTAGTGATTCTCAGTCGCAATCTGTTGAAATGCAGTTTGAACAGAATGATGCTGTTGTGCGTGATGTTGAAGCAGTAAGCCAAGAAAGTAGTGGAAGTGGGGCAACTTTAGGGGAAAGCCTTCGGAGCCTAGATGTTGAAATTGGAAGTGCAGATGGCCATGATGATGGTGGAGAAAGGCAAGGTTCAGCAGATAGAATGCATTTGGATCCGCAGGCAACTAGGACAAGAAGAACCAATGTGTCCTTTGGGAATTCAACAACTGTCAGTGGAAGAGATGCATCTCTTCATAGTGTTACTGAAGTTTCGGAAAATTCTAGCAGAGAAGCAGATCAAGATGGTCCAGCTGTGGAGCAGCAGATTGGTGGTGAGGCTGGCTCTGGATCAATTGATCCAGCATTCTTGGATGCACTTCCTGAAGAGTTGCGAGCCGAAGTTCTTTCTGCCCAACAGGGTCAAGTGCCGCAACCTTCAAATGCTGAGCAACAGAACACTGGTGATATTGATCCAGAGTTCCTTGCGGCCCTTCCTCCAGATATCCGAGCAGAAGTTTTGGCACAACAACAGGCACAAAGGCTTCATCAATCTCATGAACTGGAAGGTCAACCGGTTGAAATGGATACAGTTTCTATTATTGCAACATTTCCTTCAGATTTGCGCGAAGAGGTACACTATTTGCTAGTGCTGTAGTAATATGATTTTGAATATGCAACTATAAGTGATCTACTTATTGTTTCTGCTCTCAGGTTCTCCTAACTTCATCTGATGCTATTCTTGCCAATCTCACTCCTGCTCTTGTTGCGGAGGCTAACATGTTGCGAGAAAGATTTGCACATCGTTATCATAATCGAACGCTTTTTGGTATGTATCCTAGAAGTCGCAGGGGTGAGTCCTCTCGGCGGGGTGAAGGTATTGGATACAGCCTGGAGAGAGCTGGGGCCGGTATACGCAGGTCTGTCAATGCTAAGCTTGTTGAAGCTGATGGAACTCCTTTGGTGGAGACAGAATCTCTCCGAGCTATGATACGAGTGCTCCGCATTGTTCAGGTATTTATTTTCTGACCTCTTTTCACCAATTTCTTGTGTATTCTAATCAAGATGTTGATGAGAATATAATTTTACAGCCACTATATAAAGGTCCTCTGCAAAGGCTTCTCTTGAATTTATGTGCACATGGTGAAACTCGAATTGCTTTGGTGAAAATCTTGATGGACATGTTGATGCTGGATACAAGAAAGCCTGCCAACTATTTAAATGCTGCTGAGCCATCGTATCGGCTCTATGCTTGCCAGAGCAACGTGATGTATTCTCGACCACAATCTTTTGATGGTGAAGTCTACAATTTGTTTCTTTTTTTTTTTACTGGCCCTTTTTTTTTTTTCAGTTGTAGTAGTTACAACCTGTTATGTTATATTGTTTGCTACACAGGGGTCCCACCTTTAGTATCTCGGCGTATACTGGAGACACTGACTTACTTGGCTCGGAATCATCCCTTTGTGGCAAAAATTTTGCTGCAGTTTAGGCTCCCTCTCCCGGCATTACAGCAGCCTGGGTATTCTGATCAGTCACGTGGCAAAGCTGTGATGATGGTGGAAGAGTATGAAACATATAGAAAGCAGTATCAAGGAGGATATGTATCCATTGCGTTGCTTTTAAGTCTCTTGAACCAACCTCTTTATTCGAGGAGTGTAGCACATCTTGAGCAGGTGATGCTTTTGTTATGGTTGATTTTTGTTTTCCCTGGTGTAATTCATTTTTTGGCTTGCTTAGGCAGCTGAAATTGTTCATCTGTTTGGTACTATTTTCTTTATCTGTTTGCAGCTGCTCAACTTGCTGGAGGTAATCATTGACAGCGCTGAATGCAAGCCAAGTTTTTCTGGGACTGGTATCGAAGAACCAGCTGCTCCCCGAATTTCATCACCTGATGCTAAAATAAATACGGAAGTTGGCAGCACTTCTGCTGGGCTTAATGTTTCATCATCTGCTGATGTTGATTCCTCCAAATCCACAACTTCTGTTGCAAATAACGAATGTGATACTCAAAGTGTGCTACTGAACCTGCCACAAGTGGAACTTCGACTTCTGTGCTCATTCCTTGCACGGGAAGGGTATGATATAGGTTTAGATCCATAACGAATTGTGATACTACAAAGCTGTGCTACTTGAACCTGCCACAAGTGGAACCTTCGACTTCTGTGCTTCCATTCCTTGCCACGGGAAGGGTATGATAGAGGTTTAGATCCATATATATATTATAGTATATATTATATATATATATATATTATGTAACATGTATAATTTTAGAACTCCTTTCTCTTTTTTCATTTCGGATAATTTTGTGTTTTGGTACATAGCATTTACATTTTGCTGCATATTTTGCGAGTCTATATGATATATATGGTACATGTATAATTTAGACTCCTTTCTCTTGGTTTCATTTGATAATTGTGTTGGTTACATACATTTTACATTTTGCTGGATATTTTGGAGTCTATATGCTTGATTGACACATTTTCTCCTCTCAGTCTGTCAGATAATGCATATACTCTTGTGGCTGAGGTAATGAAGAAGCTTGTGGCAATTGCACCAACTCATTGTCATCTGTTTATTACTGAGCTGGCTGATGCTGTACAAAACCTAACGAAATCTGCTATGGATGAACTACACCTGTTTGGTGAAGAAGTAAAAGCACTTCTTAGGACAACATCGTCTGATGGAGCTGCAATTTTAAGGGTTCTGCAGGCATTAAGCTCACTTATTGCCTCATTAGTTGAGAAAGAGAAGGACCAGCAGCAGATTCGTCCAGAGAAGGAGCACAGTGTTGCTCTTTCTCAGTTGTGTGACATCAATGCGGCTTTAGAGCCTTTGTGGCTGGAGTTGAGCACTTGCATAAGCAAAATTGAGAGCTACTCGGATGCTGTACCTGATTTGCTACTTCCAAAAACTTCCGCATCAAAACCATCTGGAGTAACACCTCCACTCCCTGCTGGATCTCAGAATATCTTACCCTACATTGAATCCTTCTTTGTAATGTGTGAAAAGTTACTTCCTGCACAGCCAGGTTCCAGTCATGACTATGTTGCAGTTTCTGAAGTTGAAGATGTGAGTTCATCTGCTGCCCAGCAGAAAACCTCAGGCCCTGTCTTGAAAGTCGATGAAAAACACATTGCTTTTGTGAAATTTTCTGAGAAACACAGAAAACTCCTTAATGCTTTCATCCGCCAAAATCCTGGGTTGCTTGAGAAGTCATTTTCACTCATGCTGAAGGTTCCCCGATTCGTTGATTTTGATAATAAACGGTCTCACTTTAGATCAAAAATTAAACATCAGCATGATCATCATCAAAGTCCCCTGAGAATTTCTGTGAGAAGAGCTTACATTCTTGAAGATTCATATAACCAACTGCGCATGAGGTCAACCCAAGATTTGAAAGGGAGGTTGACTGTCCACTTCCAAGGAGAGGAAGGTATTGATGCAGGCGGACTTACAAGGGAATGGTATCAATTATTGTCCAGGGTTATTTTTGACAAGGGTGCACTACTTTTCACAACAGTGGGCAATGAATCTACATTTCAGCCTAACCCCAACTCTGTTTACCAGACGGAACATTTGTCATACTTCAAATTTGTTGGGAGAGTTGTAAGTACCAAGTTAATAGATTCTTGTTTGATTGAGTTGTTCATCCACTTGTCTTATTGATCCTTATCTATCTGTTGCAGGTGGGGAAAGCACTTTTTGATGGGCAACTCTTGGATGTTCATTTCACTCGGTCTTTCTACAAGCATATTTTAGGAGTTAAAGTTACATATCATGACATTGAAGCTATTGATCCGGATTACTTTAAAAACCTTAAATGGATGCTTGAGGTATGCTGCATGTGTCATTTTGTTTCTGTTTTTGTTGGTACTTTGGGGAGGACTTTCTTTCTTTTCCTTAGTTCTTGCTCTTTCCAACATCACGTGGACTCCAATGATTAACATTACCTATTCAGTTGATTTTCTTTTTTGGATTTTGCGTTGATTTTCTTTTTTGGATTTTGCAGAATGATATCAGTGATTGTCTGGACCTTACTTTCAGTATTGATGCTGATGAGGAGAAGCTTATACTGTATGAACGGACAGAGGTATTGGTCTCCTGTGTTTACTTGTATGCTAATTTTTCCCAGATGTCTAATTTTATTTTATTTCTTATCAATTTTGGTGGGCATGCTGCAGGTAACAGATCATGAACTGATTCCTGGTGGACGCAACATTAAAGTCACTGAGGAGAATAAGCACCAATATGTTGATTTAGTCACTGAGCATCGGTTGACAACGGCTATTCGTCCTCAAATAAATGCCTTTTTGGATGGATTCACGGAATTAATTCCAAGGGAGTTGATATCTATTTTTAATGACAAGGAATTAGAATTGTTGATAAGTGGTCTTCCAGACATTGATTGTGAGTTTCTCTTTGTTTTCCTCGCGTGTATTATGGCATTTTGTATTTTTTTTTTCCTAACCATACCTAAGAATATTGTGCGATATATGTGTTGAGGTTTTCATTGATCGGTCTTTAATCAATGTCTTTCAGTGGATGACATGAGGGCAAACACCGAGTATTCCGGCTACAGTGCTGCATCCCCTGTTATCCAATGGTTTTGGGAGGTGGTTCAAGGGTTCAGCAAGGAGGATAAGGCTCGTCTTCTGCAGTTTGTGACAGGCACCTCCAAGGTATTTTACATTTGTTGGTTTTCCTTTATTTTAAGTATTCCCAATGGTTTTCTGATGTTCGCAAGTGATATTTAATAAATGATTTTCTTGGTTATTGAGCCCATGGTAAAAACTGTAGAACTATTTAGGAAATAAGGAAATGTCATCTTGGTTGGTGTAATGCTTTGTTTCATGAGTTTACTGAACTCTTATGTATTTTGGGTTAGAATGAGTATTTAAATCCTGCACTTTGAAACTGTTCCAGGTGCCTTTAGAAGGCTTCAGTGCACTTCAAGGGATATCAGGTTCTCAAAAGTTCCAAATACACAAGGCATATGGAAGCCCTGATCACTTGCCTTCCGCTCATACTTGGTAATCTTTTATAATTCTGATGCTCGCTTGTTTTAAGAGATCTTTTTATAATCTCATATTGAACAAATGCTAAATGTTAGTGTAAAACTCGTCGCATTTTGCAGTTTCAATCAGTTGGATTTACCAGAGTATCCTTCAAAACAACATCTAGAGGAGAGGTTGCTGCTTGCGATTCATGAAGCCAATGAAGGGTTTGGTTTCGGTTGATTTTGACAATCAAGGGATAGCTTGTGTAGATAACAAAAATATTATACGTCACAGGGGCTTCCTTGCTATCAGATGATGAGTTGTTAATATATTGTACAGTCCAATATTGGATATGGGAAATGCTTCTTCTGGCAGTTTTTAAATTTGCCAACCATTGTTTTTCTTTTTTCTCCTTTCTTTCCTGTTTTTTTTTTTTTTTTTTTTTTTTTTTTTTTTTTTTTTGTTTTTTTTTTTTTTGGCCTTTAATTGGTAGTTTTAGCTGCAATTACATCTCTCCACTCGCCTTTTTTCGGGCATTTGAAAGAGGGACTAGGTTTTAGGACTCTAGTATAATTGTTAAATAGGAAAGAACTGGTTGAAATTAAAAAAATAGCGGCTTTGAGGATTTTTAGGTAATTAATTTTTTTTTTTTTTTTTTTTTTTTTTTTTTTTTTTTTGGCCTTTATTGGTAGTTTTAGCTGCAATACATCTCTCCCTCGCCTTTTTTCGGGCATTGAAAGAGGGACTAGGTTTTAGGGATCTAGTATAATTGTTAAATAGAAAGAACTGGTTGAAATTAAAAAAATAGCGGCTTGAGGATTTTTAGGTAATTAAGGGCTAAATGCCCTTAGAAATGGCAACAAATAAATAAATAAATATAAAACCAATAAAACTACGTAATATTAGTTGAGTAACAAAGTTTTCTACATTAAGTGATTCAGTTGGTTTCTATAAATAAATACAGTCAATTTTTACATTGCCAGTACTGCCCTTTTGATGATTGTTATAACTCGAGACTAAGATAAAAAAAATGATTATAAAAAAATAGGCCTCAATGGTTATTGAAAAAAATCATCCAAAATTCAATTTTTATATGTAACTATAAAATTCAAAGGTTAAATTGAATAAAACGTTACCCCGAAAAGAATTAAATTAATATATTAACACAAATATCACTAACATTTAAAATTGTTTTTTTTAGCTCGTCACTGTCAACTGTACAATCACTACCCAAATACAGAGTATGCCACATCATCTGAAGGACACTTGCATCCATAACCTAAATCACCTTAACCAAGCTTTCAATTTATTATTAGTCTCCTTTACCGCTGTAACCTGAGCGTCTCTGTTGACTCTGGCATTGCTTATGAAGCATGCCTTTTGAGCAGTGCTGGCTGGCTTTGTACTTCTTGTAATTCTTGCCAGTGCTTTTGATGGGTCCAAATGCTTTACCTTATTTGATTCAGCTGACAGCGTCTTCTTCTCAAGTAAAGAAGTTGACAATAAGAAATTATTTTCTGTCCCTTTGCTTTGTATGTCTCTTTTCCTCCTCAACTCACGGAGGGATTCAGTTCCCTTGAGCAAAACTGAACCTTGGTTCCTTGTTCTGTTGCTAGAGCCCAAGGTCCTTTGACTAGGGGGATCTACATCAACTATATTTGACATTCTCCTTTGAGTAGAGGCTGTTGTTAAAATTGGGGTAGCTGCTAACTTTTCCGCAGAGCATAGTTGCAATGTGCACTCTCCTTGTTCATGCTCTATGAGCTTCTCTTCAAGAACCTTGATCTAACATAAACATCTAACAAGATAAATAAGCTGTGCCTATATAGTTCATAAAGTAAGTTATGCATTTCTTTTTGAGCGAGCAAGTTGCGATATAAAACCTTTTGTTGAAGCAACTGAGAATCTGAATTGTCTCTTTCACATGTCAGCTTGTTTTCGAGTTCCCTAATCTGGAATAACAGAGAGCAACGAATCAGTCTTTTACACAGGAGTTTGATATCCAAAGGCAGAGATTTCACTACAATTGTCAATAATTTAAGAAATGAGCAACGTAGTCATATTAGGCTGTATTGCTCATAACTGGCAAATTAGTCTGTTGTATTGCTTTCAATTCAAGAAATCTCTTCCTGTTTTTGTGTGTGTACTTGTGCGAGTGAATGTTACATGACTATAATTTAAAATGACACTAAAATAACCACCTTTTGTTGGAGAATACTTGAGTGAAGCTCAAATCCTTGTGATCTTTCTTTCAGTCTGTTCTCAAGCTCCTTGACCTGTGTAACACACGAAAATTTATCAATGTTTTGCCTCAACTTTAAGCACCTAATAGAAGTCATTTCATAGAGTGACAAGAAGTGCAAAATGATAAGGAAGTTCCTCTTTACTCCAATGACCCTCAAAATTTGGATACATTCAATCATTATATTTCTATGGAATGCCACATCATCATGCGAGTTCTCAGCTTTGAGCTCATTAATGGATTCCGTAGCAACATTGAAGGCAGAACCACATCTACCTCAATAGATTACCATAACAGGAGCACAATATTATCTGAAATTCTGAAGGTTCCATCAAAGCTAAGATATCCATGCATACAATATCAGCAATTTAAGCATGAGACAGGGAGGATAGGACTTGAATAACAAGTTTAGTTGTAGAAACCTGGTACTGAAGATTCATAGACTCTGCTTGTTCATACTCTTTCAGCTTGTTCACAAGTTCCTCAACCTTTGGAAGAAACAGAAACCAAAACCAATTATAGAGGTTTGGCTACCTAACTCAAGGTGAAAAATACAAAATAATAATCATTACACTGATAAGAAACCTTTTGCTGGAAATTTGTGCAGATTTCCTCCTTTCCCTTCATTCCTTCTGAAAATTGTAACAACCGGTTCTCCAGCTTTTCACATAACTCCGTCTTCATTGCCAGTTGACTTTCCAGTTCATTAATCTTTTCCTGCTGGTTTCTGTAACACTGATCCTTGCCTTTGGCCTTGACTTCTAGAATATGGAAGTCCTCTTGTAGCTTGCGCATGGCATCATCTTTAGATTTCAATTCTTGTTTTGCTTTATCAAGCTTCAGAGAGTTAACAAAGAATATATAAAAGAAAGAAACAGAATATCAATGCATAAATCCAACAAAGAACCATATTGATATTAAATAAGTCAACATCAATAAGCTTACTGTCATTTTCAGCTTTTGAAGCTCAACCATATCAACCTGCTTCTTTGCAGGACCCAGCTCAACCCCACGAACTCGGGTTGCAAAGCTCAAAGAACTTATTGTCTCGCCAAGATCATGCTTGGAAGGGCTGATTTGCACAAACATCAAGGTTTTTGAATCACCCCCTGCAGGATATGGGATAAAAATGGTCAAGTCAAAGCATCAAATTTTGTGAAGTACTGAATTAATTAAAGTCCAGGGGATTGGAAAAGTAAAAGTTGAGTATATCGATAGAAAACTACTGCTTAATTGTTTCACTCATCATTGAAGATGAGTCTATCTAGTTTTAAAATCAATCTTATAGTACATTCCAAATTTATTGTCAATGATGGTGCTGTTTCTTGGTTCTGGATTTCATGCGACTACTACCTAATGAATCCTGAAGCAAATGTGTGAGCTTTGAGTTCCTGCGGGAAGCCAATTAACTAGTCAGAACAATGCATTAGCTAGTCATGCTTAAACTCTTATCAAGAATCAAATCAAACCTGTAAGGAATATGACTGCTTTTAGTTGCCAAAGCAGAAATTACATCTCCAAGAGCTGAAAGTGATCTGTTGATATATTGAGCTTCCTTAAGACGATCCCCTTGCACCTCAGTTTTTGCTAGCCTCTCACTGCCTGCCAAATCTACAAGCCATAGCTTACTCTGGGTGCACTCACCAGTTACCAAATTCCTTGCTCTCACCAATGTACAAAGCATGCTGAAGATATTGTAAATATATGGCTACATTAATACATGCATGAATCAAAGATGTGGTTTTTAACATTGGTCAAAGCATCAATAGCAAAGAAATAAAAGCTAGTATATATGAATGCAAAATTATCATACGCCACCCCAAAAAATGGGAGCATGATGAAAATATCAACATCAAGTTCAAATTGAGGCTAACCAATGAGATCGGCTACTGTGTTCATTGACATTATTTGATCCTACAGCCCTTGCATTGCTTCCAGCCTGCAAAACATCCCAGACCTCTTTAATATTCTCAACTTTTGCTTCAACTAACCCTGGCACATGATGACCCCCTTCAGAAACTTGCTTTATCTCCAGCCTAAAGTCCAATAGAAAAATGAGATAAATTCATCTTAAATTGAAAGCTCAAGGAAGTTGTAAGATATTATTACTTGCCAAATACCTTGGCTATCAATGTGCACATAACACGGACCAGAAAAAGAATAGCATATTTTAAGTACAAATTTCTAAGAAATTGGACGGAATATGTAGTGATTTTACCTTTTAGATGTTTGAGAGGTGGCAAGCAAGTCTCTGATTTGCTCATTATACACTTCAAGCACACTTACAGAAATGTCATATTTGACAGTTTCTTTCCTTTCTTCAGCAGTTTTGAATAAAGTTTGTAAAGTCCGGTAATTAAATCCTCTATTTTCCTCTGTGCCCTCCATAGTGAAAGTTTTTCCTGTCCCAGTTTGCCCATATGCAAATATGCATACATTATAACCATCTAGCACTGAAGTTACCAAAGGAGAGACATCTGCGAAAACATCAACTGTTCCAAGAATCTCAAGTCAAAATTATGTTTTTATTTTCACCCAAAGAAAAGGATGCAATACTAAATGGAAAGTGGTATAGTATTTTCCTTTTCAAGAAGAGGAAATTTATAATATAAACTAATGAACTATGCAACAATGTTCCCAGTAGGTTCAAATGACTGAGCTATGATAATGTACTTTAGCGATTCTTTTTTTGTAAATAAAAATCTTTGTTTTACTTGTGCATACCTTGATCATCCGTAGGTGCATAAACTCGATCAAATTTGAAAATTTTCTTCGTTGAAGTATTTGTTAGTATCCCAAGATCCCCATCCTTCGCTGCAGTAAAATCTACCACCATTTCATACCCAGATGATGCTTCCTCCTTATTTAGTGGACGGCACCGACAGAACACTCTAATGTTCCCTGAAATATAAAGTCAATATGAAAAGCTTATGACGATGACCATCCTAAAATTGAAACAGCATATATACATATATAGCACATCAAGTGTACCTTTTGCTTCCTGAACTTCATTAAAAAGCTTCTTCCTTTTTACCTGCTCCTCATTAAACTTCAACTTGAGATCATCACACTGAGCAACTATGATCCAGGTAAAGGTAAGGCAAGATCAACCTTATATGATTACAAGCTAGAGAAAGTAAAGCTTCAATACTTAAAGCAAAACGTACCTAATGCCTGGACTGCAAAGATCATCTTACTTAATTTGGAAGTTGAACTGGCACAGTCACGAGCTTCATGAGAAAGCTGAGAGTGTTCTATGTTCATTATCTACAAATGTAATAACAAATTCCATATCATAGTCTGTACAAATATATACTGTAACATTCTTGGATAAAAGGTTTTCACAATCTTAATCAGGGTAATTTACCTTTACTTTCCTTTCCAATTTGTCAAGAGCTTCAGACCAGAGTCTCTTATCACATTCATATTGACTAGAAACATCCCTCAGTTTTGCTGCTAGCTTTTCTATAGCTTGATCTAAACAAACATAATGGATGATCAGTACCACTTTGTTTTCCAATTACAAGTCTAAGATCCAAGTGGGTCTACCTCACCTAAGCACATATTCTCGAAGAACTTGTTATCAAGTTCCATTCTGGACTTCTCTAGCAGTTGATTTGTAGCCGTCAATGACATCCAAGCCTCATAGCATTCATCTGCCTTACGCTGGCATAGAATGTTCAATTCTTCTATCTTCTTCTCATACTTAGTTATAAATTTCATGGCCATAAATTTTTTCTACAGATCTCATCAATTTAAAACTTGCGTTAAGCACAGAATCAAACCCCTTAAAGCCTTAAACTTCAAAACAATTTGAACCTTACCTGAGATGGCGAAATACTTATTTCAGTGTCACAATTGTTACATATTAAGTGCTCATGTTTCACCTGAGATGCTAGATTCCATTTATAAAATGAAACATGTGAGTCTCAAAAGTAAACCTCAGATAAAACTGACCAACATAGCAAATCAAGCATGGACAAGAGAATTTTACTTGGTAATTCTGGTGCCTGCTTTATACAAATCCCACTAACAATTGGGCTTCCAAGAATTCCGTGAAACCTTATCAAGATATCCCCATCATCCCCAACAGAAACTCTAACATTAACCACCTGCAAGGGCTTGTTGGCCCCAACAGCGGAATAGATATCAAGCTCAGACAAAACCTGCCAATTTTTTCAACAAATAGAAGCCAACTTTGTCAACATAATATCAGAAAAATAGGAAACGTCAGTTAATATGAACCATGAACATAAATAAACGCACTTGCCTTGTCTTCCTCGATAAAAACATCAAAGACTCTCATTCCTTTAGGGCCGTTGGTGTGTACTATCTCTGCAAAGTGGAGATCAACAAAGTATTCTCCGGCAGATAGGTTGGTAAACCGGTAACCGAAGTTACCATACCGAGCCGACTGGTAAATGGAAGGTATATCACCACCAGAAGTTATACTTTCTTCTGTTCTTAGAACATCCCCTCCTTGAAAATGGCTATCTGCCTCAATATCAATCTTGAAATTCCCCTCTCCCTTTATAGCCCCACCACCAGAATTTACAAATATCAACGGACTCTCTGGTTCAAGAAACGCAAGAATATTGTCATTCAATGCTCTTCTCCTATAGCTAATGAAGAGTATAATCACAATTGCAGGTTTCTTGGGTCAGAATAACAATTGAATCCAAGAAAAACAAAAATGTAGATATTGAAGAACTAAAGAAAGAATGCAACCTGCGCAACAAGTGCTTATTGTTAACCCTGACCGAACCAGCTTCGCATCCGAAACACACAGCACTGAATCCATTAAATCTTGGCAGTCAAATGAGTCTTTATTGTTCATTTTCTTTTGAAATAAAGAAACTAATAAGAGAAAGAAGAAGAAGAAGAAATTGGGTTTAGCGTTTGTGGTTTATTTCTCTAATGGGTTGAATTTTGAATGGAGCGGTGTTGCAAGAAGAGAAAAAAAAAAAATTGAGCGCGTTTTCTTTGTTTATTTTCCTGCCTGTTCCTTTCCATATTGTAGGGCAGCGAACATTGATGGTCTTTTCTGGTTTTAAATTTCGAATTTAAGGGACCGTTAATTAGATTATTATAGGTTAATATTGTTTTTTTCTTTAACAAAGGTTACTAATTTCTACTGTTTGGTCTACCAATTACTGTAAAATACATATATATAAATTTTTAAAAATCCAATGTTTTTGCTTCTCGAAAAGAAAAAAAAAAAAGATTTATCGCATCAGTTGCAATTGAATTTGAATTCTCTCCCAATTTGACCTCTTTAGAGACTGAGAAATTCCTAAATAAGAAAACGATATCGTTTCATGGAGAGAACTTGCTGCAAAACTAGCCAAATCCAACTCTTGCTCTCTCCACAGCCAAAACTCTCTTGCTCTCTATAAACCAATCGAAGCCATCTTCTTGTCATCTCCTCTGGTTTAGCCACTAATTTTTGCCTCTCTGTTTATCCACAACTTAATCTTCTTCAGTTCCTAATAAAAGCTAAGGTTTCGAAATCTCCTCTATTCTCGCCAGGTTCTTCGATTGAATGGGTGAAATGTTTGCTGGTGATATTTCTGCTGATGAAATTGTTGAGGCTTCTGCGACCTCTGTATCAAACATGGTGCCATCATGTATGGTGTGGCATTCAACGAAGCCTCGTTCATTTTAATGGCATTAGACATTTAAGTATATAAGCTATCTCAAATTCAATGACAACAAAAACATAGCTAAATCCCTGAATTGATTAATTGATTCACAGAACTTGCATCGATAAATTTGGTGAGATAAAAACTCTAATGCAGTAACTATAATGACAATGAAAGCAGTTGGTTTACAGGAAAATGGAGAAGATAATTACATCCAGTGGCAATTTCCACCAGCAAAATCCCTCTCCAGATAATAGGCAAAACATCAGACACCCATCAAATACTACTGCCTACAACCTAAAAGATGGCGAAAACGCTTTCATGGTAATCAACTCAAGCATTCAACCTAACCCCAGAGCTCCTGCGACATTCTTGCATCATATCCATGTAAAATTGGCACTTGCTAATATCACTTCCATAGTTGTTCAGGCACTGCAAATTAAAAAAAGGTAAGCACGAGTGATTGTGTTCATATACAAATAGAACTTAAGGGGCATACCTCTTGGAGGGCCTTGGCTTGTCTATCACATGCATCAACTTTACTGATTGTGTTCTCCAAGGGCATAGCTGCAGGGGCAGATGAAGCAACAGCTTCATGGCGGATCACTGGAGGACCCATGACAGCATCAGCAATCCTGCGACCCAGAGCAGTTCCAGTTCCCCAAGCCACGCCTGATAATTAACAGAAGTGCCAAAAGAACTCCTGTCAGCTACCTTATTAAGTTCAATTTAATTTTTAATATACAAGGGATACAGAAATTAACTCACCATCAGCAATAGCAGCACCTAAACCTCCGATTGCGGATAAATTGGCAACTTTTGCAGGAGCTGGTGGTGGTGATTGAGCAGCTAGATAAAAAAAAACCCAAAACTACTTAGCCACAAACATCAAGCACCACTACCAAGTACCGACCAACTGACTACCACAACTTAAAATGCACATAAATTGAAGCAAAATCAGTGTCACCATGGTAAATTCAGCTCTTTTAGTTAACTCCACAAGAATTTCTTTCACGAAACTTTCATCAAATGAAATTGGAAGGAGTGAAATTCACCTGGCTTGGGAGGCCGACTTCTTGGGGGAGAACGAGCTGCAGCAGGCCGGCTTGAACCTCCTACAAAAATTATCATTATTTAGCAACAGAACATTTTAAAAGCCATCCACTCAGAATCAACATCAAGTAATGTTATACAGAGAACAACAAACAAACATCAAGAAAAAAAAAAAAAAAAAAAAAAAAATTATCATTATTTAAGCAACAAACATTTTAAAAGCCATCCATCAGGAATCAACATCAAGTAATGTTATACAGAGAACAAACAACAAACATCAAGAAAAAAAAAAAAAAAAAAAAAAAAAAAAAAAAGAATTAAAAAAAAAAAACTTGATGATATGAGAAAAGAAAAAATTGAATAATTCTTCTGAAATCAAACTAATCCACATCTCATGTAGCTAAAAGATCTCAATTAACGAAATTATCTCTCAGTAGCATTTTCAAAATTAACCAATTTCAATTAAGAATGGAAAACGATACAAAAATAGGCGAATCACGAAATTAGAAAAAAAAAGAATAAAATGAATAAACCAAACCCAAAATGGCAATATTTAAGGGAAATATTCAACCAAAAACATACCTCCTCTAGAGCTGCGGCTACGGCGAGGCATATTGAAATGATCAAAGCGCAAGCACAGAAAAGTAAATTTTTTTCAGGACAGGAATGAAAATTGAAAGAGAGTCTGTCAGAAGTATATTTATAGAGTTCTGTGGGGTTTTTGCTTGGGAAATACGCCTGGACCCCGTGAGTTGGCTTCGGACTCCATGGTCGCCACTTGCCACGCGTGGCGTATTCATAAGCTACCTCTAGTATTTTCTGTCACGGCATTAAATAAATAAATGATCTGGAACTGGAAGACTCCAACAGAAGACCGCGATGCTTTAAATTTTTAACGGACTCGATCTATTAAGCTTCTCTATTGCTAAGTTCTAAACGCAAAAATCTCATTTTGGGAGGAAATGATTGGTTGGTGAAAAATGAAATTTTTTAATTAAATTTTTTTTTTCTTAAAAGTTTATTTGGAGGCCAACTGTGAGTCTAAAACATTGGAATTGTAATTCCATTTATACTCAGGCCAGTCGAGTAGAATATATCCACCAACCAAACAATGCCACTAATTTGAAAATCCCGTAATGTTTGACTACACTTTACGGTTCAACGCCTGTCTCTCTTCTTCCCCTACACACCACCTCTTGTTTTGCCCTTCCCTCTCTGAGATAAAATCATGTTACTGTACAAAACGACATCGTTGAACACCCTCCTCTCTCGTTATCCGACCCGTCTCCATAGCTACAACGCCAACGGACCAATGTTCTTCCCCAAAAATTCCTCACTTCGTCTCTCCAAAGAGTCAAAACCACCATTCGCTGGTATTAATTATAAGCTCACCGGCGGTCACAGAAGCGTTAATCACCAACACTCACTCAAAATCCCTAATTTCACCGTTCGCGCGTCAAATGAAAACCCGAAACCTCACGTCGCAGCCTCTAACAACATCAGGAAACAGTTAATTCTTATTTGCTCTGCAATTACCGTTACATTGGCCGTCGCAAACCGCGTTCTCTATAAGCTCGCTCTGGTTCCTATGAAACAGTACCCTTTCTTCTTAGCACAATTCACCACTTTCGGGTATTTTTTATCTGTTGCTTTTGGCGTTTGATTTTTAAGTTTAATAGTGTCGATAATGGTAGTAATGTGAAACGCAGGTATGTGATGATTTACTTTTCGATATTGTTTGCACGGTACCGTTTAGGAATTGTAAGCGATGAGATGATTGCTCTTCCAAAATCACGGTTTGTTGTTATTGGTATTTTAGAAGCACTTGGACTCGCAACGGGAATGGCTGCTGCTGGTAATTTCTATTTTCTATTTATGATGTTGTCTAGTTTAATTGCAATTCGAATGAAGGCAATGTGAATCAATAGTTTGTCCAACATAAATTTTTATTGCATGTAGAAGAAGAGAAAGGAAGAGTTAAGAGTTGCTATATTTTGTTGTTGTTCTTATTGATTGTGCTTATGGGTCTTTCACAGCTATGCTTCCTGGACCTTCTATTCCTATTCTGAGCCAGGTGCCTTTTCACTCCCCCTTGTACAGGAAAGTAATTTTTCTGTTGTTTACTCCATACGTTCTGGTCTCTGTTTTGATGATTGCAATTGTTTTTTTGCGTAGTTTGTGAGTGCATTTTTATGTCATCTTTAATATTCACTTTTTTTTTTTTCTTCCAGACATTTTTGGTGTGGCAGCTGTCATTCTCTGCCCTTATCTTGGGAAGAAGGTACTCATTTAATCAAATTAGTGGCTGCCTGCTTGTAGCCATTGGTGTAGTGGTGGCTGTTGCAAGGTATGACGGTTATTTTCACATACCCAGAAGAAATTTTATTTTAGCTTTCGGTATATCAACATATACTGTTCCTTTGCAAAAGTTTGACATTTTTCATGCCTTGGTATTTGAGAGGCACAGCCAGTTCTTATTAGGATATGGTATGAAATGTTTCTCTCCTTTCTGATTCATAGCGATCTAAATAATGATCTAAAATGTTTATAGGTTTTGTTCTAGATGCTTTAACTTTATGATATTCTGTCTCTATGATGTGTGCTGTTATTGCTTTGCGCATGGCTTGTTCCTGATCAGCTGAAAGAGTGCTTTGGATTGTGCCAGATAATTCCTCTATGGTAGTAAAAAGTTGCACCATGAAATCTGCTAGCATATAGGTAACCGTAATTGTTTCTGAAACTCATTTAACCAATTTGATCAATTTGTTCATTTTGCTGATATGAGACTCGGTTCTCTGGCAATGATCTCAATTAAGCATTTTCATTTGTGGCAACCTTGGATAAGGATAAATCATATGCTAATGTTGTTGGAGCTCGCTTGGCTAAGATTTCTTGAGGCTTACTGACAAAATGCATAAACAAGTATCTGATAATCATGTAGATAATGAATGATCCAGAGAGAATACCAGCTTATTGGCTTGATGTAGCCCCCAAAACACTAAGTGTGATATTACAGAGACCAACATATTATCATTCTTTTGGACTCTTTAAGTATATTCTACCATTTATATCTACTCGTCACTCGGTAAAGTGGATGTACTATAATATTTCTTGTGTTTCACTATTTCAGTGGATCCAATGCTGATCAGATGCTTTCTGGAGTAGAGTTCATCTGGCCAGCTGTAATGATAATATCAAGCGCTTTTCAAGCTGGAGCATCTATTATAAAGGTTACTGCCATAGTAGTTATTTTTCTTGATCATATGTATAAGCAACATAAATAATTTTCATTTGTGTGTTAACAGGAATTCATATTCATTGATGCTGCAAAATGCCTCAAGGTATGCCTTAATAAGTTTTGCCTTTCGGCAGTTGGATGGCTTTTAAATATAGCTTGAATTCTCAACATACTTGGCTTGTTGATCTGCAGGGAAAGTCACTTGACATATTTGTTGTCAATTCTTTTGGTTCTGGATTTCAGGTAATTGGTGCTTACTATAGGCGTTCAGATAGCTTGGTACTAATGTACTACATTGACAGGAACTAGGACTATAAATAAGTGGTTGGCCTGTGGTTTATTAGCTTATGCTTATTGTTTTGCTTGTAGGCTCTCTTTGTGCTCCTATTTCTACCTTTCCTCTCAAACTTGAAAGGGATACCATTTGCACAACTTCCTTTATATCTGAAAAGTGGTGCTGGCTGCTTTGTAAACACTGGAGGAAATACACCAGGCAAGCTTTCATTTCTTCTTCTGGTTAATATTCTGCTAGATGTGTTACTATAGTTTTAACCTTTCAGTACCCTGTGAGAAATCTGAGTTTCATAATATTGCATATGATGTGTATTTCATGAGTATGCTGTTTTGAAATTTTACAGTTTTCAAGGAAAGGAAATTTACCCTTCTTAAAACAAATAGAAAATTCCACAATTAATTCTTGAGTTGTCGTAACTGAACCATCTGCCACCTCATTACGACTGTGGATCCATGCTTCATATTGATGCGGACCAATCTAATTATCTGGTTAATGGTGTTCGCATAGTAAAAATATCAAATGCTCCATGGTGTTACGATTATCTATCTCAAAATTCCTATGCTTGTCATTTTTTTGGTGCTTAATGCAGGCTGCGATGGAGCTCCATGGCTTCCACTGCTTTACATAGCTACTAATATGGCTTTCAACATATCATTGCTCAATCTAGTGAAAATTTCTTCTGCAGTTGTTTCCTCGCTTGCTGTAATGTTATCAGGTGCTCTTTCTCTCTCTCATTTTTCCGTCTCTCTTCATACAAACACATCAAATCTGTGATAATGTTGCCCACACATGCGTACTGGCACGCAAACATGAGCTGTTACATGTGAGCTTTTTAGTAAACTGATGTTTGCGCATTCTTTGCTTTTCAGTGCCGATATCAATTTATGTTTTATCTCTTCCATTGCCATATCTTCCTGAGGGTACAAGTTTGAGCCCCCTTTTTATGCTCGGCAGCGTGATTCTTGTCTCGGGTCTTGTTCTGTACAATGTAGCACAGCCTGCCAAGCAAGCTTCAAGTTAGCTTAACTTACAGTTTCATTTCAAAGTTTACGATTCTGTATAAATATCAGTGTTATTTTTTGGGAAAAAAAAAAAAATCACAATGTTATTCTCTTCCCTGGAAGTTGAGGGATGACTAATTTTGGGGCAACGATTGCTCTGCCTGCACAAGGTCTCATAATGAAAATCAATATCCAAGGATCATTTTGTCATTGAATTTGAGACTGGTGTCCTTGTGCTCTTCATTCTTTCAGTTTTTTTTTTCTCTTTTGATTTTAACTTCAAAGGGGTGTTTGATGATAGATCACACTAGAATTTAGTTTGGTTGAATGTATAAAAAAAATAAAATAAAAGAAAACATCCAAATTTTTGCATATTTCCATTTTATGATCAAACTTTTAGTTTTGCAATTTTAGTTTGAACAGAAACATGAATTCAAAATTTTATATAATCAATCAAAAGCAAAATTTTTTTGTAGTTTTTTTTATTCTCTCCCTCAAAGGCCTCCACCTTATGCCACTTCAGATTGTCATCTACTCCGAAACAGAACATCGTGCCTGGCTATACATGCATTAGACCTGTTCATGGTCGGGTTTGGGCTTCTAAAATCCCACGGCCAAGCTTAAGAACAGGTTTAACTTGCATGCACCTCTAGAAGAAAACATTCATTGTATAACTGGCTATACTTTAGTGTGGAATGATTCATTGCATCCAAACCTGGACAATTTAAAATGATTTTAATGACGTTTCGTGACATCACAATACTTCAATCGATGATTTGGACAGAAGTATGAGAGTAATCCGCAAAATTGAAGTGCAATTAAAATGACCTCCCAAGTTGACAACACTATCACTGCACATCATCAATATTAAACCTCGAATTCCTTCCTATATGAAACAGCTTTAACAGACTGAAATGCAACTTCTGATTCTGCCACTTGTGCATTTGAAGATCTCAGTTGTGTTCCCTAATGTCGCCTCTGCAGATAAACAAAACAAGATTCAGATACAAGCATGCACAAGCAGCATGGGAGAACCAAACTCATTTACACTTAATAGATTCTCTAACTGGAATAATCACACTCAAATAATATAATTCTGAGCTTGGCTTTTGGAAGTAGGTCCTTCATGTCAAAATAGGAAGAGCCAGGACAAGAAAACGTGCTTCATTCATTCTATCAGATGAAGGCGAAAAAAGCCATAATCCTGCTAATTTTTTAGCCTGTAAAACTTTTAATAGTGTAGACAAGAATTATGATGAATTATGACGATTACTATCCGCGTGTGTGAAAAGTTCTAAGATCCAAGACAATTATGGAATTAGGAACCACATAAAAATTTCCTACCATCTGAATAGCATACCTTCCGTTTCTTTAGTTTCCCTCTTGAACTGCCATTATCAAAGCTTGTCACTTGATCATTATTAACTTCCAAGGGTAAGGTTTTGATTTCATCAAAGAAACCATCAGTCAAATCAAACAACCTGGAACAAACAATAAAAGATAGTCAAGGAAAAAAAGTTACAAATCAGTAAATCACCAAATGCCATGTTTTGTAAGATAGGTCGATGAATATGATAACCAAATATGAAGTAATTAGCTTCCAAAAAGATAATAAAATATTGACAATGTTAATCTTGAATCACGCATACCCATCTCTCGACTTCTTTAAGTTTTTCTCTTTCTTCTTCTCCATCTTCGTAATAGGAGCACGAGTAAAGAGTTCCTCTTCTCGCTGTGCACGCTCTTCCCATTGCTGCTGATATCTAATGAATTCCCTACTCTCATTTCCAAAAGTTTCTCTAGCCTGTAGTTTATCATTAATGACAAACCACCAATGGAGTCAGCATGATATCTGCAAGTTTAAATAAAATTAAAGGAGCAGCACGCAACTAACCTCTTCAGGTCTCCCTTCCATATCATCTATCATTTCTTTTATATAACCCTGTTTAGCGTGGCGTTGAATATTTTTCTCTCTTCTCAAGGCATTTCTTTCTTGTTTTGACATCTTATCCTCTTCCATCATTGTGGGGGCAATTTTGGGTGGTCTATACACACCACTGCCATTCTAAAGCATAGAAACAGGGACTTAATAAACCAAAACCTCTATATTTTATTTCCAATAACTATTGACCAGCATAATTATTGAGTTTGAGACTCACCTCAGGCATCATATCAGATTTGCCAACCAGCATTTCAGGGTTTGGACGATATTTTAACAGATCCTCCGATTTCTCGGATGCCTCTAATTCCTTTTCCTTCAGACTTAGTTGTTCTGCTGCACGCTCGCTATCCCTGGTGAGCTTTTGAATTTGGTATTCCATTTTTTTATCTATTGGCCGGATCTGTTAATGAACAATCAGTCAAATGACATTTCTAGCAATGAGTAATCAGGTAGATAGATAAGCATTAAGAGACAGAAACATTCCCAGACCTTCTCCAAAAACAACCTAGTCTCTATAAGGCTCGAAACTACAGGATGATTCTCAATTGATAAGCCTTTAGCTTTGCGGAGCAAGTAATATACAAGCGACTGGCAATAGTTTAGGAGCAATAAGTGTTTGGCCTCAAGATAGCTTATCCCATCTGCTGTTGGAAAATTATTTGCTTTCACCTAATATACAAATTAAAAGAAGAATATATCATTGAAGAGGCACCACAAGAGATAAAACATAAAGCAATACAGAAACCTCATCTATTAAACATCAAAAGGCCTTCCAAGAATAGCAACAATTAACAACACTCAAAAGCAAGAATCAACTTATTAACAGTTAAATCTGATAAGGGAGGGCTCCTGACCTTAGCTGTTAAAGCCTGCACTTTATTCCTCACTGTATCCAACCCATCTTTCATTTCTTTCAGTAATGCAGCTAATTGAGGAGCTTCCCTAATCAAAACAACAATAACAAGCTTTCATAGAAAGCAAACCCTAAATGGAGTGGAAAACACAAGAACAGGCTCGTGAACAAACTTACTTCTTTAAGCTTTGATCACGTTCACAAGTACTAGCCTCCTCCATCATCTTCTTCTTCAAGAATCACCAACAAAGAAATTGCAATCAAGCAATTAAATTAAACAAATCATTGACAAAATTCTGATAAATCCCCACTGTTGGGGAGCTAGGGTTTTATAAATTGTGCTGAATATTTGTTACTAGTTAACAAGGAGAAAGAAATTCGGGTTTGAATAATGGGCCGCCATTTATACAGCTAAATGGGCCAATTAATTGAAGTGGACTAGTAGCCCAAGTCCACTAGGAAATACCAGGTGGACAAATAAAATTTTGCCGTCACAGAAAATTTTCATATTCCTGTGTGACGTGATTTTTTCCCGCCGTTCAGGCGATGACAATATCCTCCGATATCAGTTGGCAGGACACGTTTGCCATTAAACCCTTAACAAGGACATCTCTAGAACATTTCTCAAAAAAAAAAAAAAAAAAATCATTCCTTGTACCCTCACCGCATCAGATACAAACCCTCGCTGGTACCAGTCACCAATCCGAAAAAAAAAAAGAAAAAAGAAAAACGAAAAAAGACAAAAAGAATAGAAAGGAAACAGTCTCTCTATGCTGTGTTGTTCTCTCTCTATGTGTGATCAGCGAGCACCTCACGGATCGGATCTACGTAGTTATAAATGACACAGAACGATCGCCATGCCTCGAAGACTCGCTCCAAATTGCTTGATACCGGAAAATAATAAAGGCTACACTAATTTTGAGGAAAATTCTCCTCTTCAATCGGTTCAATCCTTAGGGTTTCGTTTCTCATTTTGAACATGCATTTTCGGTTCTTGACATGAAGTTATGTGCAGAGAATGTGTTTTGTTTGAAGCTCTGGTTCTTTTGGACGATTTGATCGAGTTCTTGACGTAAAAAAACACCTAATTTACAAGTGGCAACTAGAAATGGCAGCTTCTCCAGTCAAATTCCTCTTTGGATTCTTGATGATTTCCATCACATTATGGATGCTCTTCATGTAAGTAACCTCAATTTTGGTTTATATGTATTTTATTCTTTTAACGATAATAATTTGTTTTGATCACTACTAGCTGGCAACTGAATTTTGATTAGTAATTTAGTGAGGTGGAGATTTTATGAGAGTTTTAGCTAAGTAGAATGTACTTTGCGGTGGCTGGTGACCAAAATGATTTGGTCACAGAATTTGATTGTCTGCCATACCTGAATTTTAAAGTTGAAACCTTGTGAACTTATTTTGTTTCAGAAAAGCCACTTTCTTTTCCTATTGGAAAAATGGATAACATGTTCATCATGTACCTCTCCTTGTTTGAGTTAATGCTATAGGTTTCGAATGATGAATTTGAACTTGGTACAATTCAGAAAGGTAAGTGCACAGTCTTTACTCTTTAAGATAGTATTGCATGAATTGCACTTTACTTTTACAATGTTTTGCTGCTCCGTTGGCTAGCAATTTGGTTCTCCTGACCTTTTCATCTTTTATAAACAGTTTGTCTTAAAGAACGTATCTAATAATTAAAAACAGAAGTCTAGTAGAAAAGTTTAAAAAAAGAGATGCAATTCATTTAAGCAGAAGCATCTAGAAAAGTTCTTGAATGGCACATTCTTATTGCCCTTATGCTGCAATAATAAATAGGTTAATCACCATGGTGTTAATATTATGGTTAGTGTTCATTCTTGTAGAAGTATTCTGGTGTCAATTTTAATTCTGTATCTCTTTTCAGATTTGCTTCCAGGTTGCTGGCTTGGATTTTAAGCCGAATCATTGGAGCATCTGTTGGATTTCGGGTTGGTGGATGGAAATGTTTAAGGGATGTTGTAGTGAAGTTCAGAAAGGTTAACCTTTTACATCTTTTACTGGGTCTTTTTCATTTTTGTGAAACTGAATTAATAGGGTGGTTCATCTTCTTCCACATTGTAGTAATTAAAGTCTTTCTATAAGGTATCCGTCAATTTCAGTTTATCTAGTCTCTTAGTGAATGATTTAATGTTTTTCCTTTGCTATGAAATCTTCTTCTCTATAATCTGCAAATTTTCACTCCAAAACAAATTTTTGTCGAGAAGATTCAATCAACCTGTTTCTGTTGGAAGTACAAAGCCATCTGCATTATGCATCTCTCTTTGTAAATTATTGTCGTCATTACTAAAAAGCTGCTAATTTTATCTGGCTTGTTATAAGTTACTATTCCAATGAGTAGCAGTATTTTATGTAATTTCAGATAATTGTCTACGGTCTGATCCTTTAGTTTTGATTTAATGAATGGTTTACAGAAGTGATCCAAGATTTTAATAGTTCTGTTTGGAATTGTTCCATTTATTGCTTTTAGGTAGACCATTGAAATGACCCTGACAGTTATATGTTTAAAGCCAAGTAGCATTGGTCCAGATTTTTTCCCCCTTTCCTTATTGATGTATTAGGCAGCGCTTGTTCCTTTTTCTTCTTTTTCTTCACACAAAAAGTTGCTCTCCTGTAGAACCCACCTTCATCCACCCTGTTCCCCTTTACTCTTTTCTTCAGTATGTGCAATTTCATTTGTTTCATTATGAAAGCTTAGTGCCTCCACCCTTTTTCTCAGGGTAAGAGAAATAAGTATTTCTGCCCCCATGAGATCTTGAAATTCATTTTGTTATGATTTGATCATTACAGGGTGCTATTGAATCTATATCAGTTGGAGAAATTAGGCTCAGCTTACGCCAGTCCTTGGTCAAACTTGGAGTTGGTTTCATTTCCAGGGATCCAAAGCTGCAAGTGGTAATATGTGACTTGGAAGTTGTAATGAGGCCATCTAACAAAGGCACACCTAAAACTAGAACTCAAAGATCAAAACCCCGTAATTCAGGCCGGGGAAAGTGGATGGTCTTAGCTAACATAGCAAGATTTTTGTCGGTTTCTATTACAGAATTAGTTGTAAAGGCAAGTAATATCTTAGCAAATTATATTTTGAAGGAATCGCATTATATTCATAATTCATTTCATATAACTAATCATGTACAAACTATGCGTGGATGCTAATTCTTTTGTTATTCTTTCTGTTTCTTATTTTCTCTGTCATTTTTCAATATGTTTGCATTGGGAAAAGAGAGTATGGATGTTCATGGTTGTTGTCTAAAAGAAGTTGTTATTGGATTCTGAAGAAGAGAAAGGATATGAAAGATAGAATTTTCTTTATAAACGATGGGGTATGGAATACATATAGAGTCAGAACAAGACCTAGTTCATCACACCGCATTTCTTTGTTGGAATATTATGTCATCTGCCTTTTTCTTGCTTTCATTGTGAGGTAATTGAATTTGAAAATGTTGTCCAAGGGATATGAACGAGGACTAAAACTCTGTTGGTTGAACTTGAAAATAATTGTGCAAGATCAATAGCATAAATATTTAGCTTTTTGGTTCTGTCTGAAATTATTTAAAAAAAATGGAAGTAAAAACTTTTACCTAGCTCCATCTTGAAATTGCAGAATTTGAAATATTAGTCCAGAATCCAAAAGTCAAGTGGATGTTTGCAGAGGGTTGCTGAGCTGATTAACCTATTGCCTTATAGGAGACATGGCTGGACCTTGACCTTGGCTGAACCTTGATCACACAAAGTGTGGTGGGCACACTTATATGGCCAATTAAAAACGGGGACTCTTGTCCCAACACACTGAGCTCAACCTGTCTATGCTAGGTTTGTTGCCGGTGTATCTGAATTTGTAAAGGAATAAATGATCCAAAAATAAGTAAGAAGGTGTGGGTGGAGGTGCCAAAATTGAAGTTGAAAGTTAAACAATCTTACCTTCTGAATTATTACTACTTTCAACACATTGCTTTTTGGTTCCTATTCTTTCTTCTTTTTTTATCCTTTTATTTTTATTTTTTGGGCCTGTTGTATGTATCATAGTAAGGATTATAACTAGGTTATTATAATATATTTGAAAACATTACAGACGCCCAAAGCTATGATTGAGGTTAAAGAAGTGAGAGTGGATATAACCAAAGATGGTTCCTCCAAACCAAACCTCTTCATCAAGTTACAAATATTACCTGTTGTTATTCACATGGGCGAACCACGTGTTAGTTGTGATCAATCATCCAATTTTGAGAGTGGAGGATGCATTTCTACAAGTGATGGATCATTTGGTATGATGGAAACACCTTCTGCTTCCTTCAGCTGTGAAGAATTTTCTCTCTCTTGTGAATTTGCTCATGACAGGTAATTTTCCCTTTTTATGTTCTTTTATTTAGAAAATTTACAGAATCTAAGGCTTATTATGTTCCACAAAACTATTTTTCAAAAGATTTTTTATGCATTTTTATTTTTGCATAGAAAAATTTTGAAAATATTTTTTAATCAAAGGGAAAATTGTCATGTCTAAATTTTGTCAAACTCATAAGAAGGAAAAGCACATGCTAGAAAATCACATAGCATGTACCCATAAGTTAACTAGCTACCGTTGCCAACCATCATCATTTGTCAATACTGGTCATTTGTCAAACATTATCACATTCTTCATAATAAGGAAAGAAAATATGTCTTTCAATATAATCCTAACACGACAAAAAGTTTTAACTTGATTTGTTATTTTAACAACCAAACAACAGAAATAAGTTCATTTATCAGAAAATGTTTTCTGTAGACAAGTATCTTTCTGGGAAACTAATAGATATTAAATAAATGAAAAAGAAATTTCTATATCACCAAATAATGAACAGTGTGCAACCACTTAACTTGGGAGTGGTTATCAAATGTTGCGATTATGGCCAAATATGTCTTTGGCTATGATCCTTAACCTATTGGCTTGTAATAAAGTTAATGAAAGTCCATCAGTTTATTGCCTTTCTAATTCTCAACATGTTCTCATTTAATATTTTCTATATTGGACGAATTTGATGTGCTGTGGGCCTTCTATTTCTTGAAGACTCAGTGATCACCAAATATGTGATCTTTTTTCTGTCTGGAATATTCTCAATTCCTTTTATTTAATCAAGGGCCAACTGTGACTTTGTGATGTGTTACAAGTTGAAAACCAGCTTACTAATACTATTAAGAAGGATATCAATCTTAGGGCTGGTAAAGGATTTCGAAGTCAAAGTTTATAGGGGTGCAGAAATAGATTGTGATTTAGAGTTGAGACTAGATTTAGCAAAGAACACGAGAACAGCTGAAAGCGATTGAATAGTACTTGAGGTACTGAGGCAGTAGAGGAAACGAGAGAGAGAGAGAGTGGAAAGCGAGTACCAATGCTTCTTAATCAAATACTTAAAAGTTCCATTATAAAAAGGCTAAGAAAATAACTATTTATGTGGGTATTAAGGAATAGTTAATCCTTCTAGAATTATGAATCCCAAACTTAGAAAATTCTTAAAGAACAATACTAAATAGACAAGAAGCAAACAACTTTCTAAATATTCATTTAATCCAAACATGCTCTATGGTAGAGGCATTTGCCTGGTGAATTGTGTTTGTAGAATCAACTATAGTTACTCTTTTGCATGTTGAAATGCCGCATGCTATTGTGTTTTATGTCTATGGAGTAGTGAGACTTGTGAATGTTATTTTTTATTGCTCTGTAGTACAAGACGCATGGAATGGATGTTTGCTATTGCTGGTTAGCAATAGGTTTTTGCATTTGACTTGGGTGAACTTTTGCTGTTTCAAGTTCAGGGTTTTGGAATCAAGAAGTAAGAAAAAACTCTTAGGCAATATGTTTTTTTGCTATACCTCATTGTACCTCATTGTTGTGGACTCCTGACATGACTCAATCCACTGTGAAATTTATCCTAGGAAAATAATTCATTTTTGGTTTACCATAGTGTTCTGCCAAGGGTTTTCTGCAAGGATTTCTTTAGTTGATATGCAACAGAGTTAAGGTACTTTACTGTTTATTGTAGTCCTTTCTTTTGGCCATTTCTTCCTTCTACAAAGATTTCCTTTTGTTTTCGTCTTCTTAGTTCTTTTTCATTCTCTTGCGGTCTCTCTTAATATGATTTCTTCTTTATCAAAATAAAGATGAAATTCTTATAATGGGGCTTATGGGGGCATATTCAGAGGCATTAGGAATTTTTATCTTTGCACTTCTTTGCAGGTTGACTGGTTGGTGTGTCCTCTATATATTTTGGCTGGCATGACATTTTGCATGGAGATTAGGCTGGAAAGTTGGAGCATTTATTGTTCTTCATATTGCTTTGCGCCTTTGTGCTTCCCCCTCAGGGATCTCTTCCCTTCCCCTCTATCCTTGAGAAAAATGACCTTTGTATGTGCTTGCTTCCTACTTTACCTTGTTTGGGTTCATCAGTTACAAGTTTTTGTATTCTTTCTGTTTTTTTTTTAATGCAGGGAAGTTGGTGTAATTATCCAGAATGTGGATGTTACCTGTGGTGAGGTTGCTGTGAGCCTGAATGAGAAGATTCTTTTGAAAAGAAAGACTTCAGATGCTTCTTCTAAGACGGATAAGACAGTAGTTGATTCTGTTGCTGCTAAAGATCAACATAAAAAACAATCAGCCCTTGTCGCAGTTACGAAGTATGCTTCTATGTTTCCTCAAAAGGTTTGTGAGCTTAAACTATTTAAATGGTTTTAATATGACTGCCTCCATCTTTATAGTCATTCTTCAGCTTGGTAGAATACTTATCATATTCTTCAAATTTGGGGGTGTACCAATTTTTTCAGTGATATAGATGTTAGTTGACAACTTGCTTTTTGTCTGATAGGTTAGCTTCACTTTACCAAAATTGGATGTGAGGTTTGTTCATCAAGAACATAATCTTGTTATTGAGAACAATATCATGGGCATTCAATTAAGGAGTATCAAAACTCTATGTACTGAAGATGTGGGGGAGAGCACTCGTCTTGATGTTCAGATTGATTTCAGTGAGATACATGTATGAGTAATGATTGTTGTCAAAACTCTTTGGTGTTGTAATTTTCACATTTATCTTTCAGCCTGACATCTAAATGCTGATGATTTTTTGCGTTATATTTCAGCTTCTCAGAGAAGCTGGCACTTCTGTTATGGAGATATTGAAAGTTGTCATTATCTCTTTCGTTTACATTCCACTTCAGGTAAGTCTTCAAGAATTTAATCCCTGAAGCTGAGTGTCTTTATGCAGTTGATACTTTTTGTATATATTACAGAAATTGTAGAGGATAAACAGTTGCATCAGTCCAATCGCATATGCAGCTTTGACACATAATTTTCTTGTTATGCTACTAGGATAAAGTTTGTACTGGCTGATATCTATTAGCTTTGCTTGAAAGCTAAGCAATCTTTAAACTCTTATTTTACCAGTTAATGCGTAATTTCTGCATTTGATATTGTTCAAAGGTTCTACCGATGCACCTGCATTTGATGCCATTCAGGCTTTCTAACATTGCAGCTCCAAACTAAATGAATTTCTTGTCCGATTTTGTTATTGAACTGGTGAGATAGGTAACAACCATTCTTTATGAAGATTTTGAATCTTGTGGATGAGGGAACCCATTTCTATTCTCGCACTTGGTATGTTAGAATTTCTAAGAGCCAAGTATTACCTTTGCAGTTATTGTGGTTATATTGGCCTTTTTGTGCTCTCTGTTCCTGATATCCAGTACAATTGGAGGGAGCTTCGCTTTGTTATTTCTCTCCCTCTCTAAAATTTATTTCTTTTCCCCTTTTCTAGTTTCTGTTCTTCTCATATTCATCAGATCCTCTTTTTCTTTTTTATTTTTCCTTTCGTGGTTGGCTTAGAGAGCAGCTGTAACAGGCTAGCTTATTCTTATTCTTTTTTATTTTTATTTTTTATTTATTTATTTTATTATTATTTATTTTTTTTTTTTTTTTCATTTATCACCAAGCTATGCTTGTTTATGCCAGGCTAGTTTATTCTGTAAAAGACTGGATTGATGGTAAAATTGCCTCTTCCATCATTGAGTTCCTCTCCTTCTTTTGGTTGCTGGATCCTGCTCAAGTTCTGAGTTTGGATATGAAAATTATGAATATTTTTCTCAAATTGTGGAGGGGAGAAAAATATTTTGATTTTCATAATTGTTTAACTTATGAATTCGTGTTCTAAACAACAGCTCTTTCTTAATGCATTGGCCATTCTGTAATGGTTTTTTCTAGACCATTGTTACTCTGTTTTTCCATTTCTGTTCAGCTGATTCACCAATCACCTAGAAAGGATAGACAACATGAGAGAATTGGTTCTTTCTCATGTTTCTTCTTATTATTTACTTAAGTCTTAGATATTTAATTAAATTCTTTGTTTGAACTTATGTTTTATTGAATTTATTGAATTTATTATTTTTGATTTGGTTGATTTTGCTACAACAACAACAACAACAACTAAATTTGAAACAATTTAGTCAGATTCCAGAAAATTCTCCATTCCAAACAGTTTCTGATTCCATTTAAATACCTTCCCAAATATGTTTTTACTGCACATCATTTATTTTCAATGTTTTTTATCTTCAGAAAAATAGGTCACAATTGAAGCTAAAAACAAAAAGAAATTTTTGTTTGAATCTTTTCTTTTTTTCTTTTCGCAATAAAGATGACAATTCTTTAGATGTTATCAATTCCTATTAGTTTAGGTTGTTTTGCTACAGCAATATACCTATTTTCTAATTCTAATTGATTGATTTATATCTTTTCGTGAATGAAGTTCAAATTAAGGTTTGCTGGTTTATCATATTGACTTGGTTTTTGCATGCTTTTACTTTTCAGCCTACTTCACCAGTTAGAGCTGAGATAGATGTTAAGCTGGGAGGTACACAGTGCAATATTATAATGAGTAGATTAAAGCCATTGTTGCAACTCCATTACTCAAAAAAGAAAAAAATGGTACTCCGGGAGGAAAATCCTACTCCAGTAAAGCCAAAATCAACTGATTCCAAAGCCATTATGTGGACATGTACTGTCTCAGCTCCCGAGATGACTATTGTGCTTTATAGTATCAGTGGATCGCCTTTGTATCATGTAAGTGATGTGCCATTGCACATTCTAATGTGCTTGATTGATTGGTCAAATCCGTTACAGTATGTGTTTTATTGTGCTAGTGCTACATTGCTGCACCATATCTTTTATTTTGTGGCAGACAAATGATGGTTACTCAAAATACAAGAAAAAGTTGAAAACTCTATATTTTGCAAGCTGATTGGTTATTTAATACGACCCTTGCATTCTCCATAGAAAATGTTCATTAGCTACTAATTGTTGGGACTTTTGGCGGTTGCTGGTAAAAGTTGGCAACCTTAACGTCTTTTCCACTCAACAGAAACTTCAGGAGAGGTTTGTGTAAATTCAGAAAACATAGGCATGAGAAATTTACCACAAGGAACAAAAGCATGGTTTTCAAAAATACTTTTGTGAGCTTTTAAGTGGTTCCGTGGCCAACTTTAATTCTGTTTAAGGATTGAAAAGCCTTGCTTGATTCATGGTTTTGTTTTTACTGCTTTCCTTAATTTGAACATTCTTAAATAAATTAGCAACTGGTGTTGCTGATGAATAAGGTTATGGCCACCAGATGGGGCTTGGAAATTTCAATTTTCATGCCCTAAATCACTTCCACAGAAAAGAGTGTGAAAACGCATGAAGTGAAGGTGCAAATCTCATTTTTTCTTCTTTATACTGTTATGTAATAGGTGCAGCTTTTATAAGTAAAATGCTTGTTTGGTACTAGTTTTGTTCTTTCAAGTTTGTAATAGTTAGTAAAAATTCATAGTTAGTACTTTTGGTATTTAGAGTTTCCAGCATCCATGTACAATGAATTAGTTTTCCTTTTTCCTGACAGTGCAGAAAATTAACTTCTAATTTCTCTGTGTAGTGCTGCTCACAATCCTCACATGTTTTTGCAAATAACATATCAAGCATGGGCACTACAATACATTTGGAACTTGGTGAACTAAACTTGCATATGGCAGATGAATATCAAGAATGGTTAAAAGAAAGCCCATTTGTTGTGGATTCGAATTTGGGTGCTTTACTTCATGTAGCAAGGGTTAGTGTAGATTGGGGCAAAAAGGATATCGAATTGTCTGAAGAGAGTGGTATGAGATGTAAATTAGTTCTCTCTGCTGATGTGACTGGTATGGGTGTTTGTTTTAACTTCAAACGTGTAGAATCACTTATAGTGACTGCTATTTCCTTTCAAGCTCTCCTGAAAAGTCTATCTGCTTCTGGAAAAAGAACAATCCAGAGCCGAAGTGTGCGATCATCGAAACCATCAGGGAAGGGGATCCAAGTACTGAAATTTACTCTGGAAAAGTGTTCTGTAAATTTTTGTGGTGAATCAAGTTTGGAAAATGCAGTTGTTGCTGATCCCAAGCGCGTTAATTATGGATCACAGGGTGGTCGTGTTGTAATTAGTGTCTCAGATGATGGCACACCACGTACTGCAAGTGTAATATCCACTGTTTCTGATGATTGTAAGAAGTTGATATATTCTCTTTCTCTTGACATCATCCATTTGACTTTGTGTGTGAACAAGGAGCAGCAATCTACAGAGGTGGAACTTGAAAGAGCAAGGTCTATTTATCAAGAACATTTGGAGGAGCATAGATTTGATACAAAAGTAACATTATTTGATATGCAGAACGCAAAATTCGTACGGCGTTTTGGTGGTCTTAAAGGGATTGCTATTTGCTCTCTGTTCAGTGCTACTGACATTAAAGTCAGGTGGGAGCCTGATGCACATTTATCTATAATTGAACTTGTTCTACGACTGAAGTTACTGGTACACAATCAAAAACTCCAAGGACATGGTAGCGAAAACATGGGAGAAGCCTCTAGCATGAGAGACTCTGAACAGAAAAAAGATGCCTCCTCGGAATCTGGACATATTGATAAACCTAAGAAAAAAGAAACCATTTTTGCTGTTGATGTGGAAATGTTGAACATATCTGCTGCAGCTGGAGATGGGGTTGATGTGGTAGTGCAGGTTCAATCAATCTTTTCTGAGAATGCCCGTATAGGAGTACTTCTTGAAGGACTTATGCTTTGTTTTAATGGGGCCAGAGTACTGAAAAGTGGTAGAATGCAAATTTCTCGTATTCCAAGTGCTTCTAGTAATTCTTCTGATCCAAAATTGCCAGTGGCTATGATATGGGATTGGGTGATTCAAGGACTTGATGTTCATGTTAGCATGCCATTCAGGTTAGAGTTGCGTGCCATTGATGATTCTGTTGAAGATATGTTGAGGGCTTTGAAGCTTGTGGTTGCTGCTAAAACTCAACTTAGTTTTCCCATGAAAAAGGAAAGCTCAAAGCCTACAAAGCCTAGTTCAACTAAGTTTGGACGTGTGAAGTTTTGTATACGCAAGCTAACTGCTGATATTGAAGAAGAACCACTGCAGGGTTGGCTTGATGAGCACTATCAACTGATGAAGAATGAGGCCAATGAGCTAGCTGTGAGGTTGAAGTTCCTTGATGAATTTATTTCCAAAGTTAACCAGTCTCCTAAACCTGCTGAAACTAATGATCCCACTGTTGAAAGGAAGGTTATTTATGATGGGGTTGAGATCGATGTACAAGATCCTTCAGCAATTCAGAAAATTCAGGAAGAGATTTACAAACAATCATTTAGATCATATTACCAGGCATGCCAGAAGCTAGTACCTTCTGAAGGTTCAGGTGCTTGTAGGGAAGGGTTTCAGTCTGGTTTCAAGTTTACCCCCAAAAGAACTTCTCTTATATCCATTTCTGCTACAGATTTGGATTTAACCTTGACAAGGATTGATGGTGGAGATGATGGGATGATAGAGGTTGTAAAAAAGCTCGATCCTGTCTGCCGTGAAGAGGATATACCATTTGCTCGACTCTATGGGAGTAATATTTTATTGCGTACTGGCTCTCTGACTGTTCAGATAAGAGATTACACATTTCCTCTTTTTGCAGCTACTGCTGGTAAATGTGAAGGTCGTCTTGTGCTAGCACAGCAGGTAAGGTTCAATTTCTGCTTCTCAATCTCTTCTCTTTCCTTCCCAGACTGATGTTTCATATGCGTTTTTTTTTTTCCCAGCATACAGTCATGTGCCTACTCGGGCTGCTACATTCTTGCAATAAATAAATATATATTAGTAGTAGTTAACTAATTTGAGGGCATTATATAATATCATTTTCAGAATATTTTTGGTCAATGATAAACTTTAATATTACTTTTGATGTTCAACGATAAATTATTGTTTTTTTACATTTTAATATTAAACGATAAATTCTTCCTTCATGTACAATAGAGTTGGCCTGTAATAAAGACATTTTGGAAACAGATTCTAGATGCTATTGAAATGTTGACTGTAATAAGGGTGACATAATATTGGTCCCATCACAAAATGAGTAAATATCATGAACTCTTTCGTTGGAGCACCTGTTCAAAATAAATAGGTCAAGCAGGTCCAAATTATTTTCTTTATGCAAATAATGGGGCTGAATATTTTCTTTTCTAGAAGGTAGAGTTCAATAGCAACAGTGAGTCCAGAAGGTAGAATTTAATAGCAACAGTGAGGTAGACCATAGATCATTACCGAAATACTTGATTGATGGCCTAATCCCATTTCTTTTTAATCTAATCACTTAAGAGAATTTTTTTAGACTCCTAGTTTCTCTTTGGAAGACCATGTCTCTTTATTCTTCTTTATTAATTAGTCAACTAAACCTAGCACAAATATACAATTTGATAGTGAAATTCAAGAATTTACAATGAACTCATGGAGGACCTTGGGATACATAATTGCTACTGTTTTGAATATGGCATATTTGGAAGATCTAAATATCAAATGTGTCCTTCATTTAAAAGAGGTTTGATTTTCTAGTAGCCAACCTTTACCATGCTTCGAGAATAGCAAACTGCTAGAATCATATGCTGGTCGTAATTTTTTTTAGTATTATTATTTTTCTTGAAATAATCATTGATATCTTTTTTTTGTCTATATGTTACATTGTTCTATATTGGGCTGCAATCCTCTGTATTATGTCTTTGCATCTGTGTGCTAGTCTTTCTTTCTCTAATTATAGCTGTTCTTCCCTTGAATTAGGCAACCAGCTTTCAGCCCCAAGTTTACCAAGATGTCTTCATTGGGAGGTGGAGAAAAGTCTCCTTGCTCCGTTCAGCCAGTGGCACAACACCTCCAATGAAAAATTACTTTGATTTGCCTCTATATTTTGAGAAAGCCGAAGTGTCTTTTGGAGTAGGTTATGAACCATCTTTTGCTGATATAAGCTATGCTTTTACTGTTGCTCTTCGGAGGGCCAATTTAAGTGTCAGAAATCCTGGGCCGCTCGTTCAACCACCAAAAAAAGAGCGTAGCTTGCCATGGTGGGATGACATGAGAAATTACATTCATGGAAATATCACCTTAGGCTTTAATGAAACTAGGTGGTACATTCTTGCGTCACCTGATCCTTATGAAAAGCTTGACAAGCTCCTAATTACATCTGGTTCCATGGAGATCCAGCAATCAGATGGTCGCATTTATATGTCTGCAAAGGATTTTAAGATTTTTGTGAGCAGTATGGAGAGTTTGGCAAATAGCTGTGGCTCAAAACTTCCTAGTGGTGTATATGGTGCTTTCCTTGAAACCCCAGTTTTTACTGTTGAAGTCTTAATGGATTGGGATTGTGATTCTGGCACTCCACTGAATCATTATCTATTTGCACTTCCTAATGAAGGGAAACCTCGAGAAAAAGTTTTTGATCCCTTCAGATCTACATCTCTGTCGCTCCGGTGGAATTTCTCTTTAAGACCCTCTATTCCTTCATGTGAGAATCTATCTTCTAATCCACCTCGCAAGACTGAAAATGCTTCGATTGTTCCAACAACACTGAGTGTTGGTGCTCATGATTTTGCGTGGTTAAATAAGTTCTGCGTCTTGAATTATCTTCCTCCCTACAAATTACGTCTTTTTTCTCGGTTTCCTCGTTTTGGGGTTCCCAGAATTCCCCGGTCAGGAAATTTGTCATTAGACAGAGTGATAACAGAATTTTTTCTCCGTTTGGATGCTTCACCCACTTGTATAAAAAATATGCCACTGGATGACGATGATCCTGCAAAAGGACTAACCTTTAATATGGCAAAGCTGAAATATGAAATCTGTTTTGGTCGGGGTAAACAACAAAAGTACACTTTTGAATGCAAGCGAGAAACTCTTGATCTTGTTTACCAGGGGATTGACCTTCACATGCCTAAGGCTTTCTTAGACAAAGAAAATTCTACTAGTATTGCAAAAATAGTTCAAATGACAAGGAAAAATAGCCAACCTTCAGCTGTGGACAAAGCACCTAGTGAAAAAAGCAATAACAGTAGTGGTTGCAATGAGAAGCACCGGGATGATGGATTTCTTTTGACATGTGATTATTTCACAATCAGAAAGCAAACACCAAAGGCTGATGGTGCAAGGCTAACAGCGTGGCAAGAGGCTGGGAGAAGAAATCTTGAGATGACATATGTGAGGTCTGAGTTTGAAAATGGGAGTGAGAGTGATCACGCACGATCTGACCCAAGTGATGATGATGGATACAATGTGGTTATCGCTGACAGTTGTCAGAGAATTTTTGTTTATGGTCTCAAGCTCCTATGGAATATTCCAAATAGAGATGCAGTTTGGTCTTGGGTTGGTGGATTGGCCAAAGCCTTTCAACCTCCCAAGCCTTCCCCTTCTCGACAGTATGCACAGAGGAAATTGCGTGAGGAGAGCCAGTCACATACTGAAACTGAAGCAAAGCAAGATGATATCTCTAAGCCCCCTTCTACCAGCACTAATGCTGATTCCCCTTCTCAACATGCAGAGACTTCTCCAGCAAATCCAGCTAAAATAGAGTATTTATCTGCTGCTGCATTTGGTATGTCTTGTTGTTTGTTTGAGATTGTTAATTTGTAGTTATATGTTGGTTTATGGAAATGATTCTTCATTACCATTCTTTGCTCCATTGCAAAAAAAATTAAAAAAAAAAGAAAAAAAAAAAAAAAAAGTTTGTAGTTAATATGTTGTTTATGGAAATGATCTTCTTAACGCATTCTCTTGCTTCCCATTTGCAGAAAAAAAATAAAAAAATTAAAAAAAAAAAAAAAAAAAAAAAAAGCAAACATCACTAGAAATATAATTTTGCATGTGACATTTACATTCTAAAACTTCGACTAACTTCACATATTATTAAGGGTTTTAGCTAAGAGATATTTATATGCTTTGCTTCTATTGCCAGCAACAAATGCAAGTACAGATGACCCTGAAGAGGAAGGGACTCGTCATTTCATGGTGAATGTTATTGAGCCACAGTTCAATCTCCACTCAGAAGAAGCTAATGTAAGCTGTTAATTTCACTTAAAGAATGTGTTATTTCATTTAATGATGTAGTTATCATGCTAACTTTTTTTTTTCTTTTTTTTTTTTGGGTGATACAATTCAAGTTAAAATCTTGCAGTTTTATGTTCTTTATTATTAATTTTCACTTGTGCCTAGTCCTTTATTCTTATTTTGGTTATAGTGTACTACTATGGGTATTGTAGGCTTGTTCAGAAGAATTAAACTGATCTTCAGGCTTATCAAAGAAAAATGAAACTGAAATATAAGTTGCTATTACTATGATGGATAGCAATGTGATTTTTGAAATGCAGTCATCTTAATATCACATTTTAATTTTTGTTGTTGAAATTAATTAGGCATTTCAATTACTTCTACATATGCAGCAGTTGAATTATAAATGCGAGTTCAATCTTATTATATGATGTAGTTTTGCTGCAACTGTGACCCATTTAGCTAATTCATTGTGTGCTTAGGCTTGCCTTCTAGTTCCGTGCTAAGATTTCATTTTTGTGAAGTTTGAATATGAAAAAAATAAAACAATCATTGTAGTCAAATTTGAGCCCGTATTTGGCTGTTTAAACTAACAACTGTACTATCTCCCCCCCTATGTTCTTGCTTGTTTGTTCATATGTAATTCTGGATGAGACAATAAGTTTATGCGTATTTATGTTATTCGATAAAGGTGTAAATGATGTAGTTGCATTATAAAGCATGTGAATATAATCTTATCTTCTACTGTTTTGTATATGAAGGTATCTTTTTGGTTGTATTTTCCTCTAATTGAATTATTTTTGTTTTTCACATGAAGTGTACGATTAAGATCCATACTTAGATATTTGTCAGATCACAAACATCTTACTATATATTTTCAGCATTCTTACGAATTGAAAACTATCCTAGATTCTATCTAATGAAACATCTAAACTATCATTTCTTATGGTCTCGGATTAAACTGTTTTGCCCAACAGGGTAGATTCCTGCTTGCTGCTGTTAGTGGTCGTGTTTTAGCCAGATCATTTCATTCTATTCTCAATGTTGGAAAGGAGATTATTGAACAAGCACTCGGCAGTGGAAATGAGCAACTTCCTGAATCTGTACCTGAAATGACATGGAAGCGCATGGAGTTCTCTGTGATGTTGGAGCATGTGCAGGCTCATGTTGCACCAACTGATGTTGATCCTGGCGCTGGACTGCAGTGGCTTCCAAAAATTCGAAGAAGCTCTCCCAAAGTGAAGCGTACTGGTGCTCTACTTGAAAGAGTATTTATGCCATGTGATATGTACTTCCGCTATACAAGACACAAAGGCGGGACTCCGGAACTGAAGGTTAAACCACAAGTTTACTTGTTCATTGGAGATTTTATCTCATTACTAAATTTAAGCATGTCATTTATAGATTTGTGTTTGCATAGTTATTTTCTTTTTAAATGCTGTCTCCTCTGTGGTTAATCAATTGAATGTTGGCTGTTTATCTAATTTGATTCTTAATTTGAACAATGCGCTTGTCTTTGATTTATTCTGCCAGGTGAAACCTCTGAAAGAGCTCACTTTCAATACTGATAATATAACAGCAACAATGACATCTCGCCAGTTTCAGGTTATGCTGGATGTGTTGACCAATCTCCTCTTTGCTCGGCCTCCCAAGTAAGAATGTGAATCTTTTTTTTTTTTTTTTTTTTTTTTTTAAATGTGAATCTTTTTTTTTTTTTTTTTTTTTTTACTTTTTTTTTTTTTTTTTTTTTTTTTTTTACTTTTTGGGAATTACATATTTTCATCTTTCCTTTTTGAAATCTAAAGTTAATTTGCTGTGCCTACTATTACTACCAGTTGTCTGTGTCCCCATGCCTTTTGCATGTCATATGGCTTCCATCTGAGCGTCATATGTTAAATATTGCTTTCTTTCTTTTTCTTCTACCATTATAGCAGGTTCAGAAAACATATGTATGCCGCTAATTATCTCATTCATCTCCGTTTTTTTCTTGCTTTCCCTTCATCTTTCACTCTCTAAAATAAATGATTAAAAAAGGGAAATTAATTAGAGAAAGGAAGAGGATGCACAAGGAACAGCCCGATTAGTTCTCCTCAAGATAATGAAAGGATAAAAAAGATAGAGTTCTTGCTCCTGTACTGTAATTAAGGGCTTATTAAATAAGTAAAATTTTAAATGTTCAAGGTACTTTCTGTTTTAGATGGTTATTAGAAGCTTGTGCACATTTTTCAGTATTTATATAAACTTACTACTAATTTAGATATTGTGCAAAAAGTTTTATCTCTGACATTTATCTACTCAATTGATCTTGTGACATAATTGCAATTTTTTCCCCTCTTCAAGCTGATTTGAGTGACATATTTGATTCAGGCCTAGAAAGAGTAATTTGTCATATCTAACTGAAGACGATGAAGATGTCGAAGAAGAGGCAGACGAGGTGGTGCCTGATGGTGTAGAAGAGGTAGAACTTGCTAAAGTCAACCTTGAACAGAAAGAAAGGGAACAGAAGTTGATACTTGGTGACATCAGGAAGTTGTCTCTCTATGAAAGTACTGGAGACCTACATCCAATGAAGGAAGGGGAATTGTGGATGCTCACTGGTGGAAGATCCATCTTGGTGAGAGGCAAAGCTTGTGATTAAATCTTTACTTAAGCAGTTCTATTAATTTTCTTCACAATTATTTTGGGTGGTTACATTTTATTTAAATAATGTTTTTTCCAGGTTTAGTTCTCTTAGAATATTTTCTAATGTTCTCTACTTATCAAGCTGCTGAGAGAACTTATAGGTGACATGATCTTGTATTAAGAGAATTCCTGAAAACTTATAGCGGTTGTAGTGCTACATTCCCTTACCCCCTTGCATTATCTCTTAAGAATATGCACATGGAATTAAGTTACAGTGGGTTTCAATTCGAAGTTGTTTTGACATTCCCGCAGCCATGTCTTGGAGAGTTGGACAGCTTACCATACACATAAGTTAATGCGTCCTTCTGTGACACTTGAAAATTGAAATTTTTTGGTACTTGGAAAAAGATGATTGACATATTTATGTTTTGGATTGTCATGGAGTATTTGTTGTATGGAATTTTTTTAATGTAATCACCATATTAGATGTAGGGGATGGATGGATATATTATGCTATATTGTTGATATTATGCTTTGCTTTATTTGGTTGGTTATATTATCTGTCTTTGTAGGTGGAGCATGTTAACAAACAATTATTTGTTTGTATATTGTGTTTAGATTTATTTTGAATTTTGTATATTTAACAGTTTAAAGAAGTTGCTTAATGTAACTTGTCTAATAAATAGGATTGAGAATCCTGGCATGATTAGTTAAACAGGTTGCATTCACGTTAGCCATTTTTGTATTGTACTTGTGTGTTGACCCATTTATGACATGATTAACAAATTGCTAACCCTATTGTGTCATACAAATATTAACTGATCAAGCTTCACCTCTCCAGGTGCAAGGACTGAAGAAAGAGCTTGTAAATGCTAAGAAGTCTAGGAAGGAAGCATCTGCATCATTAAGATTGGCTCTGCAGAAAGCTGCACAGCTACGACTAATGGAGAAGGAGAAGAACAAAAGTCCATCCTATGCAATGCGTATATCTTTGAAAATTAACAAAGTGGTTTGGAGCATGCTTATAGATGGTAAATCTTTTGCTGAGGCCGAGATAAATGACATGGTTAGTATCCAAATATTCTGCATTCTGTTCTAAATAGTAAAGAAATATCAGTGCTAGCTTTAAAAATTCTCATGGCGATAATGATAGCTTGGAGTTCAAATATTGGATATATGAAGTTAAATGTTGTATTGGCTGGATAAAAAGGAAGGAAATAGAATAAGAAACCTAATGGGAATTGAATGTGAAAACTTTTCTATCCAATGTGTCACTAAATGAATAAACACTCATTGAATCACAACTTTTATTCAGATATGTAATTTAAATGGTGAAGTGATAGTGGTGGTGGCAGGCAGGGCAGGTGTTGGTGGGAGCAAGGTGGAAGTGATGGTGGTGAGGGCATAATTAAGTAATAAAGCAATCTAATTGATGTTACATCAATTTTTTGTTTGTAGTGGACATTCCATGACTTAAAAGTACCGGTGATTGCATGATGTGATCAGCATCGCAATACATTAGATATTTTCTTGTTGTAACCAAACAAACTAGACTTGTAAATCATAAATTAATTTGTGATTACATTACAACTTTGATGTTAATTTTAAAATAATAATAAAAGAAAAGGCATGCAATATCTTCCATTTAAAGCATAACCAGAATGCTCTGCATTGTCTAGAAATGCTAGTGACTCTGCTTTCAAGTGCATTTTTGGTGACAATTTCGTTTTTCAAAGATGTGTGACAAGGTTTTACTTGTTTGTGTTTCTTTGATCCTCAGATCTTTGATTTTGACCGAGATTACAAGGATGTCGGTGTTGCTTTGTTTACAACAAAATATTGTGTTGTGAGAAACTGCCTTCCTAATGCAAAGTCTGACATGGTCCTATCAGCATGGAATCCTCCACCGGATTGGGGAAAGTATGCACTTTTTTCTATCTGTTTGCTTCAGTTAGTGGTTCTTTTGTTCTATTATTCTTTTTAAGTTGAAGCTTTCATAATCCAAGTTTGTGCATTAATAGTTATGTCACTGTACTGCACATGTTTTGTATTTTTTGTGATCTCATTTCTAATATCATTTCTTATATAACATAGTAACAGATTTAAGTATAAATTATTTTTTATTTTGTCCTTTAACAAAATTGCAACATCAACTTTTTTGGCTGCAGGAAGGTAATGCTTCGTGTAGATGCAAAGCAAGGACTTCCAAAGGATGGAAATTCCTGCATTGAGCTTTTCCAGGTAATTTAGTTATTATCTTTCATGAATCATAATGGGAAGAAAAAAAAAATCAAAAGAAAAATGTCATAACCCTGAAATGTATAGCTGCATGAAATTTCAATCCAGTTCTAACAACGCACATTGCAGACGAAAACAAAATCTGGTTTTTGGGAGATGGATTTATTATCCTGTTGTCAATTATGATTTAATCTTTTTTTTCTCTTTGTTCATTCATTTTTTTTCTTTGGACTTTTCAGAGTGATCGTCTAATCAAAACGAGATGTGGGGTACAAACTATGTGAATGTATCTTTCCATCAGTTAAAAGTCCACATGTCTAAGGTTCATGTGTCTTAGAGGATATGGTTGTATAACAATAAAAATTAAAAGGGAATGCTTAGAATGGAAGTAATGAGGTGTTAGTTCTCTTGCTAGCTTATAATTTGAAGCATAGAAGCTTCGTAGATGTACATAGAGGAAACTGTGAATCACTTACTCATCCATCATTAACTTGTACTTCAATTATGAGCTTTTATTGAATGTTTCTAAGGACAAGAAGGAATTGCATTATGGAGCAGTTTCTGAGTCAAAGAAGTTATTACCTTTCAGCTATTCCTTCCTTTTCTTTGTTTGGTTGGGGGATGGAGGGAGATGAATAACACTTTTAAAGGGGAGGTTGGTTTAGTCCTAAATTGAAAATGTCCTGCTTAAATATCTTTGTTTTTGGGATAGGCAAAATCTCGGATGCAAGTTTTTACCTTTCTGTATCAAGATTGGTGTTAGCACTATTAGTATATCATCTATATTTTGTGTTCGGGAATTGTTTCCTGGGGTTTCTGTTTGACAAATTAGACATTCGGCTGATGATTGCTTAACATAATCTCTTCCTTTTTACTTCAGGTAGAGATTTATCCCCTTAAGATTCATTTGACAGAGACCATGTACAGGATGATGTGGGAGTATTTCTTCCCAGAAGAAGAACAAGATTCACAAAGGCGGCAGGTTAGTTGAAAACTGCAATGATTCTGAGTTGGTGAAAAAAAAAAAAGCCAAATAAGAAGGCATTTTAATTATGATGCTTAGTTTGGTGTCATTTTGTGAAATCAGGAAGTTTGGAAAGTTTCAACTACTGCTGGTGCAAGACGTGTAAAGAAAGGTTTGTTACTCCATTTGCCTTCTTCATGATATAGTCACCTATCAAAAGAGTCTGGTGTGACATCCAAACTTATGATTCAGGGGCAGAGTTGAGGAGAACATCTTCTTTTGACAGAACATGGGAGGAGTCTCTTGCAGAATCTGTTGCTGCTGAACTCGTCCTGCAGGCTCATTCTAAAATGGACTTGGTTGGATCTATTGAACCATCAGATGAATCCTCTAAAAGCAAATCGAAAGATTCCAAGCTTATAAAGTCTGGCCGTTCATCACACGAAGAAAAAAAGATCGGAAAGTCAACTGAAGAGAAGAGGTCTCGACCTCGAAAAGTCATGGAGTTTCACAATATTAAGATCAGTCAGGTGGATGACTGTTTTTTGTGAATTATAATGCAATTATTTTGTTTGTAATATTTTGTTTGAAAGCTAACATTTTATATTACTCTCTTGTAGGTTGAGCTACAGATTACTTATGAAAGCTCTAGATTTAATCTGCATGAGCTTAAATTGCTGATGGATACATTTCACCGTGTTGAATTCACTGGGACTTGGAGGAGGCTGTTCTCACGAGTAAAGAAGCATGTTGTTTGGGGAACCCTGAAGTCTGTGACAGGAATGCAGGTAATTAGTTTTCTGTCTCTCTATCTAAAACACTGTTACTAACGGTATCCGTCTCTGAGTATATGTATGTGCACAATGGTATCCGTCTCTTGTGTATATGTATGTGCTCCATCTCTGGGGAGCAAATTTTTGCTTACTATAAGAATAGCAGCATTCTCATAGACCCTGAACCTGTTTTGCTATTATGGTGCAGCTGATTATTTGCTACCCTTCAAGTTCAATAGGTTATCAAAATCCAAGGAAAAACTGAATTCTATTATTTCTTTTGAAAGTGATGAGCTGGAACTGCTTCTTTATCTTGAAATTCAGAAGTAAACTTGCAAATATAGAGCATATATTCTTCTTTCTTTCTGGAAACATGAGAGAGCATAAATTTCACTAGCTAATTTAAATCAAAATTTGTTTGGTGATTCTACACCCAACTATGCAGTAATCATAAGCTCACCTCTTTCCAAGTGGTACCTTGACGCTTTCTGTTGGTTTTGCAGGGTAAGAAATTCAAAGACAAATCAAATACTCAAAAGGAGCCCAGTGGACCAAGCGTCCCTGACATTGAACTTCATTTTAGTGATAACGAGGGAAGTCAGGCTGGGAAATCTGATCAGTATCCAAACTTTCTCAAGCGTCCAAGTGATGGAGCAGGTGATGGATTTGTTACTTCCATAAAGGGTCTCTTCAGTACTCAACGCCGCAAGGCCAAGGCATTTGTACTGCGAACTATGAGGGGTGAAGGGGATAATGATTTCCAGGGTGAGTGGAGTGAAAGTGATGTAGAATTCTCCCCCTTTGCTAGGCAGCTCACCATTACAAAAGCTAAGAAACTTATCCGGCGGCACACAAAGAAATTCCGGTCAAGAAAAGGTTAGTTTGATTTTTTTTTTTTTTTCCCTTAACGTATACTCTTGAATTGCTTCCTTTCCTTTCACATTTTGGATCTCATGATCCAGTTGTCTGATTCTTATAGTTTATTCAAATTTATCTAAGTATTGATGCACCCATCGCATTCTCGTAGTCTTGATAAAATGTGACACTCACAAATTCATTCTGTATTCAGGTTCATCCTCACAAAGAGAATCTTCACTTCCATCATCACCAATTGAAACCACTCCATTTGAAGCATTTGAAAGTGATTCTTCCAGTGAATCTTCACCTTATGAGGATTTTCAAGAGCAACTCGAGCAACTTCAAGGTGACTTTTAAAGGCTTTATGCTGATGCAATCTATGACTTGGTTGCCAGTCAACAGAATATATGATTGAAATTTGCTTCTTACCGCTACTAAAGTTGATGGCACCTTGGAAAATATAAAATCAGCCGAAGCCATTTTGAAATAAGATTCCTTGTCATTAGACACTTTTAGTGGCTATTTTTTTTTTCCTTTTTATTTTTATTTTTATTTATTTATTTATTTTTTGGCTTCACAGCTGTGTTTAGTTTTGTAGCTTCCAAGTAGATATGAAAACGCTCTTAAAATCTTCATACAAGCTAGCATAATCCCACAAAGTTGTACATATTTCGAATATTTTAAATATTTTGGAAATAAAAGAATGGCGGATCTTTTTGAAAGTAGTTTGCATGATAAGGTTGGCAAAATTATTCAGTCTTTGAAGAAAGGGTATCAGACTATCAGTATCGTTGTGCTACGAGACAAATACCTGAACTTCTTTCCTGATACATGAGATGTCGGCTATTCTCATTGTGCTGTGAGTCCAAGCCCATTGTTCAGCTGGACGAGTCAACAATTAATACAAATCCTCCAAAATTTGTAATGATTTAGCCTTTCATCATTTCAAAACTAAAAAATTTTTATCATGAAGTCCGAATATTAAACCTAGCACTTAACCAGCAATGTCCCGCCAAATGATATTGTAAAGGAAACATAAAAATTAAGATACCTAATTGTAAACGCGAGGAACGAATATATACATATATATCACATTTAAGAAATTTTAGAAAAAACAAACGAGAAAAATATATAAATTGAAAGGTGAGCCAAAAAAAAAAAAAAAAAAAAAAGGTGAGACCAAAAAAAAAAAAAAAAGAAAGGGACGGCCTGAATTGTATATTCCCCGCCCTATTCTAGTCATCTGCAATAAGAGAATCCAAAAGAAGGGATAAGAGGTTTAGTGCATCAGAAAAGAGGTAATAAACATACATTTATTCAGTCAATAGTGTTAAAAAATAGACATTGAAGCAAAATTGCAATCACGTATATATGTACCGCTAAGAAATAATCACATACAGACTGGTAAATGTAGCCTGACATCAGCAAAAGTCTCTAACAAAATATATCAGCAAACAGTATCGTCAGAACTAATATCACCAGAAGTTAATCGCCTGATATTTTTGAGATGTACCTGAAAGCATGGGAATACATCATTCTCACCACCATTTGAGTGATGTAAGTGGGATCACCCAAACAGCAATGCCATTTTTTTAGTTTACAATTCAAGTTGCTAAATTACCCGCCTACCCTTAAGAGGTAATCAGCTAAACTTGCCCTTCGACAATGCAATCAAGATGCAAGTAAGTAAGTGTACCCATTTAATCAGCTCAACTTCTCGCAACTAGTCGGTGTAGAGAGTCAACTTGTCCCTTCTATTCAAAAATAGAGAATGAAATCCAAATTCTGATCTGAACGTGATTAGCAAGAGCTCAACCAGTTGAAGTTCCCAAAAAAAAAAAAAAAAAAAAAAGGGACGCCTGAATGTATATCCCCGCCATTAGTCATTGCAATTAATTAAATCCAAAAGTAGGGTTAGGGTTAGTGATCAGAAAGGGTAACAAATACATTTATTTCAGTCATAGTGTTAAAAATGACAATTGAAGCAAATTGCAATCACGTAACGTAAACCGCCTAAGAAATTAATCACATACAGACTGGTAAACTGACTCAAGCATATCTGCTAACAAATGATACACAAACAGTATCCAGAACTAATATCAACAAGGAGTATCGCCTGATATTTTGGTGTTAGCTGAAAGCAGCATCACATCTTCTCCCACCATTTGATGATTGTACTAGGGGACCCAACGCAATGCCTGTTTTTAGTTACAATTCAATTTGCTAATTACCCCCTCCTTAAGAGGTATCAGTAACTTTGCCCTCTGCAATGCAATCAAGATGCAGTAAAGTAAGTGTACCCATTTACAGCTCAACTCTCGCAACAGTGGTGGAGAGATGCAACTTGTCCCTTTCTATTCAAAATTAGAAGGAATATCCAATTCTGTATCTGAAGGATTAGCAAGCTCAACCAGTGATCCCTGTAAATTGCAAAAAATTACATACATAAGAAATATTGCATGTTAATTCAAACTCTAGTTTCCTAAAATGTCACCAGAAATCATTAGTTTGAGTTATGACCACCATAGGTAACTGGAAGGACCAATAATATGTTTATCAAAAGTTATCAGAAGGCATTAACATATGAACATTGTACATAATCAACTACCCTATATTAAATCACAATATGAACATAGTACTGAATATTTTCATATTAAAAATCACAATACGACACCTGTTTCATGTATACTATGAAAAACTATGAAACAAGGTCACTGCAAAGTAGAAGACAAAGTAGCCCTTTCTCTGAACAAATTGCCACTTAATTAGTATAACTGTCCCTCTAAAAAGGTTGCTTGCTCAGAAATGGATCCATAAACTCAAATAATTCAAATCCTACAAAACTGTAATTCAACTCAGATTTCATTTAATTTCATAATGAAATTTTACTTTGAATGGCCGGAAAGAAAATGCTCCATACTAATGGATTCGGGTCCACAACCATGGCTTCTTATTACTGCACAACTGTGAACATATAGATGGCATACCTGCTCATCATCATCATCATCTGCTGAAGAGTGGACAACCCCCATTGGCAAAGTGCCAGTAAGATCTTCAGTAGCTTCTTGCAAAACCTGTATGACATGAGTAAGGCAAGCTGATAAAAATATGGGTCAAGTCACATCTATAAAGTTTGGGAAGATAAATTACAAAAGCACTTGAATTGCACAACATTGAGGGTTTTAGATTTTCAAGTACTAAAAAATTTTGAAAATGACATGAAATTAGTAAGAGGTGTCTGTAAAAACGCATATAATGCCAGTTGCTAGGCAAAAAAGGTGAAACATCTCACTCTGCAGTATCTGCAGCATCATGCCCTCAGAAAACAAACGCCGCCATCTATCACAATAATCATTGTAGCCAAGCAATTCACAAAATTTCACTCCAATACCAGCCAAGAAAAAGAAATTTAAAATTACATAGCACAACAAGCATAGAAGTAAAATACATTGCCTCCATATGTTAAGGCTGGGATTCGAATCATACTACTACTGGATTGACAGAAGGGTTGTTGGATCCTTCAGTTACAGCTTTAGAAGGATCTTCAGGCGTCCCCTGCATGCCACATAGGTAAACTTATGTGGATAAAATGCTCTCATCCAGTCAGTCAAAAGTAGAAAATTGCATGAGGTAAGAAATAGTACATGTTCATCCTGGTTGCCTGAGTATTCTCCTTCCATTATAGAAGGCTTGATATCAACAGGGGTTTCCTGCAGATCACATTATCAAATTAAATCCTCCATACAAATAAAAGCAGCAAGGCCAACAGCATCACTCTATATATCCCAGTTGAATAACACAAACAAAACATTTCATGACCAGTGTGCAATTCAACAATCAAATGGTAAAGCCCTGAAGCATGGCAAGAAAGAAACCAATGGCAACCAAGTTCAAGAAGAGTCAAAGCATTTGGGCTTGTATATAGGATTACCAGACCACACAGTGAAACAAAATTCAGCTTTTACTAGCTCATATCTAAACTTTGCAATAAACTAGAACATTTAAAAATAGTAGATCCTTGAATGATGAATTAGCTTCAAGAATTGAAAAAATACACATCCAGAAAACAAAAGGTTGCAGCTCACAAAAAGTTGCTCCTCTGTGATGATACATACAGGTTCAATTTGGTCTATTGAAACATTCCTTCCTCCTTTGCTAAGATCCCTTAATGTTCCCTGCACTCCACAAGAAAAATGATGAATCAATAAAGTTAGGGAGCCACATTTCATAATGAATACATTAAAAGGCACAAATATATTGCCTTATCAAGAGTTCATAATTATTAACCAACATGCACACTCCCAACTGAAAAAAGAAAAAAAAAATGAAAAGCAGGAGCATTAGCCAACAAATCAAAGCTAAAAAAACTAGTGGACTGTCAAATCTGATTTCAAAGGATGTCCTTATTTCATGTAGTTTTCATACAGAAAAATACAGCAAAAATAAATAGGGACTGAAATCAAGTAGAGAAATGCAATTAGCTGTCAATACTCAATAGGAAACTTAAACTGCACCTTGGAAATAACTTGCACAGACAAATGTCCCATTGAACAAAGAAGATCAAACCATAAACTTACACCTTGTCTTGAAGGCACAAAGAGAATAAACTATTTACAGAGAGAGAAAATCCAAAATATATAGTTAATCAAGAGAAATTAACAATCAAGTCTCTAGAGAAATTTAGCATAGCCTTTCAATTTTGACAAGAAAACGAGCAGATGTTAAGTGGATTCCCAACTTGTAAGCAACCAGTTAAAAAACCTCCAAACAAATGAAGAACTGATGTTTGAGAGTAAGCAAAGCTGTTATTTAACTCCAATATTTAATTCCACATAAATGTAAAGGCCATCCCAAAAGTCACATCGATTGGGGAAAAAAATTGAAACCAAAATAAACAACCTTATTCGCCCACATTAGGCCACAAGCATTACATAATGTCCTTGGTCCAGCTGGCCCACGACGCATTGCAGGAGTATTATTTTCACTTACACCACAATGTTGGCATCTTCGGAGACTGAAACATTGAAGAAATGGTCAGAAGTCCTGACAATAACTGTTTCTGAAGGCCAAAGCTAGTAAGGCCATATAACTTGCAACTCACACAGTTTCAGTACGAGGAGTGCCGTCCTGTAGGCAACTCTGCGCAGAGTCCCAATTTGAACCACCCGAACTTTCTTTCAAGGATGCAAATTGCCCATTTTTGCGGTGCATCCTGACAAGACATTAAAGATAAAGAGAGTGAACTTTACGAGTTTACACCACCATGTTCAAAGTTCTGCAGAAATTTTCATTAAAATAGAACTAGAAGTTCCCTATTTCTTTTTTTTTTTCCCCTTCTTAATTTCCACGACAACTTGAAAACCCACACCCTTGCTCAATCTAATGAGCAGGGCTTTTTTGACTTCAGTATTTTAACCCACAAAAATAACAATACAATAATAAATGAAAAAAGGAAAAGTAGTTACTAAATCTAGCCTCGGAAGGCACAAAAACATTTAAAATAGAAAAGGTAATTGAAGATCCTAGCATCTTAGTTTATCATTTACCAGAATCGTTTACAAATTAACATAATCAGACAAAATTTGGTTTAATTGTACCATACCTCTGTGCAACCTCTTTTCGGACAGTGTATCTTATTTTCTTATCGAAACATCTCTCCTTCCGTTTCTCACGAAATCTAACAAGGGAGGCTATTCTTCTTGAAAGATTTGAACGCTTTGGGGTGTCACCTATGACCTGGAGAAAATGGCAGATAACAAATAAGCACAAGCATAGAAAAACCATGTAATTGTACTTGACAAATCAAATTTTGATTACTCTGTTATTTTGTTCGTATGGTACTTCAATGGTAGGTACGGCAGTGGGTATGTCTCGTCCTCCCAGAAGCAAGAGCACTGCTTGGACCTGTTTTCACAAATCTAATATGAACCACTTCCTCAAAATAAATATAAATCAATCTAACAGACAAAACAGCAACTGTTAGAGACTGGGGAAACTGTTTGGGAACAAGTACTGTGAATAATTGTAGAACTACACTAGTTTGCAGTCAAGCACAAATACTCAGATTTGGAAATCAAATATAAAATTTACAAAAGAAAGCGAAACAAATTCGTTATTTTCAACATTTTGTGTACAACTGTGAACAAAGTTCCTAAACATCTACTGGAACTATATATGGCAGCCACGCACTCTCCCAAAGATAAAAGCATCTAAATCCCAAACAGGCGGATGCAAATTAACAACCTATTCCAGACATAAACGAAGTTGAAAAATGAATATAGCAAAAGCAACTACCTTAAATACAAAAATAGAGAAGACATTTCTAATCAAAAACAGTAGAAATATCCACTCTACTTCAAAGAATCTCAAATTCCTCACTATTTCACCACAGCTCATAACACTCAATTACATAAAAATGCTTAAAAAATGATGAAATAATAATAATAATAATAATAATAATAATAATAATAATAATAATCTCATAAGAAAAAAGAAAAGGAAAGAAAGGAAAACCGACCAAACATACTTAATCAATTGTAAATTAGAAAACACACACATAAGAGAGAGTAGGAGACCTTCTCAGGAGTAACAGCAGGGAAAACATAAACCTCCCCTTCAAATGAAAGAGTAAGTTCACTGGTCCTCGACGCCATAACCAGACCAGCTCCACCTCCAACTCCAACTCCGGCGTGATGCTCCGCCACGTTAACACCAGAATTCATATGCGCCTCATCCACGTCATCCATTGCGTCACCGTCATCATACTCACCGTCGTCGTCCTCGATCCGTATCGGCTCTCGAACGTGTTCTTCATAAGGACGCGCCTGCAGTGGCTGTGGATTCGCCGCCGCCATACAAAACCAAACCTCACCGTCACCTCAACTCACCAACCGGCCGCCACAGAGAACTAAAAACCCTAAAGTAAGCTTCCAACTGCTACCTGTTCCATTGAATATGAATCACTTAATATTTACAAGTTTCTTGGAACCCTAACCCGAATTTGGGATTCAGAATTTTATGTAAGCAGTCGAGAAGCTTCGAAAAGAGAAGAGAAGAGAAGAGAAGAGAAGGAGAAATGAGAGAGAAAGACAAAGCTCCCTAAAATAGCTAGGATTTGCAGGCTATACACTCGTGTTTCCTTGGAGAGTCTCAATTAGGAAATTTTATTTTTCCTTTTTCTTTTAATTTCTTTCTCCTTTTATTTTCCAATTGATAGGGAAAATGTCGCCTTGCCGAAAATTTCTATTTAAATGTAAAAATTGGGGGAATGATACGGCGTTCCGCAGGAGCACGATGATTGTTGTGATGAGGTGGTGGGGTCCATGGAAGGTGATGGTTCACATGGAGTGTGTGGAGTGTGGGTGCGCTAGATGATTTTTTTATGATATAATGATGGGGTGATATGTGTGGACCCACTGTGGATAATGAGGTTTCGGATGATGATCCAACGGCTGGTAGGTAATGACTAACTGTTCGTTTGTGATTATGGTTTTATTTCGGATAAATAATTATTTAACTCATAAAATTTAATTTAATAAAGTTTTATAAAATAATTAAATCGTCCTTGATGATTCTATTAACAAAAATAAGTCTCCTGTTAGATTTTATTTTGTACTAAGTTTAGTTGTTTGTGGTAGCTAGTAGGTATCAATAGCTATTAGTTGATGAATGCAAATCTTTTTACAGAATATTGGTAATTGTTATCAAATATAAAATGACGAGTAGGTGTATAATTATTTTTATAAATAAATTATTTATAAATAAAAATGTCAATTAAATCTTATATAGTAATTTTTAGTAATTATATGTTATTTTTAAATGATTATACATAAAATTATTACATGGAAATATTAATTAAAAAGTAATAATTTATTAGTAATTTATCAGTCAATTTTTGCCCATCTCATAAAAAAAGAAAAGAAAAGAAAAGAAAAAGAATCATTAATCGACTAATTTCAACTAAATTGAACTCGGAATGGAACTAAAGCAATCCAAACTTATCTGGTTCATCTTCTAAAATTAGTCATCTTTTAAGAAATTAACTAGCAGCTAATAAAAAAAAAATTAAATATAAATATGAATAATTAAAAGAATCAAATGATCACTTTTATAATTTGTTATTACTGACATTAACCTGTAGTTTTATTTTTATCAATATTGAAAAGGCAACCTTAGTAAAAAGGGAGGAAAAGTGAAACAACAATAGCAATTCAATTCAATAAGAGTTAAAAACGAAAAATAGTGGGGAAAAAAGAAAAGAAGAAGAAGAAGAAGAAGAAGAAGAAAACAACATAGCAAAGCAGAAAATAAAGAAAATGTTTGGACTCCATTCATATATTTGAGTTTGCAACTCAAATGGGTCTATTAATATGAAAGTTGAATTCAAATGAGTTACAATAATAAATTATTACGTACAAATTGAATTTCAGGTGACTTAGATATTAAATAAAATGGGAAATAGCGGCAAGACTGATGAGAATGTTGGGTGATAAAAATCGCCACTCGCTCACCAATAGGCTTCTTTACATGTTAGTGGAAAATATTATACTAAAAGCAGAACTAACACTTTGATGGAAGGGTGCTCCAAGTCCAGGAAACATAAAATATAAGATTTTACATTTAAAAGTTCTTGCAAGCTGTAACCAAATTGTAAAATGGGTGGATCTGGAGCCACCTTTTAGGCTTCTATGGTGCAATTTAAATTACAAATTAATAAAATTTTCCATGAAACAAAGAGAGGTGAGCTGGGACCCACAGTCAAAATTTCCATTTTCTCAATTTTTTTTTTTTAACCACAATGAAAGGGCCAACATATGAGCATATTAAAAGCATTTGGTATATAAAATTACCAAATATCAATCAGAGATAGATATGTGATACATCCGGCATAAAATCCTCAAGAGGCAATCTCAAGTAAAGTACCGAAGGAAAGAGAGAACCTCATGTATTGATGATGACACTATAATTAATATCTGTACATTACAGAGAACAAGCTGAAAGCAATTACTAGAAAACCTTCAACTTCAATCGTTGCACAAGGCTGTAGCCGCTCTTGCAAGGCAGCTTGGGAACTCAATCCTCTGCTATTAAAGCCGTATCATCACCACTTCAATAAGTAACAAGATTGTTATGCGTATGAATGGCATTCCCAGAGTCCGAGTCATTTGCTTCGGCTTCACCCTAATCCGGAATCCACATGGAAAGCGGACAGTTAATGCATAATGGTATGCAACAGAACTAAATCAATAAAACTCGTAATTTACACAGTTGATTTGAGAGACATACCTGTTCAACTGGAGTCAGAGAATGTTCCTGGGTTTTCTTGGACAAATCTCTCAAAGTCCCCTGCAGATTTTTATTCGTCAAAAACAAAAGCAATTTTTATTTAAATATGACAAACAAATTCCAACACAGATGAAATTGGGTGCACAAAAATATAAAAACAAGCTGTCTACAACTTATCGATGCATTGATCACATCAATGGCACAAAAGAAAGTACATATTTGTCTCCAAATTGGTAAACCTTGTCTCGGAATAGCAAATCTTCTTCACAAACATTATGCTGGACCCATGTAATCACTTTTTAATTGCTTATGTAGCCCAGAGCTCATATTTCCCTAACTTGAACATTTGAAGCCATTTCCCTGATCGTCTATAGAAGCAAGCAGATGGAAAATGAAGAACTCTTGACAATTCTTGCAGGTCACCAAGGTTTTATCAAGACTCTGGCATGACATGCCTCTTCCCTTCTACCTAACACCAAGCTTCACAAAAACTCAACTCCATCCTAATCTAGTTGATAACATAAATCGATCTTTCTCCAATTCCACTTTATTTATGATCACATTTTCAGTAAAAACTGGCATCCATAAATCCATATTGACCACTTCAGCTCACGTCCTTATTTGATTTACCACATTTTCTTCCTTCCCAAAATTTGCACATGATCATTCTTCCATGCAAATGCATTTGCTAAATATGCTGAACATGGATAAAACATCTCAAACATGCTCATTCTTCCTTCCTGCCATCTGCTCATCCTCCATGAATACTGATTCCTACTGTTAAAAATGTCATTCTTTATATTGGAACTTCCTTCATTTCCACAAAATCAAAAATTTAAACAAGGTAAGAGTTTTTGAACACTTACCTCAAAATCAAGCTTGGAACACCCCAAAAATCACCAAAGTGTTTAGATAGCTCACCTTGTCTTGAACTTTAACTAAACCTTAAAAATTATTCAAATCCTTAAGCTCCAATTCAATGAATAACCTTGAATCTTCAAGAGGAAGGTCTTGGCTTGAGTTCATATGGGCTAGTTAGAGTGATTTTTTGTGAGAAATTGAAAACAATAAGGAAGAGAAGGAGAGCATAATGTTGGGCCAAGGAAGAGAAGAAAGAAAGAAATTCACGTTGAAGAGAAAAAGATGAAGAGAAAATGGTTGCTCAAATAATTGAGCAACAAGGGTATTTTAGTCTTTTCTCAACATTGGATGGCTAAGATTAAGTCAATGGTAATGTTGAAGAGAAAAGATGAAGAGAAAATGGTTTGCTCAAATAATTGAGCAACCAAGAAAAGATGAAGAGAAAATGGTTGCTCAAATAATTGAGCAACAAGGGTATTTTAGTCTTTTCTCAACATTGGATGGCTAAGATTAAGTCAATGGTAATCTCATCCAATGGCTAAAAATATTCTCCAATTTCTTTCCTTCAAAATATTATTTATCTCCACAAAATTTTCAAATTTAATACTTAAAAAGAAGTTCTCTTATTCCCTTACTTAATATAACACCATCTCCAATTTGCTCCATAAAAGTAATTTCTATAATTTCCTTAATGAATATAACACCATAATTCACTATTCACTAATTATCTAAATTCTCCAAAAATATTATTTACTTACTTTCTACCCATAAAATCCATGTATGCATACTCCAAAAATATTAAATAAAATATGACACATAAATAGTAATTTTTCAGAACCAAAATAATACTGATACCCGGACCGATGGCACTATTCACAGACCGGTAACTTACTATTGCAGACACAGAAAAATGGGACGTTAAAGTAGACCTCCACCTTCAAGTTAGCAAGGTTTTGTACAGTCATGGAACTCCAAATGAGCACTTTCTCATTTTCAACACCACCTTGATCCTTTAATTGCTATTCTCCTCAATCATCCCATCACTTTGTACAGCAGACTCCTAATTACTGAAAGTGATTGATTTGAGGCCACCTTATGCCATCTAGTTTAACTATGCTTCTCTTGCTTTTCTTGCCTTGACAAAATTGTAAAGCATACATCCCATTTTAGTTGAAAAAATTATTGGAAGCAAATCATATCCTCCAATTACCAAGCTCCAGCAAAATAATTTAATATTGGAAAAAAAGATCAACAAAATCTACAATATATTTTCTAACGTTTCAACTAAATCTGCAATATGATTGGATGATGCCCCTCTCTAAAGAGTAAAGAGCTAGCCTTGGTCCCTCTTTCTCCAATCTCCAAAGATGCATTGACAAACTACCAATCATGAATATTTAAATTTCTTTCCTCTTGCTTACCCTAGTAGCATTGTTATGTTGCTTTTTTTTACCCATTTCACAGATATTAAACAATTAAATTCCTAACCTCACAAGCCTAACAGCATTGACAAACATATCCATAATCAAGTGGAAATAACAGGCGGTGTTTGGCTGAATATCTACAAGGTTAGTGAGGAACAACCAATACCAAATGCTCATAGTCAGATATACCAAAATCGTGGACGCAAATGAGGCAATCATTCAGGTCTGTACATGGAATATATGCAAACATGGACAGGATTGTCATTTTTCCCCAAACAGCAAATGTTTTTACGTATTTTAGAAAAACATAATATACAAAACAAAGGAGACGAACTCTGATTTAAAAAAACCAATACAGATACTGACCCTATTTGCCCAAAACAGCCCGCACGCATTGCAAAGTGACCTTGGACCAGATGGACCACGCCGCATCATTGGGGTCAATTTTGAACTAGTGCCACAATGTGTACACCTAAAAGGATGCAAATTAATAGGCAAACAAAGTTACTTTTGTTAATCCTTTTGAGAATAAAATGCTGCAGCAGTTGTATAGAAAGATGTCACCTCTGGTAGAACATAATGAGACCCTCAAGTGGAGATGGAAATGTAAGAATGGGAGAGAAGTTCAAATCCATAAGATTTTCCCCTCGCCGCCCCCCCCCCCCCCCCCCTTTGTTTTTTTCCAAAAAAAGTTTTTTAGACAGAAATAATATTTTGGCAAATAACCCCCCCCCCCCCCCCCCCCCCCCCCCCTTTTTTTTTTCCAAAAAAGTTTTTTAGACAGGAAATAATATTTTGGCAAATAAGAAATTCCTGAATCAAATGATTATGCGTGACTCACGAGGTTTCTTGCAGGCCATCATCTTGTCCTGAATCCTGACCCCCACCCCAGCCATATGTTCCATCTGACTTCTTGGAAGAAGTAAATTGGCCCTTATTGCGCTGCATCCTGATTTAGCCATACAATTACATACTCATCAGAAATTTAAATACAAAAGTGTAAAACAAGATGATCACTGTTAGAATTTTATAACACCCGCAGGACGTCCATCTATAAATAAAATATAAGAGGCGGAAGACCCTAGAACAAAGAAGATCTTCCTTTTTTCTGGGAAGACAAAAAGTTAGTTTTAAAAAAAATGGACATGCAGAAATGAAGCAATAGTAGAAAATAAAAAATAAAAAAAAAATTTAAGAAGTTAGAACAGAGTAAATGACTTTTCCAAGCACTGATCTGTACCCAGTTATGTCTTTAAACGATATTGGAAGTAACCACCAACTCAAAAGGAATTCTAGTGTATTGGCAGTAGAACAGCATACGTTAAAGGACCTAAATCATTAACATGGAGAATGCTTTAATTTTCTTTAAGATGCTTTTAACAATACCAACCAACGCATAAATCCAGGCTTATTGACATTCTAACAATTTTTTCTTTTTTGGTGGTGAAAGGCATTGTCGAAAGCTTTAGTGAGCCTGCCTGGAACACTTTCTTTTTAACTTGCTTTCAAGTCCCAAATCCAGGAGAAAATTAAACTTCTGTAAGATCAATTTTTCACATCAATACTTAGAGAATTTCCAGTATAGGAATTGCAAAAGACTACGTTTCCATCATAAGTTCAACTTTCTTCAAGGTTTGACAAAATGTTGCTTTAGTAACATTTCAAATAACTCAACAAGTCATGCTTCTATACCAGCATTTGAATCCTAATTACTACTGAAAGTTTTCTGTCCTCATTTATTAATAGAATCTTTCTCTGTTTGAATTATGAGAAGTTCTCTCTCACAAGCATATAGATAACATAAGAGCAATATAATTTGATGCATGATACAAAAATATAATCACACCTCAGTGCAACCTCTTGACGAACACTATATCTAACTTTCTTATCAAAGCATCGTTCTTTCCTCTTCTGTCGAAACCTATTTAATGAGGCTGCTCTCTGAGGTTGAGTACAACGTCCTGGATAGTCCACTACTGCACCCTAGAAAAAAAAAAAGTTGGCAGATAAATGATAGAAAGAAAAATATCAGTATATCTCATATATGAATACACAATCTGCTTTAACGATTGAGGTGATACCCTTTGGTTTTGAGCTGCTACATCTAGACCATGTGGACCGGACGTCAATTCACAGCCTCCCAACAGTAATAACACCGCTTGAACCTGCACGCACAATAGATACCTTGTGATCAAAATTTTGAAATTTCAAAGAGAGGAGAAGCCACAGTTAAGTCAATGATGTTAAATTAAGTTAAACTAAAACCGAATCAAGTTGCTTTCTTTACACAAGAAGTATACTAGGCTCATTTGAGCTAAAATAAAATAATGGGAAGTCGCCTCTAAATTTACAGTCCAAACAAAACCCTAAAACACTCCAATTAACAGCCAAAGACAAAAACAAAAACCCTAAATCACGCAATTAACAGACATAAAACAATACCTTATCAGGAGTGACAGCATCAAACACATAAACTTGACCACGAAACGTCAATGTGAGTTGGCTTGATACATCACCTCGCTGTATAGCGAGTTCTGAGCCAGCGCCACTACTAGGAACATAGACAGAGTCAGGAGATACTTCCTCTACAACGCCAGTAGCATTGCCATCTTCATAACGAATGTGATGATGATCAATGGAGTCGACAGCAGCCCCGTCGTCGTCATCGCCAGCAGGGCCAGCAGTGGCAGCGATCTGGTGGTGAACGTTCATAGACTGAGAATGGGAATGTGTATACATTGGTAAATCTGAAGCGAGATTAGAAAATTTTGAAGCATTACAAAGAAAAACAAGAATAAATTAGGGAATTCTGATTAAACCCTAACCCTAATCGAGTTAGGAATAAGTGAAAAAAATAAAAAACGGGGGAAAGAAGGGGGAAAAGAGGAGAGAGAGTTGAGGTTTGTAAAAGGGGATTGTGTTTGAGAGAGGAAACTGTGAGATACGGTACAATAGGTGTGTGTGTTGTTTTGTGAAAAGACTCAAAGTGGTACGTTTTGATTGTTGGAAAGTCGTTCGTGTGTTAGAGTTCGCACGTGCAAAGTGAGGGACAACCTCCTGCACCGGATCTTATTGGTTTGCTTATGAGCCCGTATGAGCCTTATTTACGTGTTGATGAATACATTTCTTTTTTTATTCGCATAGGTCCGACCTGATAAAAAAAAAAAAAAACGACTCGATCTCTTATGTAATGGACATGAATTCCTACCGTACGATTAATTCGGTATTTCGTATTCAAGAAATTTATTAAATCAGCCACTTTTGACGATTTATTCTTTTTTTTTAAGTTCATCTTTTAATTTTAATTAGGATTTTTTATTAGATCGACGAATATTAATTATTTTAGTTATAATGATTTTTGTTTTATGTCTGGTCTTCCGAAGAAGAGTTGTGTATTTCCTGTAATATTTGTATTTTGATTTGAAGTTTTTTAATAATATTCTAATATATTATCTTAAAAAAAAAAGAAAGGTTTAATTTTTTTTTTTTTTTAATGCAAAAGTTGCTTAATTAGTAATTACAAATTACATAGCCATGAAAGGCATGTACACTGCATCTAGTCAAAATAAAGAATAACTGTATCACTGTAAACTATAATATCTTTGCTACTGCAAGCTGGAACTTGGCACTTGGAACTTTGGAAGATGACGTTTGCCTTTTTTTAAGATGAAGCAGCAGCTTCCAATTTGAATTAGAAAGTAAAATGATTGGTGTAAGTAGTTGCTACAATATATTAGTTTAATCACAGAATTATTAAAAGTATAAATTTCTAGAAAATCAATAAAATAATACCCACAAAAATTTATCTATTATAATTTGGGTATATGGTAGAATAACACCAGAAATAAATAGCATATAGATTGGAGGTTAAACATGTGCATGTCATTAGCGGGTTATCTATTTATGACATGAATATAAACATATTGTGTCACTATTCGTGTCACAAATGAACACGCAGGTTAAACGAGCGATATACTTTTTCAAGGACAAATAGATAATTTTAATGTCAGATATAAATATTTCAATTAAAACCATATTTAAATTTTATTGTTTTATTAATTTTTTTAATTACAAATCTTGAAAAATATATGGGTTTTATGTATAAAAATTTATTTTTAAACACGATTTAAATTAAATAAATTAAAATTTAAAAATATTAGGTGGATTATACCGATCGTATACAGATCAACACGACTCACTTGACTTGATATTAAAAGGGTTTATACATATCGTGTTCACTTAATCTGATATTAGAAGGGTTATATATATCGTGTTTACTTAATCTGATATTAGACGGGTTACACGTATTATTTTCGTATCACTTATCTAATTTTTTCGTATTATTAAATGAACAGTGTACTTTGTGTTAATAATGTTTCGCATGCTAAGCGAATCGGCTAACCCGATTTGACACCCTACCTACCCCAAACCAAGTTATAATTTTTTTTATTTGAAAGACAAACCAACTTATAATTTATCCATGTTTCAATCAGCTTGTTCATTATATTATAATATACTCTTTCTCATGCAAATAATCAAAATATTTTGCCTCTATATGTACAGAAACAAAGAAGTCTGTTTTGTCTTTCCATGGAAAACAGCAGAAAACAACTTCATGTAGTAGTGTTTCCGTGGCTAGCCATGGGACACCTTATACCCTACCATAGGTTCTCCATCCTGTTAGCTCAAAAGGGTCACAAAGTCTCTTTTGTTTCAACGCCAAGAAATCTTCTCAATCTTCCCAAAATACCCCCAAAACTATCTTCTAACATTTCACTAATTTCTCTTCCCTTGCCTTCAATTCCTGCTCTACCACCAAATGCAGAGACCACCACAGACATACCCTACGTTAAACAACAGTTACTAAAAAAGGCATTTGATTTTCTTCGGTCTCCATTAATAGCTTTCCTTCAAAAGGTAAAACCAGATTGGGTTATTTACGATTATGCCTCTCACTGGCTACCATCTATCGTCGCCGAATTGGGTATCTCAACCGCCTTTTTTAGTCTCTTCAATGCCGCAACATTGAGCTTTATTGGCCCACCGTCGATGTTGATGAACGGTGGCGATTTGCGATTGACGGCTGAAGACTTTACAGTTGTGCCCAAGTGGGTTCCTTTCGAGTCTAATATTGCGTATCGTGTCCACGAAGTAACGAAGTATGTGGAGAAGACGGAAGAGGATGAAACCGGACTGACTGATTCGGTCAGGTTCGGTTTTGCGATTGGAAACGCTGATTTGGTTATTGTTAGAAGCTCGCCGGAGCTTGAGCCGGAGTGGTTTGACCTTTTTGGCAAGTTGAGCCAAAGACCAAATATTCCTATCGGATTCTTGCCTCCGCTAGTTGAAGAAGAGAACAATAATGCTGACGTTGGTGGATGGGCCGATATTAAAGAATGGTTAGATAAGCACGAAGCTAAGTCAGTGGTTTATGTCGCTTTAGGTACTGAGTCTGCTTTGACTAAAAAAGAAGTGAGGGAGTTGGGCCTTGGCTTGGAGAAGTCAAGCTCGCCTTTCTTTTGGGTACTCAGGAACTCGCCTGAGTCAACCCAGAACGTGTTGGAAATGCTGCCAGATGGGTTCCAGGAGCGAGTTAAGGATCGTGGAATTGTTTACACGAGATGGGCCCCACAGGTGAACATACTGAGTCACGAGTCAGTTGGGACGTTCTTGACTCACTGTGGTTGGAACTCGGTTGTTGAAGGTCTCTCGTTTGGAAAGGTTCTGATTCTGTTTCCAATGTTAAACGACCAAGGACTCAATGCAAGGTTGTTACATGGCAAAAAGCTTGGGCTGGAGATACCAAGGAACGAGCTAGATGGTGCATTTACGTCTGACTCGGTGGCTGAGTTAGTGAGAAAGTCAAAGGTAGGCTCTGCCGATCTGGCAGACCCGATAAGGGGTCTGTTCGGAGACAGGGGTAGGAATGACCGACTCCTGGAAGGGGTAGTTCATTACCTTGAAAACGACACAATGTCCCGGTTAAGGGCCAGCAAGTCATCTCTTTTATGTGATTCAAGAGTATTATTCACTTAAAACCTCTCAACCGGCTTCCAAAACAGTGCCTATATGTTGTGTCAATAAACATTTATGCACACGCTTAGTATTCTGTTGACAAATTTGTCTTACATGAAGAAATTTTCAAATAGCTTTTCTCCGAGAAAGAGAACTCATAATATAAAGTACATGCAGCAATTCACATAGCCATCTATACAATGTTGAAGAGATCAGCACTTGCTCTATCCATAAACAAAAAATGAGCAGGGATATGCAATTGACTAATACATAATATTTCTATATGCTAATCCTATAAGAATATAATGTACATATATGTGCATACACTATTCCTTGTCTTCTCAAGATAAGAGAAATGGAAATAACTAAATTTTAAAGAAGCCAGCATTTTGCTCATCTCCTGATGTTATGGAAGAAAACCTGTACTATAAATTATTTGAGCCTTTGAGGTTGGTGTGTATTGCAAATTGTGTCTGAGCTATTTCCTGTATGTTGATGTTGACAAAACTCCGTAAAAGCTGAAGGTACCACCTCCATGCCAAAAAATTAACTACTTGAAATGCAACTCAAATGGAAAAAGGAGTCTGGTCTATTAAACATTCCAATTGCTATCATCATGGCTGAATATTCTGCATGTCATATATTAAAAGGTAACCTTCAGGAAAGAAAGGAAAAAAAATCCTACGATTTGGTATATTTTCAACCAAAGTCAACTGTGTGTATTTGAATGGAACTCTTATTTGTAACACTGGAAAAACGTTCCTAGAGTACAGTGTTATTAGGATCCTCTCCAGATACTACAGAAACCATTAACTTTTTAGTAAGATGAATGTCAGCATCATGATAATTCTGGCGTTTTTACCATCTCTAACACTAGAATCACAAGCTCATTGATTTCTTCGGAATTGTACGTGGAGAGACTGAATTATATACCTTAGAATTAGAAGCAACTTACTAGAGCCAAGCAATACATTACGATTTAAACCAATCAAAGATAATAATCAGAACAAGAATATGTATGGTAGAAGTTTATTGAAATGCTAATAGAAGCAATCATATTGAATCTTACCAGAAAAATATGATAAGGAAACACTGGATGCTCAACTGCATGATTCTTGTCATTGAATATAGATCTATCATGTTAGAGAAGATTTAGATTTTACACTTCGAGGCACGCCACCCTTGCGCATTTGAAGATTTTCTATAGAGTATACAAGAAGGTTGCCCTCCTTGGTCCCTGCCAAGAAGCATTCTTCATGGGTCACTGCCAGACATGTTATAACCTTTCCAACTCCATTGTACTTCTTCACAACATCAAGTGTTTTCATAGAGCGTACAACTATTTGTCCTTGGTCACCTGCACAAACTAGAAACTCCCCGCATTCACTGAGTTCAACACAGTTGAGACGCCCATTAGATTCAGAAGATGCCAGATGTTTGCCATTGATAGTATACAGATGCAGACTGAGATCAGCATCAGCATAAAATACTATCCGTCCATGCCGAGAGGCCACAAGCTTTGACAATGCATGGCCAGAAGGATGGCGTAAAGATCTTATGTATCTTCCCTCCCTCAAGGTATGGAAAACACAAGTTCCATCTTTTGAACCACTGATAACTATATCAAGCTCCACACTGACATATAGGCATGTAATTATATCATCATGACCACAGAGAATATGAAAAGGAGTTTCAGCAATGACATGTTCTTTACGAGGCAGTTCTGTCTGGGTGCTGCGAACTCTCTTTTCAGCACCTCGGACACGGAGAACTTCCCACACCATGACTGTAGTGTCATAACTTCCAGTTGCAAGGATACTACCATCAGCTGTCACTGCACATTACTAGCGATTTTAGAACAGATGGCAAGAACAGAGTATATCTATAGGATAACTACAAAATAAACAAGAACAGAGTTTCTGCATGGAAAAAATTGCAGAATGCACAGAGAAGTGTCAATTTGATCAAGCAGGAGATGATGCAGCGAGATCATGTTACTCATTTTTCAAAGTTTCTGAGTTGTTTACGCATCTACATTTGCCAAATTCATGCATGAGGATATTCAAAAGTTAGCTTTAATTTCAATGACTAGAATGTTTTCCCCACCTACTACATCGGTCAAGCTTGGTAAACATATTCCCATGTCTAAAAGGTTAAGTTCAATTATTTATGCATTTTCCCTCTATCTTGAGGATCACGCCCCAATAACCAAATGTTGTAGGTGCATGAGGTATTTCTCACAGTTGCATTAGAAGAAGACAAAGAATTAGGAAAACGAAGACCATACTTGATGTGTTTTGAAGAATGAAATGCATGATTAAATTAACAAACAAAATATTTCAGAATTAAACTCTAAAAGAAGCATAACCTTATGGCAAAGTGGTTTATCTCCATTAATTTGGCTTAAATCATATGAAAGGTTAAGGAATCTTCAATTTCTTGAGCTGGCCATTGAAGAGCAAGTGTTGGAAAGGGTATGAATTTAGTTCCATAGCAAAAGTAGCACCCAGAATGTGTATTTCAATTTCACTAGTGCACTAAAACAGCTTGAGCTACATGTCGAGCCTATACTCTCAAAACCTTATCCAACAAATGCACTATCTCACAGTCATCCAGAAAAATTAGTATAAATGAACATTGCCTTCCCCTCACAGTAAAACCATCTCCTTTTTCTATAAGAAAAGGTATTAAATTAACTAAGAAAGTTGCCACAAGACAGATCCATGACAAAATGAAAGTTAGGAACAAAAAGCCCATTGATTTCTTTTGCGGGAAGATTTAGCAACTTTCTTTTATAAATATTACCTGCCACACAGCTGACCACATCTTTATGCTGTCGAATGCTCTGCACCATTCTTCCATCATTTAAGGAGATAACCTGGAAGCTGTTCTCCCAATTACCACACGAGATCAGAAAGTTCTCAGTTGGTGTTTGCATCGTGGCAAAGCATTGTGCTCCAAGTTCAATATTTTCAGCCAAAGGACTGCCAATTCTTCGAGCAGAAAGAACATCAGAACCTACTCCAAAGAATGGATCCTGCTGTAGACAAGTTGGACTTAATAAAAATGTACAAGAAACAATTCCATGAGAACATAAATTCAAGTAATGAAATATGTAATATAGCAATCACATGAAAGAGATTTAGTTAACCTGGAAGGTAGAGAAAGTAAAATTGCCACCAGATTGCAACTGAGTTGTCAACCACAACTTGACTGACAAGGTGAGTCCTTGGTTTACAACAACAATATTTGAATCCAATATGTTAATATATAATACAGCTGATGGATAACTTGTACTAGACACGATGGATGTCAAATTAATAGAATCGGGTGCAAAATACAAAGGATGAGCAATTGGAATTGGTGGCCCCCTTCTTGGGTGCTTTTTACGAAAGATTTGGATTGGCGTCTGGCCAAAATTTGCAATTTGGTCTTCAATTGCTGATCTCTGCAACTCATCTTCCATGTTGTCTAAATCGACCGCACCTTCATAAGTTAGATAATAGAAGATGTTTGCCGCCTGTAATCTCATGTCATTCCAAATTAATGAGCACAAAACCAAGTTGCAGTATATAACATTGAGACATACAAAGAAGAAAATCAAACAATCTGTCAATACCTCCACTGCTGGTTTTCCACGCTGCTTGTAACCAAATACCAAATCAATCCAGTGGTGGAGATTTGAGCTAACGTATTCACTTTCTAGGGCCTCTCGATTTTTACTTACAAATAATTCAGGTGAACCCTGCCACCAAAACAAAAATTTTGAAAAAAAAAAATTCAGAGCTAATTTGTTCTGGATAAAAAAAAAAAAAAAAAAAAAAAAAAAAAAAAAAAAAAAAAAAAAAAAAAAAAAAAAAAAAAAAAAAAATTCAGAGCTAATTTGTTCTGGTAAAAAAAAAAAAAAGAAAAAAAAAAAAAAAAAAAAAAAAAAAAAAAAAAAAAAAAAGAAAAAAGAAAAGTACATTGTATGCTTTATTTGTAAGGAAAAAAAAAAAAAAAAAAAAAAAAAAAAAAAAAAAAAAAAAAAAAAAAAAAAAAAGAAAAAAGAAAATACATGTATGCTTTATTTGGTAGAAGGAAATCAATAAGAGGTAAATTGGAACAGAAGGATTAAGGAACAATTTACCTTTTTTTTTTTTCTTACATATGTAATACAAGAAAATCCTTCACCTTAACTTCCCATGCAATATTTCTACCAACTTAAGAGTCTAAAAGTCTATCCTAGTCTTTTCTGACATCTGTGATTGATCTTCAGATTTTTGTGTATCAGGTATACTCATTGGACTCAAAATAATTAATAGAATGGTTAATTTGTGTCTGAAATTTGAAACAAGAGAGAGCTCATATACCTTAGCCCAAGGAGGGAGACTAACATCCCCTATTGGCTCCCCATCTTGTTTGACTCCAAGATGATAAGAATTCGAATTAACAAGAAACTCCGGCATGTAGAAGAACTCAGGAATTAATTCCTTCACATCACTTGTATTAGAGAGACAATTTCGATATGTTCCTTCAATGCTTTGGAAAAGACGATCAGCATGATCAAATTTACCACCCTGATAATAGACAACAGCTTAGTGAAGCTTTTACACTAGGAGGGAGAGAATAATATGCCAACATAAATAGGAAAGAGAAAACCAGAACATATCAATGTCAAGGAAGTCAGCTGAACACAGTATCCAACTAAGCATGCAGGTTACTATCTTGAATAATATAACACTCAATCAGATCAATTCCTGTAAAAGAAACTAAGGGACAAAACTAAGGTCATATGCCCATAAACCCTTATTAGAAGTGGATATTGGACAGAACAAGAACAGCATGTACACACAATAAGTGTAAGTGACATAAAAAGGTGAAAATAGATGTGAGGAAACATAGGAATGGAATAAGTGGAACGCATAAATGAAGGCCATTAGTTAGAGAATCCTCTATAGCTTATTTATTATCTTTTTGTAATGGTAAAGAAAACAAAATGGTGAAACACAGAATTTCCAAAAGAAAAATGGAAACCATTTAAAAAATTTAATTTGAAAGAATAGGAATTGTCACAATGCAAGAAAAATATCATCCATGCAAGTGTAGTATTAGAATGTGTTCTGTGAACCACTTTCTTGTATAACAAAGGCATCTTAGCCCGAGATGACATATCAAAAAGATATACTAAGTTGAAATCAGTACCTGCAAGTTACGGTGCAGTGATGTGAATGGCTCTAATCTAAGAAGATAATAGAGCACAATCCCCATGCTCGAGTAATGAGACCCATAGTAGAAACTGCAATACGAATGTAAAGTTCAGGTGCACATGAGAATAACAAATTACAGTCCTGAGAATGATTTTGAAGATTACCTGGGTATATCAGGATCAGAGAAGTTACGATATCTATCTTCGAACATCTGTAAGGGTGGAGCAAATGCTAAAGCATGAGTCAAAAAGCTAATCCAGAAAAATCCACATCAATTATCTCATTAGGCAAATTAACAACCTCAAACCGTTTCAAATCCAATGCTCCAACAGGTTTAGTAAGATCACGAAAGGTTGATGACTTGTTAAAATCAAGAACATCAGAGGAATAATCGGCCAAAACCCAAGGAAAAATGGGATATTGTGTTAAATCGTTATAAGATCTTCCTGCAAGTGTGTTGAGAATCATTAGGTATTCAAAATTTGTTATATCCCTTCTCCTCCAGCTTTCTCTGGCAATTTCTGCCATCTCAAGGGCTACACGTCTATCAACAAACATGATAGTTCCACTCTTGTCCTTGCTACTTCCTCTTGGAAACAGGAATTCATTTCTCGTAGAAACTATCAGAGTCCCAACTTCTTTTGCATCCTTCAATGATGCAAAATTCAAAAATACCGGTGCAACTGAGTCGCTAAAGAAAATCTCTATAGCAGTGTATCTAAGCAGATACCGAGTCCAATGGACAGCTTTTATCTATATAAACAAAAATAAGACAAATGAAACTTCATACAAGAGAGAAAGAACCAAAAACCACAAAATTTATGCTGGATATCTTACCTTGCCAATATTCCATCTTCTATGCCGTTTAACATATTTTAACTGTCTTTGATGCACATTTTCATTTGCTGTGTCTACATTATCAGCAGAAACCCCCTTCTGAGGACCAAAATTGACATGTATGGACCATTTAAGAGACTTGGGCTTCTCTTCAAGCTTGGTCACGTCAGAATTGCTTGAAGCATCAAAGTTCTTGAAAACAGCTGATCCTCCAGTACCCTCAACCAAAAATTCACCAAAAAAGTGCAAGAACTTTTTCATGACAGCCAATTTTCCTGCCAACTTTCTCTTTGGGGTCACAAGTACACATGGAACAGAAATAAGTTCCTGAAACAGCAACCCACAATTAGCAACGTGGTAGCACAGTTTTTAACAGTTTTCAAACATAGTACAAAATACCTCACTAGATTCTGTCTCTTGTGAAGAGGAAGAAGAGTCTTTTATGTCTTGCATAACATCCTTCTGATCACTGCTGCCTTTGGCTAGCTCTGAACATTGGCTCTCCATAGGATCCTCAGATGTGGATACCTTTTGGGCACCAGTTTCAGCATCATTTTCACCAGATTCTGAGCTCCCCTCATCAGTTATTCTGCGCACTCCTTTCAGCAAAAACCGCTTCATTTGCTCAGGAATATGGCCCACAAAACTATCTTTGTTTTCATTAACAGCAAGGGTATCCTCATTGCTAAAGGCAGTGGAAGGTGGATGACACATCTTATCATCAAAATAATAATTCCGCCTCAATTTCTGTCTACGTCGCCACGCATCTTCTGTCTTGTCAAGTTTCCAATGCTTTACCACACTATTTGGAAAAGCATTAGCTGACCAGGGACCTCTCTCATCAATCAAGGTGCGGAACATGTGTATCCATTTTTCCTGTAAAAAAAATGGCAGACAATTAAGAATACTTCTAGGAGAAACAAGAGCAGCGCGCCCTGAGCAAAAACGAAAGGGAAAATAAAAGATGATGCAGAAAACAAATACCGCAACATTTTGCTGATCCTCCTCATGAGCAAATTGGAATAGAGTTCTTCTGCTTTCATCTGAAGAGAGGACTGTGTTCAAACAAATATGTATCTCGTCTTCAAATGCTTTCTTATTAGTCATTTCTAAAGAGGCATTCTCATCTAGTCTAGCACGGAGCTCAAGCAACTGCCTGGAGCGGTCAGTTAGTAATGTGTTCAAATATTTAAACTCATCAGCAACCTGAAGAAAAAGATTAGAAAATCGAATTAAAAAACACTGCATGTAGCACAATAAAAAAGCTTTACATGTCAATTAATGGATATTTTATGGCTCCAGACTTCAGATCCAACCTATGACAACAAATTAACAAGAGGCTTGCTTTTTTGCAACAAATAAATGGCTGGCAAGGTGTATGGCAAATGGAATGTATATTGAGATATTGACATTACTTTCTTGAGTGTCCTTTCTCAAACAGACTTTTTACTTTAGGAACAGATAGCTAACAAAGCCGAGGATGTGGGGTATGGTAATGGTTCAATGGCACAGCAGTCATATAATTACCCAAGTTGGCCTATTCCTACTGTTCAATATCGAGACATTTTTCATCTATTGTATTTGCATTTTTTTTTTTTTTTTTTACTTTCTTTTTGTCACACAATGGCCGGGACGGTAAGGTTGTCACTCATAAGGTCAAAGCTGGAGGTTTAGATGAGAATTGAGATGGTGTTTCATGCAGTCATAAGATTCCTGCTAACTTGAAAAAGAAACTCTACACTCTACAAGACGTCAAAATTTGTTCAGCTATGAGGAATGGCAAAGAATGTTGATAATGAAACAAGAAATAAACAAAATAAGCAAGGTAGATGAGAATGCCAAAATAGATGTATGGAAACACAAGAAAGGACTGGGTAAGGAATGGGAGCTTTCATAGAAAGGAGTCACCCACTAAAAATAAGTTGGGAAAGGAGCAACTGAGATCGTACAATCCTACCTAATAAATACCGATGCATTGACCTTAGGGAAAGTGGTAAAAAGATTTAGAATCACAGAACCTTGCCATAAATGTAGATTTAAACTGAATAGAATATTTTCAAGTTGCAGGATGTAACTATAAGTAATTAGGGCGGAGTGATTAAAAAGGTTTAAGAAGTACTAATGCTTTCCAGAAACGCAGCTGCAAACCAGGTAATATTAAGGAAAATGATCCACATAGCCAACCTCAACTAAGGCTTAGTTAAATTAAATTTTTGCCTTTTCAGATTATGAACATAAGAGATCCACCTCATCGAAATGGTACATTCAAATGCAATGACAAATGAGATATCATCAAATGTTAAACTCTACTCTTAACAAAACATGCACCATTCATGTGCTGGAATGTGAAAAGCCTTATAGAACTTCTATCTACAATAAGCTTATTAGCCAACATGACCTGACTTGGAAGAGAATAACCACTGAAAAAGACATACAGGATGGTTTGCAAGGACCTCTAGGCAGTAGTTGCTTTTATTATTTTGGATTCTGATGCAGGAGCATCCAAGATTAGTACAGAAGTTTTCTTTTAGTTTCCTTCTTTATTTAGAATTCTTAATTAAATTAAAGAATGTTAATTAATTAGGAATAATTTTCAGTTTTCCTTAGGATTTAGCTAAATGGGAATACTAATCAGTCTAGGAATCTAAACTAATTAAGAATATTTTCAGTATAGAATTAGGATTTGTCCTAACTAATATAAATAGGACAGCAGCAATTAGTTTGGGTAATGTTTTTTGTCTATGAATTCAGAATTTTAATTCTAAGGGTTTCTTTGAAACCAATATGTTATTTTGTTCCAACCAAAACCATCCTATTCTAGCCTAATTGTTGAGAATGAATTGCCCTATATTCTTCCCCTGCATTAGATTCTCCCTTATTATTAAAACTTAATATAACTTAAATTTATACAGCTTCTAATTTAAACTTGCATGATTAAAAATTCTCAAGGGACTTCTGCCTCCAGTTATTCTATTCATACATCAGGCTGCATAAGTCAGGCAAAATATAATGGAATCTACCCTTATTTTCCATTTTAGCTTAAAAAAGGATAACCCTATGTTCAACAAATAAGGACTTTGCACTTTTTACAAGAGAACACATATGCACGGGAGATACTAGTCTCTAGACTAATCAGCATTTAACAGAAACTGAAGCAATGAAGGGACAAAATAGTTGAAACACACCGCTGCAAGGACCCGGTCCTTTTGAATCAGATTCTGTATGGAGCCTGCATCTTTTGAGTTAATCCCCCAGTCATGAGCATCATCTCTACCCACAATGGCAGTAGCAAGCATTGCTTTCCCACAGTTGACTGTTTCTCGAATCAAATGTGAGATAATATGGAAACGAGCACCATCATCTAACATCCCATATTGGGACCTTAAAGCAAGTAAAACCCTGTGCAATATGACGACTCGAAGTCACATGATGAACAATTAACAAAGAGCAAACCTGTATACAAGATTAATCCAAATACCAGATGTATGGCATCAGAAATACACAGATATATGATGTAATTAAGGTGAAAGATTAGTACCAGAGGAGAAACTGCAATCTGCTCTTACTTTGCTCATCGTCGGCAACCAGAAGAGAAGGCAAAAGTAAAATCACCTGCTGAACACATCGTGATGCTCTTTCTAGAGAAGATTTGCAAAGATATACAATTCCAAGACGGAAAACAATCCTTGGGCACCTCTCCCCTCTTAAAAGCATGGCTTTGTCAACAGTTTTATTTGGTTTTCCACCTAATGCATTGCCAATGCCACCTGAAACAACAACTGCAGCCATTTCTGCAGCTGGAATATTTAAAGATTCAACTAGGCCGCGTGCTCTTTGACCAATTGAGGGTCCCACTGATTGTGATGATTTGGTTAACATCTTGCTTGGCCCCTTACCATTCATCGCACTAATGATAACCCACAAATTATCATACAAATACCACCATTTATCATCAATTACACCTTCTTCATTCGTTGGAGGCTTGCAAGCCCATTGATTTCTAAAAATCAAATCACCATGAAAAATGTGAAGCAAAATTCAAGACTGTAAAAACAAGTAATAGATATCAAGAGGTACTTTGTTCCACCACTAGCCCATTTGAATGAATTAGAAATGTAGAATTCATTTGTAAATGAATTCAAAGTAGAATTCCATTCTCATGTTTGTTAAACATAAAAATTCAGTTAAATTCCATATTTTTATCTCTGAAAGAAATCTAGAAATGAATTCTGTCTTTATTTCCTAAAATACCTTAAACCAAACCTTATTGGAAAGAAACATAACTAATGCTATGTTTGGAATAAATGAATTGTGGATGTAGAATTCATTTGTAAATGAATTTCTCATGTTTGGTATACAATAAATTTAATATAAAGAATTCAATTGAATTTCTACAAAATTACGTTTGAAATAAATTTTTAAATGAAAATTCATTTGTCTTTATTTCCTTAAATACCCTTGACATAATAATTTAAAAAGACAAATAACAAACACCAATTATATTTTATTATATGCAATATAATATATTCTTTCTTTCAAATATATAAATAATAAAATTCATATAAATAATTACACTCACATTCCACCCTAATTAATTAATTAATTATGAATATTCTTTCTTTCAATACTCCGTGCCGACACCCGCCCAATACTATAGATAAATAAAATTTCATATAATAATTACCACTCACATTCCACCCTAATTTAATTAATTAATTATGAATATTATATATATATATATATATATATAGGATCTTCATAATATATATTGTAATTTACAAAATTTTCTTAAAATAGTTTTAATTAAATTAAATTTTATGGATTAAGAGTAAAATTTTAATATATGATATTTATTAAGGCAAATTAAAAATTAATCAATATTTTAAAATTCATGTCATTTGTTCAATATTCTTTCACATGGCATAACGAAAAAAAATGAAAGTATTGTTTTTAACACCTGACTTTTGTTTTTATTTCATTATGCCACGTAAAAGGTTTTTTAAAATTCTTAGCAGTTTCTTTTTTATCTTTTTCTTTTCAGTGACATCTCTTATCAATAGCTTTGATTGTTTGATGTGGATTAACGGCTGTTCACCATGTGAATGATTATTTACTAAAAAAATGCTGTTTAGAGAATATTACTTTTCCAAAGACATCTTTTCTTCTTTTTTTCCAAATAACAAAAACGAATGAGCCTGTATTTATGTTTTCCTAAAAAAAAAAACTAAATTTTGAAATGGTTTTAATCAAGTTTTGATCAAAATTTATACAGTTAAAAAATATCCAGTATTAAAATGTGAAAAATTTACTTATGGTAGGAGGTCAGTTTGTCTAAATTGGGGTTATTTAATTTCGGTTGGAATTCATTTAAAAATTCAACCTATTTGTAGAATTGTTTAGTTATGTTTAATTACTTATGAATTGAATTCATAGGAATTTTTGAATCTACATTTTTTTATTCCAAACATAGAATATGTTGTTCGAATTGAATTCAATAAATTTTTGAAGAATTCATTTGTTCCAACAAGGATAAAAGAACCAAATGTTACCTCAACATGATAGTCAATGTTTCTAATTCCTAAATAAACGGAAAAAAAGTTAGTGATTAGAGAGATTGAAGAACGGGAAGCGAGAAAGAAGAGAAAAGACGATGTCCTGCGGTAAGAAGTTAAGTAGGATTCGGAGTTGAGAGAAAAGAAGAGTAAGGAGGAAAGAAAGAGGAAAAAACCAAGGATTGGTAAAGGGCATTTCTGGCCATGAAATTTGTACAGGAATTCTGTGAAATCTCTTTTTGAAATTCAATTTATTATGATAGATTCTGACTTTATTTATGTTCAAGTTTCACGTTAGTTAGAAATTCATAAAATTATATACTTTTCCCACTTTCCAAACATAAAGAAACATTGGAATCCTTAACGAATTCCACAAGTGTGGAAAATCAAATTTACCAGACGATGGTATATTGTGTACACAACCACATGCATTGCATAAACAAAGAACCCATGGCAGATCGCCAGCATCATAATGTGTTAATTCAAACACATATTGCAACAAAAATAGAGAGACTTGTGCCAAACATGCGCAGCAAGTACCTGGATAATTTGGCTATAACAATTTTCCTTTGCAAAGATTGATGCAGTGAGAATCATAATCCTTGTTTTGAGCAGTTTCTAATTCTAAAGAATCAGGAATATCGGAGGCCATTTGACGGGAACTGGCCAAGAAAAACAAGAAGAGGGTTTTACATTGTCCTCATAGCCAAAAACTGATACAACAGCAAAGCGTCAATTTATAGATGTATGGAAAGAAGATCTCTCAGCATTTCTTTTAGATTAGTTGGCCCGTTTAATTTTTCTATATGAAAATGCTGTGTAGGTATAAATTCTTCATCGTCTCTTAAATGAAATTCACAGTTTTGCATGTGGGATGCGCTCGCCTGCTGCCTTTGAAATATAGTTCTCTACTTGTAAACCTTCCCCAAAAAATAAACTAAACAGATATAGACAAGCAGTGAAACTACATATCTGCAATCATTATCAATCCATGTAAAAAGTTCGTCAACAAAGAAACGCACATCCAAGGATTAAAACTCCAACATTGGATAGCACAAATTTTATTAAATTCAATTCACTAATATATAACATCAGGTTGAACTCCAACAATTTACGCAAATATATTGTAAGAAAAAGCAAGTCCAAAAATTTCCAATTTGTGCAGCGACATTCGTATATTGCAAGATTACCAATTATGCCCTCTCAATACAAGACATTTTTCTCCTACTGTCCACCTACATACTTTACATACTTTTAGACCTCTATTGACAACTTGGACGCACTAATATAGTCTAGCTTCAATCCTACACAATTTTTGTATCAAGATTAAAATTCAGACATCCAATGATCTAGATAAAAATGGACAGTCCTTTTGCCCATGCCCAGACCACCTAAATACTTTACATGCTTTTAGACCTCTAATGACAACTTAGACCCACTAATATAGTTCAACTTCAAATTCAATCATGCACAATTTTATATCAGACATCCAACGATCCAGATTAAAATGGACAGTCCTTTTGCCCATGCCCAGACCACCTACCCTTTACCCACAAGGCTAGAAAAAGTAATTGCTATTCTGACATATTACCTTTACATTATTTTTAGAACTGTTCAACCTTTTTGCTGTACTTCACAGTTAAAAAGCATACCAGAACTTTATGGTCAATCTCAGATACGAGCATCTCATCAACAAGACGTAGAAGATATAATGTATTATCCCGACAAGGTTGTGTGGCAAAAATATTTTCTTCATAAGAAAAATCGACCAGTCTTTGAATTAGCTCCCCGTATATATCACGAAGCAAGTAGAGATATGAGATGCCACCCTGTGAAGAACAAAACAGATAAATCATCCTTGTAATAATGATTACAGGACATAATAGGCAAAATCCATGCATGATATTTATAGTTTTGGTCAGGAAAGCAACATACATGCTCAGAGTGCAGAAGCAGGAAATTCAATGTTTCTTCCAATTGTTGCCAGCCACCTTTTACAGAATGCATATAATGGCAAAGAGCAATGCAAAATAAGCTCCTCACCAAATTCTGCTCAAGCAATTCATTTTCACTGTGGTTTTCAGACTCTATTCCATATTCTTTCATCACGTCAAGATTTACAACAGCAGTTAACCAAGCATTCCATCCATATTCCTGCTTCCAGTATTCAACTAGTTAGATTTTAGTTCAGCAAGAAGGGCATGTCAACTATCTAGAGTATCATACCATTAAAGCTTCAATATTTGAAAAATTCGAATCAAGTAGATCAAGCAAATCTCTGAGTATTTTTATTCTTGCAGACACATCCTCACAGCTAGACAAGAATCTGAAAATGATAACCAAGATCTGAGGAAGGAAAAAATGAGAGCTATTTCCTTTGCTTCTTGACTTTTCAACTTGGTTATGTTTCTGTAACACCTGCATAGATTGATTTTGAAAAACATCATTAGAGACGAAAAAATATACTGGATAAAATAAACCAAATCATAGCAGATCCTCCAGCCACTAATATTAGCAAATTAACATAATAATAGCTCTGTTATTCAAAAATTGTTAATCACCTGCTTGGGACTGGCACCACCAAGAAGAACATCAAACAAGCTGGCACACAAACAATCTGTCAGTGGAAATCTGAACAACCGGTCAGAAATAGCTGAAAAGATCGGCTGCATCCTTGAGCTGTTCTTCTTCTGGCTTTCTGAAATAGATCTTGGTCTTCCAACAGAAAGACTAAAAAATTTTGGCCCTTTCTTCTCAGATGGTAAACCAACCAAGAGCCTTCCTAAGAACTGCAAGCTGAGCAATCTGATGGGCTCATGTTCCCTGTTAAAGACAAGCAGGAATTTGTATAGTATGAATCTACACAACCTATCTCAACCTCTAGGGTTTGCCAAAGAAATGTGAGCAGTGAAGAGAAATCCATGCACCTTATATTTCTAAAGGAGTTCTAAAAGAAACTTGAAATCTTTCTAATTGGAGCTATTAACAATTAGAAATTGAAGTATATACATTTAGTCAAAGTATGAATCAGATTCCGAATCCGAGGACAGGATAGTATCTGCCACTCTACTATTTTGTCAGAACACTGGAGGTCTGCAAAAGTAATCATAGCAGTAGATATGATGTTGTGGATAATTGATTCCAAACAAGCTTGACCATAAAAGAAGTGGGTCCTTGATAGAAAAGGCAAAGGATAATATAACAAAAAGATAGCTGTTATTCTGTTGGTTCACTTGTCACAATGTGTTGGTTGGCTGTATCATGTGGTAATCCTCTCACTTTAAAAAGTACTACATTTACATAGATCAAATAATGGATTGCCACATTTTCACAACATAATGGCCTCAAAGTTTGTGGCACGACAGGCAATTACACCACAGTGTTATTTAAAACATTTCTACCAAAGACCATCCAAACAGTAATTTTGAATCAAATGCATATCCGTATGTTGACGTAAACCCTATGCCCCTTTCTTTCGTATATAAGTTCAGGATGAATGTGAAGATGTGCACTCTCCCTTGGAAAGTAAGACCATTGCAGGATCAATTTCTCAGTTGTCCTCCCTACAGGTTACAACTTGAAAGGCTTCTCATTTTGTATATGGATGGAACAACCTGTCTGTTCCATGGCCCCAAATTGTAATGAACATCCAACATCAGTATAGCATAACATCCCAAACCTCCAACATCACACTAGGATGTGTAATGCCTTCCACCTCCAACACTGCAGATGCCCCTATCTTTTATAAAGGAATATACAAAAATCTCCCTCCATTTTCTTTGCAAGGAAGCATAAAAGGACAATTTTTTTTATTTGTTGTCCTGCATCATTTGGTCAAGTGCCAAATATTACAGAGTGGAAGGCATGAACCTTAACAGCAATGCCAAAATGTTCGTCATAAAAATTTATATATTTGTTGGAGGAAATTAAACTGCAGATTTTCAATTAAGTACTAAAGTAGCCATAAATTACAGGTAGGGTTAACAGATGACTCCACCATGTTGACAAGGATCCCTAAGATGATATGCCTAATCTTCAGTTTAGCATATCAACAGATAAAAAGGAGTGCCAGTTCAATTAACCACAACTTTGCAAACCACGAAGCTGCTGCAAACTTTTTAATCCCACTTTCAATCCAAGCATATAAGTCATAATTAGTTGGCAACCATCATCATATTCATTTCTATTTAATACTCAAATTTCCTATAAGTAGATGAAATTTAGATTCTTCATTCATTAAAACATAGTAATGTTTGTGCTATGCTTCAAAGTGAGGCATACCTCTGAAGAAGATTGACAAAAATGTGGCAACCACCAATCAAATTGACTTGTTCAAGGAAAGCAATAAGCAGCGGTTTTTGAGAAAGAGCACGGATGATCATATGCAGAACATCCTCAACGCATGTCATATCCTGGCTTGTCTCAAAAAATGCTATCAGAGCTTTCATATCTGCAGCCACAATGCGTTGCCTGCATATGCCAGAAATTAATGTTAGAACATGTAAGGAAAAGGATCAGCTACCAATTAGCTTAATAGATACAGTCTCTTTGTGTTGAAACCAGAGAGCCAGAATAAAATCCTGTCCAATTAAGGATCAGGGGTTTGATGGATGGGAAGGGCTACCTCCCTTTATATCATAAAATTATATGGCAGACAAAGAAAGTTACCCTTAATATTTTGCATTACTAAATCGAACTCAAAACATGATATTCTTAAATGCATAGTATTTGATTATTCAATAAAAAAAATCCCAAGTCAACCCAAAAAAGAAAATCCAAACAAACAAAAATAGAAAAACTACAAAATATCAAGAAACCACATATAACATCATGCAAGTAGAAGGAAATAACTATAATAAAGAACCCAATAACAGAGGAATCACAAGTGCTAATAGTCTGTCACAACCTTTATTGTGAAGTCTTGAAACCAAGCAAGATATGTACATTGTACAAAAACGCACAAAAAAGCAGCACAACCAGTCGGTTATTGGGACTGATGGCTGTATAATATTTATTAGGAAACTCTTTGTTGCTTTCTCCTTCTATATGAATTCTCATTAGAATTTATTAAAAGAGAGAACATGCAATATAATCAATGCCATATGAAAAATAAATGAAATTTATTGACACACATAAGAATATTTTAATTATTACCAATACAATGTACTACAATAGAGGAGACTGCAATTAGAATTCTATAAAATGTCCTGTTTCCCAATGATAAAAGGATTATATTTTGCATGAGTGAAAAAGATAAATAGGAAAAGACCTTGTTTGTTTGTTGTTAAAATATTTGTTCTTAATTATTCACAAAAGTATAATTCACATGTTAATTATCATCAAAACTATACCTGAGGCTCATTTCACCAAGACTTAATAAAAGAAGACGAATTTTGTGTATTTCTTCTTTATTTGGTCTCTCTCCAATAACTTGCTTTGTGATGGGATGAAGAAGAGGCTTGCTTCCAATGGCAAATCGAGACTTTACATTATCCCAATAAAATTGGCGAATTATATCAAGAACTCGTGGAAGTCGACACAAAGTTGAGAGCAACCTTGGATCATTATCAAATTGCTGTATAAGAAACATATACAGTTCACGCTGCACCTTATATGCTGTGTAGACCCAGATGAAAGGATTAAGAAAAATGCTAGATATAGCATCTTTCACAAGAAGCTCGGATAAACCTGAAAGAAAGGCAAAAGCAATGAATACTCGAGCAAATAATATTTCAAACACCCAAAAGGCCATATAGAACTAAAGGATTGAAAAATATACTCAAACACATAACATAGATAATTCGAGTCTAAATGAACTAAAGAGGCACTTAGGGCTGGGACACCTACCACCATTTGCTGCAACATTAAATAGATGCTTCAAGGCTGAAAGTGTTTCCAAATTAAGTTGCTCTGGCGGAACTGATTGCAATAAAAATCCCAGTATTGAAAATCCAGAAAGTAGACGCATTTGTTGTTGATTTGCTAAATTCTCATCTAATACAGAAGCTATAAGCTCTATGACTTCAGCTGTCAAACGTTCTTTTGCGATGGGTGTAAGTAATGTATGCTCAAAGGATACACTTTCTTCATTTTCATATCTATCAGATTGCGCAATGAGAGGGAAAAAGACGGACACACCCCCAACGCAGTAAATTATCTGTTGCAGCAAGCGTCGTGAACATAACTGTGTACCAACCATTACAATTGCCTCAAATGACTTCTTATCCAATGCATGATCCGACACTAATGAAACATTAAACAACTTCCTTCCATCACTAGCCTGAAAAAGGACACCAATCTTTTTGAGTTGGCTAAACAACAAAGCAAGCTTAGAAATGATGATGTTTTTAATACGAAAGAGAAACCTGTGCATTAAGTCCACAGATAATTTTTGATGCCAGACCGTCTTTAACATCAAGAATTCCACTCGGCAATGGACTATCATAAAAAGGTGCACATTGATTGTCAAGGAAGGAATACATGTAGCTTGGCCCTAATGAGTAGATGCCCTGAACTTGCTCTGATGAAATAGCATCACAAAATAAATAGATAGGCCCAATCTGACCATGGAAAGAGAAAATATCATGTGCCAAGTCCAGAGAACCATCTTCTTCATTCTGAGGCAAATTATTTTTCATGCCAATTCTACAGTTCGTCAATAATTCAGTAACTTTTGCATATCTGTTTCATGAAAATTCCGAAGTAAGACAATCACATATATCCATTTTGGAGATGCTATAATAATCATTTAAAAACTTCTATTTGTGCACATTAAAGTACCACTATAACAAAATACTGGATCTAGAATACAACCTGCATCTTTCCGATGATACAAGATCGCCATCTACATAACATCTCACCAGGCTGCCCCCAGAAAATGCCCTCCCAATGCTATGAGTTATACAAAGAAAATGCCACTTTTTTCTGACTAAGTTAATATGGAGTTGAACACGCTGCCGCTTCAGATGTACTGACTGCCAAAGACAAGAAAAATATAGCATGACATTGGCAAAGGAAACTAATGAAACTAGCAGAGACATTCAAAAAGTTCTGATTTGAATACTACCATCAGACATATCCTCATTTCCCCAGGAAAAGCTTACCTCATAAACAAGCCTATCCTTTTCAAGAACTGCCAAGCACCCTTTTCCATTTCCAGTAAGGAAACTGAAAAGGCCCATTGCTCCATTTCTTGGGAAGCTTTCCACCCTAAGCCAACATGAAAAAGAAAAACCCTTATTGAGAGGCCATTGCACAGGTGTTTTAATCAAGATCCCCTACAGCATAAAACAGCATGTTAGCATCCCGAAGAAAAATTGTATAGGAATCATATATTAATGCCAAAATAATTGTGTCATCTTTCACGAAAGGTGTTGTTTCAATTGATAATTTCAAATATTAAATCCATGGTATGGAAGGATGAACACACAGATGTAATGAGTTAAGAAAGCAAGTAGGCCTAACATCACATGGATGGAAGTAGGGAAAAGGATCTAGATTTCCTAGATCTTGAAGAAAGTATAGCTCTAAATGGAATCCAGAAAATAATTCATATAGCCAATCCCAACTAGCTCGGGATTAAGGCTTAGTTGAACTGAGTTGAGTAGTCAACCCTTGACAGAATTCGATAAAAAGCAAATAATGTAATTATTTAACTTCATACCACGCAGACAACATAGAAAAGAATAATTTCAGCTTTGTTCAAAAAGCATGAGCGATGTCTTCGGACAGCATAAGAATTGATCGTTTAAGTTAAATTCAATAGATTATTCAATATTGAGAACAAAGCAGTTAATATTTCAAGGGAGGATAAAGAAAAACAGTTACAAAGAACACGCCAATAAATGCTAAAATTGAGAAGACAACTGCCAGACAATTACCCAACCATAAGATCCACCTATGGCCAACTGGCCATGGCCCATAACAGCGAAAATTGCAGAAACCACTAAGAGAGAAGGATTGCTACTAATGTAAACTTAACATAATATTAATTTAAAAAGATATGAGATAGATTTCTCAACCGTTATTTTTCCATTACTAAATCAAAAGAGCAGTATCAGACAAACAAAAGCATTAGCAGCACCTATATCTATAGGAAAGACTAGTAAACAATGACTCAACACAAGTAGGATTAAGCAATGACAAGAAACATATTTGTGAACAAGTGAATATTTATGTGCTTAAAAAGGCAGTACATTCAAGGCTGCTCATGGTTATAGGTATAGTTTGACAAGTCATTTTTCCAGAAAAATACTAAAAGATGCATAAGACCATAGGAGCTTTTTATGATAACTGAACTATGTTGTTTCTTCTCTGATGGGTATAAGCTTTCAAAACAGGAAAAAAAAAAAAAAAGGTGGAATGGCATTTATCCAAGTATAGTGGAAAAAACAATAAAAGATTGATAATCTCCTGTGAAATGTAAGATAGAACAAAATTGGGGTTATTATAAAGCTTGAAGAGGAATAAAATATAAAACTAATGTAAGAAATAACAGTCTTTAAGCAGGAAAATATTGCTGTTTAAGTGGTTTCTAATATATGTATTGACTTACAGAATCATTCCCGTTCAGGTCAAAAAAAGCAGTAGGTCCCTTCTCATTCAGCATTGACAACACGGTGGTCAACAATAGAGAGCAGTACTGTTGCCGCCTTCCCACTTTCTCACTTCGGAGGAGAGCAAAGATCTTACGTATATCCTTTCCAGATATGCTATGCCCACCGATAACTTGAATTAGTTGTGCAATTTTCAAAATGACATTATCATTATCTTCTTCAGCAAACCAATCAAGAAGAAAATTAAGCATTCCTGCGCTGACACATGAAGCTCGATTGGAAATGGAATCCCTGAGCAATTGCAGAAAAACATTGAGCCCATAGTTCCGCAAGGAGTCACTGCTCTGCCCAATCACAAAATAGCAAGTAATGATATAGAATGATATTCTCATGATTAAAGAGCAGGCAAGGAGGAAAGGAATGGCAATAAAAAATTAAAAAGAAAAAGGATACTGGGATCAAACACAGAAATTGATAGGAGGGAAATGAATTACCAACCTTCTGCAAAATACTAAGATAGAGTATGATAACGTCCTCATTCTGGACCAAAACAAGAAGGAAACCATAAATGAGAAACACCACTTATTTAGTCAAAGGTTATGCACATAATCCACTGTTAATATGGAATTTTTCAACAGACAAATAAGAGGAGAGTCATCAAATAATAACACTCTGACAATGAAGCATGCAAGCTTTCAGGAAAGGAAGTTACCTTTATGAGAGGATTTGCTTTTATATCAAACTTCCCGTCAACAAGCATGTCAAGAAGTGCAGTTAATACTGCTTCACTTGGACTCCATTGACAAAAGTCCAACAGCAAACTGTGCATCGTCTGATAGCCCTTTCCAACTAGAGCTCTGAATGAAGCCTTCAAAAAAAGATCAAGAAGTATGAAGACAAAATACCTAAATTTAAAACATGAAAACAAAATACATAAATTTAAACCATGGTCTCAAATATTTTGCTATGAAGGAACACGGATCATAAGTTGACAAACTCCCTTACTGTAACTCAATTCATTGTACCAACTACAGCATAATAAATTGGTCTCCTGTCCCCTTTATTTTGGACTTTGTATGGACTTAATTTTCAGTCACAAATGATTAAAGAAGCTTAAGCCTGTCAATCAAATTACAAAAAATTGTTGAAATCCTAAAATGATAAATAATTGTTATCATCAAGTGTTCCAGGTGGCAGCTATGCAAAACATTGATGGGCTGCCAAGCACTTAACCATGACACAGTTTGCTCCAAGCACATTTGCAAATACATGTCTTTGGTTGCAGAACTAGATAAACACACACATGTATGCTATAGACATTTCAATTTAAGGATTGAATGATACTTAAATAAATAATAATATGATAAAATGTATAAATAAAACATATAAATAATAATATTAATCTTAATTTTTCGATGTATCCATATACCCTGGCACTTTTGAGCAGATTCTTCAGCATTAACTACATGAGCCTTTTATAGTGTTGACGGAATCAAAACCCCGCCTAAGATATCAACATCGGCAGAATGAAGAACGAGAATTCATGCAGAAGATGAAAACAAAGTTCAGATGTGGCAACAGCTGAATTAAATGACTGCAACACTGACGAGAAGTATCATAAGGTTACATGTGGATGGTGAGTAATATATATTAAGGGATTTGAATTGTGTTCCAGTAAAAACAATTTATGAGACAGCATTTTTTTTTGTTTTAATCAGTCAGATTCATTATGCAATTAGATTCGCAAATATGGACAAACAATCATTTGACATAAAATATCTCTATAGGTGGTGCAATTTCACAAGTCCAAATTTTGTTATGCAATTTGACTTAACACTCATTCAAATCACTGAATTTCAAATTTCAGATCCAAATTTAAGCTAAGATAAAAATATAGATATAAGCTCTCAATCACACACAAGGAACAAAAAAAAAAAAAAAAAAAATCCCCGTTCATACCAAGCATCGCGTCAGAGGTAAGTGGCCAAGTTAATAGCTGCTTCACCCTGGACTGCCCATTTGACCCAAAGAAGTCCAACAGCAACGTGTGCCATCGTCTGATTAGCCCTTTTCCACACCTAAGAGGTGAAGAAGGCCCTTCAAAAAAACGTATCCAAACGGAAGAAGTATGAAAGACCAAATTACCCTTAATTGAAAACATGAAAAACCAAAATACATAAAATTTTAATACCAAATGGGCGGTTCGTCGAAATAATTTGCTCATGAAGGAAACCCACGGAGGTCCATAAAATTTGAAACAAACACTCCCCTAATTACGTTCAAACTCATATTCAATTGTTACGAACTACCCAGCACTTAATAAATTCTGCCCTGTCCCCTTACTTGGGACTTCTGTATGGAGCGTTAATTTTCAGTCCGACATAAGGGCATTAAAGACAAGCCTAAGTCCTGTCCCAATCAAATATAAACAACAAAAATTGCGCGTTGAAATTCCTAAACATCTATGAATAAAATTAAATTGTCTATCATCAAAGCTGATTCCAGGTTGGGCAAAGCTATGCGCAAAGAACCCATTGATGGCGCTGCCAAAGCATCCGGCTCAACCAATGACCACATGTTTGCGTCCAAAGCAACATTTGCTAAATATCCATGTCCTCTTGGGTTCGCAGAACTAGATAAATCAAACACATGTTATGCTATAGACATTTCCAAATTTCAAGACTGAATGATAACTTAAATCTAAATAGAGCCAAATATGATAAAATGTAATAAATTAAAATCATATAATAAATAATAATATATAACCTTAATTTTTCGAGTTATCATGAACCCTGGCACTTTTTTGAGCAGATTCCCCAGGCCATTTAAGCTACATGAGCCTTTTTATAAGTGTTTCGACGTAAATTCAAGACCCCGCTAGATTACAACTATCCGGCCAGAAATGAGAACGGAGAATTCATGCAGGAATGAATGAAAACAAAGTTCAAAGCACTGTGCAACAGGCTGCAACTCAATATGACTTGCAACACTGAACGAGAAAGTGATCATAAGGTTACATTGTGTAATGGTGTGCCCAGTTCAATTATATTATAAAGGATTTGAATTGTGTTCCAGTAAAAACATATTTGATGAGACAGCATTTTTTGGTTTTTAATCAGTCAGAATCATTATGCAATTAGATCGCAAATATGGAACAATCACAATCCATTTGACAATTAAAATATCTCTATTTAGGCATGGTGCAATTTCACAAGGTCCCCAAATTTGTCGTTATGCAATTTGATCTTAACCACTCATTTCATAAATTCCACTGTAATTTCATATATTTCAGATTCCCCAAATTTAAGCTAAGATAAAATAATATAGATATAACGCTCTCAAATCAACACAAGCGAACCAAAAAAAATAAAAAAAAAAATATCCTTTTGAGCATCGTTCACCTGCCAATTAGACAGAGTAAGAGTCTGAGGACAATTTAAAATAACTTCTTCCCGTTGTGGCCTCGTCAAGCGTTACCCATTCAGTAAAGAACCAACATGCAAAAAAGCATTCACGCCATCACGGAAACAAAGCCTCGATATTAGCTGAAGTAGAGAGAGCGGAATAACATGGGTTCGATGACATTCAGAACAACATAAAGCAAATCCAATGATAAGGCCCATCAAACACTCTTCCCACGGTTCCCCAAAACACACACCCTTCCCACCAACCCCCCAAAAAGAAAAAGAAAGAAGAAGCTGAAAAGAGTGGTACATGTAAGGAAGTGAACCAACATTACCTCATAGAACTTAGTTCATTGAAGCATCTTCTTCTTCATCCAACCAATAGATTCGATAGACCAGTGGCAAAACTTTTTCCTCTCTTCCTCTTAAAAAAAAAAAAAAAAAAAAATACCTTTGAGCTATCGTTACTTGCAATTAGACAAGTAAGAGTCTGAAGGACATTTAAAACTAACTTCTTCCCGTTTGCCTCGTCAAGGTTACCATTCAGTAAAGAGACAACATGCAAAAAGCATTCACCATCACGAAACAAGGCCTGATAGTACTGAAGGAGAGAGAGGGAAAAAATGGTGAGACATCAGAACAACATAAAAGCAAATCCAATGATAAGCCCCATAAACACCTTCCCAGGTTCCAAAACACAAACCCTCCCACAAACCCAAAAAGAAAGAAAGAAGAAGCTGAAAGAGGGTACATGTAAGAGTGACAAATTACCTCAGAATTAGTCATGAGCATCTCTCTCATTCCAACCAATAGATCGATAGACAGTTGTGCAAAACTTTTCTCTCTTTCCTTTATTTGAGTAAATGTTTCTAAATACTTTGAGCATAATTGCAATTTTGCCTTATAATCTTCCACAGATGATGGCACAATCTGAAGAGGGGGAAAAGGTAAGAATTCAGTTGCCCTAACACTTAAGCAACAAATAATTTGTAACTCAAGAGAACACAAATTCAATAAAATACCTTCATAAGGTCAAGAATGTGGCTGAGAACGACATTTCTCAAGCCTTCTTCCCAAAATAAATCAAATAAAGAATCAATACAAGTTGAATCATGTAAAACTAAACTTTTTGCATCATCTGCTATTGAGAAAAATTCTGTGAACAGAGCCATGCATGTTCCCATGCATTCAAGACAGGTGTCAGCCTTCTCAGGTGCATCAGGCATGCGGTCACTGCATGCTGGAAGCACTTTCTCAAGAGAAGGGCTTATAATTCCAGATCTTCTCAACTCTTTCGCTTGAATTGAAGCAACTTTGAGCACACGACGAACTGCGCCAAGTGACTTAAATGAAGCAACAGTTTTCTCAGGTGAAAGTTGCAATATACGAAGTAGACTCTTGGCAAGAACATTGGCAATCTCAGGCTGACAAGCACATTGCTCAAGGGCATCCAACAAACCAGACAACTCAGGCTGCAACAAATAGAAAAAGTGAGAAAAGAGCGCAGGATTGTTCCATCAGCTGTGGCCTTCAGAAAGGCTAGGATAAATGCTTCAAAAAGTTGCAAACCCCCACCCCCCACCCCACAAAAATCCATCAACATCTTGACAAACATCTGCATTGTTATTTGTAAATAAGATGGTTATACTAAGAAACACCAACAAGATGCGCATATCTTTACATGCATACAAGAGAAGCAGAAGATGGCCCAAACATTTTAACACTGGAACATAAATTAATAGTGAATTCAAAAAAGGACAGAAATAAAATGCTGCAATGCTAACAACCAAATATAGATTGTCCTCAGAAGCTCCAACGCCCATATATAACAATTTTTACACACACATACAAACAGTTCATTTTAGCTTTGAATGACATCATAACCAGAGAAATAGGAGCACTGGCCATATAATGATTAATCTTCCTCCTTTCAACACCACCACAAGAATCCAAAGCTTCAGAAGACTGTAACTCTTACCAAGAAACATGAAGTGATTTAGAAGTTTCCCCATCTCCTTAAAACCATGTGCTCATATACAAACTCCAACTAGCAAGTAGTAATTTCAACATCAAAGTCCATGTCCCAATCCCACTTGTATATTACATAAACATAAAACTCAAAACACTACCAAACAAAATGTTTGCCCAAAGTCCTGAAGGAAATGAAAGAACCTACCAAATTATGTACACTTCCATTACAAGTTGCTGCAAGTTCCACAAATGAAATTATTTCTATCTGAAGGATTTCAATTCCAGTAGCCCTTTTTTGACTGTTAGTACTGCTAGAGGGAGAAGTTTCAAGCTTCTCTACAACTTCTTCCTTACATGAGTAAGGCTCTCCAGAAATTTCTTCTGAAGCTGATCCAAAATAGAAAAAGTTCTCAGAGAAGATTAGGTCCCACATCCTTTCTTCCCTACATACATCAAGCGACACGGGCGATGAAGCAAGAACCTTTCTGAAGGCGTCAAGAACAGAATGCTGCAGAGCACTGATGAAGACCCTGCAGAATATAGAATGAAGAAACAACATGAAAAAGATAAGAAAACAAAATAAAGAAAATATGAAAAGGGGGGAAAAGGTTGCTAGCAACATTCTGGCTATTGATATCCTACATCCTTCAACAGCCAAAAAGAAGAAAAATACAGCATAAATTTAAATCAATCACCTTAAATAGCTCGGCAATATATTTTGATTTGAACAAGCCTTAATGCATGGGAAGATGGTAAAAAGAACCCTCATGGCCCACTTAATTGAAAGTTCACTATAAGCTGAAGAAATTGCCATGGCGATTCGACCACTGGTGGCAGGGGCATGATGAGATTTAATATTTTCTGGAGAAGCTATGAAAGAACAAAGTACCCTGCTCAACTTGACAACATATTCATTCCAAAGTTGGGAATAAGAAGCATCAGCTGGAAGGGGAAAACAAAGCTCCGTCTGTACCCGATTCAAAATCAAGTCAATAACAGGCATTCCAAAATCATCCTGCATTGAGAAATCCTCAGACTTCTGCATGTACTCTTGAAGCATGAAAGCAAGAGAACAAAAGCTATTTGCAAATTTGTGAATTCTTCCATTTTCGCAAAGAAATTGCAAGTTGTTCAAATTACCGAAGCTGAATACTTGTTAAGGAAAATAAACCTTTTTTAAAACACAACTTATACCAGAAAATTGAAGTTACCCTTTTTCACTTGCTTTACGAAGTACTACGTCAAGTCTGTATCATAGATTAGATACCTACTAGGCCCTTACATTTGTCAATTGATGGACCAACAAATAGCTAGAGTAAAGTCCATATACGTATTTTCAAACAACATTTAAACTTCCTTTATCATGAAAGACGTAGAGTAGACCTTTCAAAATCTTGTACTTGAAAGAGAAAATAAGAAATTTGACTCCAGAGGGGGTGATTTTAAGGATACACAGCCTCTCTCATAACTGTCAAGGAAAGAACGTGAAGCTGGAAAACTTTCAGCAAAAGATTCTCATCTCTGCAATAAAATGTGAATCACTATGTCAAAGCATCCATGATAAGAAACTAATGAAAAGGATCAAATTTTCCATTACAATCATAAATCAAATGGATTGGAAAAGAAAATAAAACAAATAATCAACATTAAGTAGCATGTCATTGCATCTTATTGCACAAACAAGAAAACCAAGCTGCCATAACTGTCAATATCAATTTTTGCCAAGTGAAATGGTATCAAGACACAGGCAACAGCATAGATAACATTCATCAGGTCAACAACATGATGCCAGATGTTCCATACAGTAGACTACATTCAATGAGAAAGTGAGAGATTAACAAGTAAAAGGCTCAAGACATCAACCAAAAACCACTATGACTTGCAATGCCAGAACATTGAAAAACCAGATCAGAAAAAAGTTTAAGCATCCAACCTCTCATTCCATCCAACAAGACTAAACTTTAGCAAGCCTAACATTACCCAGATATTAGATGCAGTTCAGAGGTCTCTAGGGTAACAGATCGTAGATGTTTTTCAAAGAGGAGAAACTCTGAAAGAAATTTTATCTCTGTGAAGTACCAAGTTTATCAGAAGTGATATATCGCATAACTCGTGTATTGTCATCCTAGACTGACATTACCCAGATATTAGATGCAGTTCAGTGGTCTCTAGGGTAACAGATTGTAGATGTTTTTCAATGAGGAGAAACTCTGAAAGAAATTTTATCTCTGTGAAGTACCAAGTTTATCAGAAGTGATATATCGCATAACTCGTGTATTGTCATCCTAGACTGACATTACCCAGATATTAGATGCAGTTCAGTGGTCTCTAGGGTAACAGATTGTAGATGTTTTTCAATGAGGAGAAACTCTGAAAGAAATTTTATCTCTGTGAAGTACCAAGTTTATCAGAAGTGATATATCGCATAACTCGTGTATTGTCATCCTAGACTGACATTACCCAGATATTAGATGCAGTTCAGTGGTCTCTAGGGTAACAGATTGTAGATGTTTTTCAATGAGGAGAAACTCTGAAAGAAATTTTATCTCTGTGAAGTACCAAGTTTATCAGAAGTGATATATCGCATAACTCGTGTATTGTCATCCTAGACTGACATTACCCAGATATTAGATGCAGTTCAGTGGTCTCTAGGGTAACAGATTGTAGATGTTTTTCAATGAGGAGAAACTCTGAAAGAAATTTTATCTCTGTGAAGTACCAAGTTTATCAGAAGTGATATATCGCATAACTCGTGTATTGTCAGAAAAGATCTTGACAATAAACAAATCCAATACCTGAACAGCCACCATCATCTTACACTTGCTCCCCATATCCAAGTATGGAGCTTATGGGAGTTACTCTTCAAGGCCATTACACTTCCTCAAAAAAGGAGGGATATGCCCTTCAGATACATGTTTGCGGGGTATTGTAGTTTAAAAATGATCAACTTTACCAGGTCCATAACTAAGTTGCACATTATATGCAATGATACAACAATAACTAGGGCTTAATCCCAAACTAGTTGGGGAAGATTAGGGGTGAGCAAACTTGGGAAAAAACCAAAAACCGAACCAAACCAAAATATTTTTGGTTTTTGGTTCGGTTATTCGGTCCTTGGATTCGGTTTCAGTTAAAAAATTTCATATTTTTGGTTTTTGGTTTTTGGATCGGTTATTCCAAAATATTTATTTTCTGAGTAAAACCGAACCATTTAACCAAACCAATGCCTACCGAGCCGAATCAACCAGTTTGTTTTGGTTTGGTTCGGTTTCAAAGAAAATCCATTTTCGGTCTTCGGTTTTTGCAGTTCAGTTCGGGTCGGAACCGAACAGGCCATTTGCACACCCCTAGGGAAGATTATATGAATCCTTTCTCACCATTCTGCTCTATCCATTGCTAAATCCACACTAATGTCAAAGGACCGTAAATCTTTTACGACAACTTCCCTTTATGTGGTCCTAGGTCTACCTCTTCCAGTTTAGCACCCTCCACCAGCAATGCATCGCACTTGCCAACTAGGGCACATGCAATGATATGACAGGACCTCCTATAAAATTATATACACCAACATATATGTATGATGCTTTAAAATGCGTGCGTGAAAGGATAAAGAGATCCAGATTTATCAAAAGAAAATGGTGAAAACATGGTAACCAAATTCAAAAATTGAGAATCAGAGTAAACTGCATCAATAATTTTCCACACTATTTTTGTCGTCAATTAGATTAGGACATGGAAAAATGGCCTTTGCAGTCAATAACATGGAAAGCAGATGTATGCTCAAACATCCCAGTAATAGAACAACACAACAACTATATCAGTTTCTGTTTTACCATATAACTACACTAACCACAGGACCTCATTTTTTCCCCTTGGATCAACATTGCCAAAACATCAGAAAGCCACCATGTGCAAATTATCCTACTTTATAAATATTCTGCTAACTGTTTATCAATGCTCCAACAGTACATGCAATGATCTCAGGTTAGTAAAAAGTATAACTTGGACAATTAATTAAATTACCTCTTCTCATCAATATAAGAGGCATTCTTCAACAAAAGCACATTAATTGATGGAACCCCTAGTCCATCTAACAGAACTTCAAGTCCTCCAATACTTTTAAAATGACTCTGACCCCGTGGATTCTCCGATAATGCTAAATGAAGGGTCCTCATAGTCAAGTACTGAAGTGATACATCCATCAACTGTTTTTTCAAAGTAAATCTTCTGATGACACGCAATAGCTCTGGAACACAAATAATTGAATGAAAAATCAAATGCCAAAATAATAAATGTTTCATCAGAAGTATTATTACAACTTGTTTTCAGAAATATGACATTTGAAATTGCCGTCAGAGATCTAACTTCAATTCTCTATTGCACTTGAATCACAACAGGCTGATAATCGAGCTACAGTAGCAAGAAGATACTCTCAATTCAATTCTCTATCTCATAGGAATGCATCAGTAAAAACAAATGATTAGCAAATGTACTAAAATAATATATAATACAGACTAATCATATGCAACCATAACATTACTCTCCAGACATAAACTGTGAACAATTTGCTGTTTAAATGCCAGATCCTAAACCTGTTGTCACAAATGCTGAATGACATAAAATGTGTCATAAATAGAAGAGCTGAATTTTTATAAATAAGCAGCAGCAACATTTAAAACTATAATCCAATAATAACTAAAACCAAGCCCCGCTAACGTGAAAAAGAAATAAACCAACTTAGCTAATTACATTAGCCAGAGCACAAAGATTGTTATTGAAGAGATAAGGTAAATCTTCTGAACTGAAGCATTGAGACAACAATTTATTTATCAGAACTGTGACAAATTATACAGTTCTTATAATGCACCTTCAGTATAACATAGAAATCTGTAAGCAATTCAAACATGTCGAGTCCTATGTTCCCACCTGCTGAAATATGTAATGTCAACAATCATAAATAAAATTGGAAGTGCCTACCTTACCTACTAACCAATTGAGGCCACCAGCTTCCATCACCAACACAACTGCCTTTTGATGCCAATATAACCTTGTTTCAGTCGGAATCTTCAAACCACTAGATGAGTCCATTGAGGATGCAGCCCATGTGGAGACAGAGAATTCTACAGAACCACTATACTGAGCCTTTTCATATTCGTTTGTATTAAGATCAATAAAGCTACATATAATTGACACCACGTATACAAGTATCTGTTGCAAAAGTTCCATCTTCTCTACAATAACATTGGACAAACTTTCTTCACCAGATAAGGCACCAGCGAATGCTTTGAGTTGGACAACAGCCCCTAAAGAAAAACATGGGCACAATATACAGACACTTTTTTTTGTTAATACAGAATACTAGAAAAACTAAAAAACAAAGAGTATGCTTTAAAAGTAATATAACAGGAAATCAGGGAAGCATCTAGGTGCAGTTAAATAAATCTACTAGAAAAAATACAAAAAAAGAAGAGTATGCTTTAAAAGTAATGTAACAGGAAATTTAGTTGGAAGGCATCGAGGTACAGAAAGTACGTCAGTAGTAGTAGCCCTAGAAAAACTACTGCAGAGAGAATCTTTCATCAATTAGATGTCAAACCAAGTAAAAGGCAACAAAATTTCCAAAGGAAAATTCAAGTTGGTGATAACCTTAAGTATACCTTTCATTAATGCAGTTAGCTTTTGGATCCCACCATAGTAGCCAAAAACTCTACAATTATGCAATGAACGGGTTATTATCTTTAAAGCATCCAGTGCATTCAACTCTTCAGACAGGAGATTCAAGCTTGTGGAAGTATCTGGTAACTCTTTTTTGGAGGGCGCCATAGTAGTATTTACTGGATTGACAAATAAAAGATAAATAACCATTAAATTGATTGTCGACCATTAACAAATGTTCAGCATTGCCTTTTCATAAAGAGTATGCCATTTGTTAAAATTACACTGCCAAGCACGTAACTTAACATCCATCCAGCAACTTAAAATGCAGAATTTTCGCATTAAGAACCGATTAGAACACATAAGAAACACAGCAGACAGTTTACCAACTCCTTTTCTAACAATATATTACTCCCTGAACCAACCTACTGTACAACAGAATAGAGTAATAAACTTACAATCCACAACGAGAGAAGTTAATTTGGTGATCTCTTCTGTCAATATCAGAATTACTTCAGCAGGGTGTCCAGCAGAGCAGCCAACAACTATATCATCAACTTGCAATTGATATTCCACAGAAGGGACAGTCAAAGAAGCAGACTCTGCCAACTGCCCAGCGTTAACAGGTTCCCAGTGCTTGGACACCATAAGGAATTGCTTAAGGAAAGCGTGAAACAGCTTTTTTTTTTCAACCTAAAAATTGAAGATGTGAAAACAAAGAGAGATCAAAACGTCAGGAATATAAATAAAAAATGCACAACTAAGATTCTTCAATAAAAAATTATTGTTAGCTTTGTCTAAGGCTCTATGTAGGTCAATCTTATTAAGAAAATAGAGTATCACATGCTCAAATCTTCGTAGCTCATCAAGACAGTTGAAGAATTTCTTCAACCAGTTCCTTTGTTAATAATTTACCAATCCCCCCCCCCCCCCTAAGGAAAGCTGAAAACAGCTCTTTCTCTTGTTTTTCTAACCCTACAAAAAACTTGAAGATGTGTGAAAACCACAGAGAGATCAAAACGTCAGGTAATAATAAAATAAATACCACAACTAAAGGATTCTATATCAATAAAAAATTTATCTCACTCTCATGTCTAAGGCTTCTATGTACGCGGTCAAATCTTATTAAGAAAACTCACTCTAATCAGCACTCTCACACATCTTCGTAGGCTCGATCAAGACAGTTGAAAGAATTTCCTCGTCAACCAGTTCCTAATTGTTAATAATTTACAATATCCCCCCCGCCCCCCACACACACACCGCGCGGCGCGCGCACTAAGTTAAAGAGCTATACTTTCACAGTTAACTAGATCGATGTTGATTCCCCCCCCCCCCCCCCACACACACACGCGCGCGCGCACTAAAGTTAAGTATACTTTCCACCGCAGTGCAGTAACTAGATCGATGTGATTCCCATCTATATATTCAATGGCAAATATCAACACAAGCAACAACATTGTTTATTCTACCTTAAAACTTCCTTTAAGCAAAATCAGACTGTTGTCAAGATTACATAGCAATCTTCTTGCCATTATGAAAATTATTAATTTCTTAAGAATCAGCTATAGTAAATATAATAATAAATTAATTGCTTAAAGAAAAAGGAAACCAAAGTACCTGAAAGTTAAAATGAGAAATAACCAATAACACAGATTTATGAAAGCTACAAAAGAGCAAAATTTAAAATATAAAAGTGTGAATTTGTAGCTGGACCTTATCAGTAGCATCTTCATATTTCGTCCACAGTGCATGCAACACTGCGTCATCACCGACTTCACTGAAAAAAGAGGGCAAACAAGCAAAAAGATCAACTGGAGTGAACAAGGTCACTGTAAGGAAGATGATAACACTATTTTTAAGGACTAGTTGTAAATAGGAGTTCGATTCCTAATAGGTTTATAGTATCCTGTATATGTATATATATGTGTCCCTATTGATGAAAATAGATGAAGAAAAATATTTTTTCATAGTGAATTACAACTATGAATAAAACCAAGAGGGGAAAATATATCCATTGACACCGCTAACAAGTAGCAAAACTTAGGTCCACAACCCACCAAACTTAAAAGTATGCAAAGGCATAATTACACCCTAACTTCTTCAACTTTTCAAGGGGAAACAAAAGAGCAGTATATTTAATGAAGAAATTCAAGAACATAAATAAAAGCAGAAGACATCCTCTTCTCAGAATTGAAATGTAGAAAAACAAAACCAAAATGACTAATGAAGCAATGCCCTCCAACTGTGTTGAATTAAGATACTCCTTCAAGATTTCCTAAGTCAGAAACTGTAAAGAGGCCAGAAAAACGGTTCTGCAGTGACTACAAGGACAAACTCTGATTTTAAATTATGAGAGCATTTCTCTCCAACAGAATACGGCCGCACAATACCAAGCACCTTTCCTCTCGCCAAAAGCTCTGGAGCTCAGTGTAAAGTCTGGAACATAGCAATTTTTCTCAAAACTGCCAAATAAACTATTCCAAGTATGCAATCAAGAAGTCAATCAGAACGAGTCTCACTCCCATCATATCACATAATGGATATGCCAGCAGGAAAACTTTATTCTGCAGGTAACCTTAATTCATCAGAGTATTGCAGGCCAAATGAAAGCCTTAATTCTTCAGAACATTGCAAGCCAAATGAAAGCCTTACTTTAGGTCGAACCTTAACCTTCCAAATCTCATTTGTCAAGGGAAAGGAATATCAATTAAAGCACAAGTACAAGAAAATCAACACAAAAATATTCTATCCATTTCCTATTCCAATCTGAATTTGGAAAAGACAAAAAAGAACTACACTGGTTAAGAGGAAAGAACCACGACCTCTCCATCTTTTACATGCTAAGAGAATTAAGTTCAAAGAGACAGTATATGCCACCCAAAGAAAGAAAACTAGTAATAGGGTGCATTATGGGCAACAGAGATAAAGCATTCAATTAAGTAAACGATATAATTACTTCAATACTATATCAGTATTTCAATAATGAGTCTTAAATGAATAAAATTGGAAAGAAAAGAAGTAAACCATGTAAATGGCTAAGGCTGATTTTATAATCACTTTTTAGTAACAGGAAAAGTAGCAGTCTCTGCTCCACATTCTGATTCCCAATACTTCCTTTTGGAAGAAGGTAAACAATCCCACATCTAAATGCTTTTGGAGAAAACAACAGAAATTCTTATTGCAGAGCTATTTTATTGTAATGCTAATTTTAGCTCCTTTTGCCGCATAATAAGCAAATTGAAATTAAACAATAGTCCAGAAATAATACACATACAGGCATCTAAAAATTTAACTGCTCTACTCCACCCACTTTATGATTCCGGAGCTCACAAGAATCCTTAACTACCATAAAATATCATGAATTTTAAATCATTAAGCTTGTCAAGTGACAGATTACCAACAACAAAAATACCTGAAGCAGATTTTTGGAGAAGGAGGAGGGAACCTCCCAGCTGATGACCCCGAAGTAGATTCTCCACTCATACTGGCTGTCCTTCGAATGAGGTCAGCCACACCCTTAACGATGTTCATATTTCCCACTAGTAATTGGCAGGAGAATCAAAAATTCATTATCCATGACAAACGAGACATAAATGGTCACTCCAGGCCATCACTTCTGACTATCTAAATTTTCTGTTGCATTAGCATCAAACTTTGAGGTCAGCATTTGGCCCTAATGTCTCATAAACAGTATAAAGTAACCAAAAGGGTTCGTACCCATGATTAATATTTAAAAACACTATATTGCCAATCAAACAATAAAGGGCTACAGATAATGAAATAGCAGTAAGAGAAAATACAGATATTGAATGCATGCAAAGACTTCCTAAGCTCAAACCAACGGCTCTTTAACTTCCCATAAATCAACGATAGTCAAACCTTAAGAAAGTAATTACTCATACGAAGTAAGAATAAGTAATGCTAGTTAAAATCCACTTAAGACTAATACAAGCACAAATTCAGAGTTGCCAAACGATCAAATGGAAACCAAAATGAAAAAAAATGTTGATTCAAAAGAGAAGATTATCTTTATTATATAATTAAAGCTGATCGATATATTCAACATGGAGCAATTCAAATAAAGAAATCACTTGAGAGATTATAATTGAAAAAACCTGGAACACAAACCAAAGCTAAATAATTGGAGATTACTAGATGATTAAGAACGAAGTATTTTACCTGATCAAATCGTAGAGCTGGAAAAATGCGATGTTTGGCTTTTAGGGTTTGGACAGCGAGATCTGAGCTTCGTATTTTATTCAGACCTTTTTGGTTTAACAATGGCGTCAGTGAGAAATCGAATAAAAAATTAATGCGCGAATACAGAAGGAAAGATAAAATCATAAACGAAGAAGAGAAAGACAAGGAAAAAGAAAATATATGTTAAAAGTTAGACCCCTGCAGTTCACTTAATTTCGAAATTGCCCTCGGTCAATGCGGTTTTTAACCTGACAAGCTCCCCATAATTAAATTGTTTTTGCTTGTTTACGCATTTACCAGTCAGTTACAACCCGAATTTATGCAAACGACACCGTTGAATGCTCTTTTCTAATTTACGGCCTTTCTTTCTTCGCGGTTGTCTTTCCTCCCTCTTACCCAAAGTTAGCTTTCCCTTGAACTTGAAGCTTCGAGTTTCAAGAAGTTTAACGGGCAGAAAGGAACCTACTGGGCCTCCTTTTATAGGCCCATGGACCAATGATTAAGGTTTGATATTGATTAATGACATAATCTCGGAATCACAGCTAAGAAGGATTTTTTTTTTTTTTTCACAAATACATATTATTATGAGCATTATTATTTTTAATAGGTAGTAGAATATAATAAAAATAAACAAATAAATAAATATGAGCATTATCAATTTTAACGTATTACATAAATAAAAATATTAATTAACTTTTTTATAACAACATTTAATAGTTATTAATTATGTTTAATAACAATTAATAAACTGATTGCATAAAAATATTAATTTAAGAAAATTATTTTATTAATAATTATTTTTCACCGTCAATATAGTTTAATATAATATAAATACGAATCTGTTAAAAACTTAGTTGTTGATTAAAATTCTTAATAAATATGTCTAGTTTAGTTGATTTGGATTTAAAAATCATTATCATTTACGTGAAATGATTAACTAAACATCCCCTAAATTTATTTTTTATAGTTATTAATTATATTTAAAACTATTAATAAACTAATAGCATAAAAATATTAATTTAAGAAAATTTAAGAAAATTATTTTATTGATAATTATTTTTTACCATCAATATAGTTTAATATAATAAAAACACGAATTTATTAACAACTTAGTTGTCGATTGAAATTCTGAATATATATGTCTAGTTTAGTTTATTTGGATTTAAATCAATTATCATTTACGTGAAATGGTTAACCAAAGACCTCCTAAATTTATTTTTACGGTCCATAAATGCACAAGCTAATAAAAATTTTTTGATTAAAAAATTTTAAAAATAAACAAATTGCTTATTTATGATATTTCATGAGAGAAAGAAAATAAATCTAAACCTTTATCCAAGTTAAATATATATATTTCATTTAAAATCTATCTATTTATCTATAATATATATAAAAATGGGAATGAGGGGGAATAATATGATTACCGATATTGTCTTTGTGAAATTTAAAATATTCTAAAATAATTTTAGTTTTAGCCAATTAAAAAATTTTAACCTAAAATATATATAATATTTCTATAATTTGATAATTTCTATAATTTTGATTTTGTGTTTTTTTTTTTTTTTTTTGACTTTTTAATAGAGTAAGTAATTATAGATATATTAAACATATCAAAATTTAAAATTTTTATTATATATTATCTTATTTGTCTAATTATAATTGAATAATTTCATCAATTATTAATAACCGTAAATTATCTAATAATAATTTAATAGTATTATTAGAATTTATAATTTAACTTCAGTATTATTATTTTAAATAATATATGTAAATGAGGCATTTAAAAATTTTTACATTTTTTTTTGTTTATTTTAAATTAATATATCTAGATGATTCAGATTTGATTTAAAAAGGGTATGGTTAAATTTCTTTAATTGCAAATTCCACTCTAATTTGATTAGCCAAAAAACAAAATAAAAAATTATTATTTTAAAATATTTCGAATTTAATTAGTTATATTGATATCTTATATAATTCAAATCCTATTTCTATTAAAGAGTATAATTTTATTAATAATTTTTTAAAGAGTTATAAATTTATTAATAATTTTTTAAATGATTGTTCATGATTTTGATTGCAAAAAAATAAAAATAAAATTTATTATATTTAGAAATATTTATTTGATTTATTGATTGTTTTCTTATTCTATGTTAATGTTATAGTTTATTTACTAAAATATTATAATGACAGTTATTTAACAAAATATTAAATTGTTATAAAATGTATAATAGAAGCTGATTTATTAGATTGTTTTCTTATTCTATTGTTAATGTATATTTATTTACTACAAAATATTATAATGAAAGTTATTAACAAAATATGTAAATTAATTATAAAATGTATAATAGAAGCTATAAGATGATTTATAAAAATCAATTTGGTTTTTTTCCTTAAAAAATAAAATAAAAGTAACTAATGTATAATAAAAACTGTATGAATTAGTACATTAACATAAGTCCAAATATTATATAAATAAAAATTAAACAAGTATAAAGAATGAGCGTATAATGAGTATAGTCAATGTGCAACGTACGTTATAAAAAAGACTAATAGAAAAAGAAATGGAATAACAATCAATTTGGTCTCTGAATTGCATAAAAAATGTCAGATTTTACTTTTTTAGGTTAATTTAATCCATAAATTTATTTAAAATGATTGAAAATGTCACATTTGCCTTTTTTTTTTTTGTCAGTATAACTTCTAATTTTATTTTTTTTACAAATTAATTAATTAATTCCATTTAACGGGATTGACTTTTTATTATTTATTGTTGTACACTAAACCACCCATATCAAATTTTGGCAACAATTTTGAATAAAAATTTAAAATTTATAAAAATATCATTTTTTATAACAAAATAAATTTATAAAACATGCATTGAACCTTTAATATATTCAACATGGAAAAATAAATGAATTCTGTGAGTATTGACCCAACAATAAAGGTCAAATTTAGAATGTTTAAATTAATATATATTTTTAAATTCAAAATCATTAATAAAGCTAAAGTGGGAATAATATACTTCATGTATCATTTTTCTTTATTCTATATTTAATTAGTTCAATAGTTTTGATAAATGTCTATAAGTACAGTAAAGAAACAAGGGCTAAAATGATCCAAAACATAAATTCTAAACTCTTTAATCATTATAAATATGGTTAAGGGTTAAATTAATCCAAAATGTAAAATTTAATATATAGAACGGCGGATTTATTTATTAGTTTTTATTTTCTATGCGCAATTTTGTGTTTATTTATTACATTTGTAAAGGCATAAATCCTAATTGTGAATGCCAACTCTTTAACCATTCTGAATAAATTTAAGATTAAATTGGCTGAAAAGGTTACTTTTTTTTTTTTTAATTCTGTTAAATAAATTTTTAAGAGTCAGATGCCGATTATTTCAAAGAAAATCAGCATTGCTTCCAATGGGCCTTCATTAGGATTTGATTTCATGACAAAAAGGTCTATTACTGTGTCGTGCTTGGGCATTTCATTCATTCCATTTTTGGTACGACGCGAAGGACCCTTCAACCTTTATCTAATGTGGGAATATCTTAATCTTTTAAAGCCCCTTGTCTACTTTTTTTATTCATTAACAGACTCAGTTAATGTAATACATTGTCGCTCTCGTTAGCTCACAGTATACGGCAACAATTGTTTACGCAGCTTGTTTTGACTGATTGAAATATTAAACTTTATTTTGTTTAAATTAATTGTTAAAGATTAAGTTAGCATTCTATGAAAAAAGTTAATTCATGTAATATTTAATTTTTAACTTTTTATGAAAAAAACTACTAAAACAGTTAACAACTACAAAATAGCCAATTTTATCGAACAGACTCTAAATTGATAAAAACTATTCTTATCGGTAAAGATTCTCCCAGATGAAATGAGTTGAACTCACACGTTTTCACTCCTAAGTCTCAACGGTCACATCAAAGAAAATACCATATAGAGACAAAATCAATTGGACAAAAGCATTTAAAAAATATCATGATCATTTAAAAAAAAAAATCCACAAAAATTAACATTTTAAAAGCATTTTTCTACAAATGACATGTTTTTATTTTGAAATTAATGTTGTTCACCTTAACTTTCTGTTTCAATCCACCAAAAAAAGCTCCAGCAAGCTACTAAAATCTCAGATTTAACAAACATTAGATATTTTATATAGTGGATTGTTCATGATGGACTACAATAATTACAATAACAAAACATTAATAGGTGAATTAGGTAGTAGCATTTGAAATGCATAGTCCAATGATTGTTTGTCCTTTGTTAGTATAATATAAATTAGGTCTGATGGTTTTTCTGGAAGGTTAATTAGTTTTGTTGTGGATGATGACGTGGATTGGCAGATTAGCGGACCATAAAGGCATTTCAGTTCATGTGATTTGATTATGGAAAGATTTAAGATTTCATTGTCAATGTAAACCAATAAGTTTGTCTTCCTTTCCTTCTTTTGTGTTTTTGGCCATGAAATTTATTATTTTATTATAAATTATCTATTTGATTTGGTAATTGTGGTTGGCAATTGGAGTTTCAATTTTTCAAAGGCTAATACCTTTTTGAAGTTGCATTGGAAATTTTTCAAGTGAATTTTTATTTTTTAGCTTTTCATTTTTTTTGTAGGTTATTGTAACTTCAATCTTGTGTAAAAACCGCATGGGTTATTAATGACTCATTTGGTTAGAATGTAATATTTTTTTGGAAAATATAAATTATTTTTCAAAACTTATTATTTAAGTATATTTAACATAAATTAACATTTTAAAAAATAAGTTGCTAATACAAATTTTAGATAATAGGATAAATCGATAAATTTGTTAAATTTAATTAGTCAATTTTCCTAGTGGACTGTATTTTTAAGGTAAAATGAGATGGAAGCCTTCTAAATTTATAGTTCGATTCTCGCTACTTTTTAAATTTTATTTGCGAATCGTAATGAAATATAAAGTAACGTAATGTATATTACAAATATATTTCATTTCTATTAAATTATATTCCATTACGATTATAATTTACTAAATAAAATTATATATATATATATCAACCACAGACAAAGGTCCAAATCTAAATCCCTGAGGATCGTTGATTACTATTTTTTTTTTGGATTATCGAATTTT